AAAAGTAGGGGAGGAAAAATGAGAGGGAGAGAGAGAGAATGAAAAGGCTGGAAAAAAAGAGCAAGACACATGCAGAAAATATACCACTGGATTTTTCAGATTAAGTCATCTGTTCAGGAAGAAATCTAACAGCAAGATACTTTTGTTCCTCCTGGTGACACAGCTTCTGAGGGTGCACTGTTTAACTCGGCCCAGCCCCATCCTCTCTTAGCAACCACAACTTTATTGATTAGTTTTTCAGATGTCTTGTCAAGAACCAGCTTTTAAATACATTACTTTTAATAAAGTATCAGTAGGAAGAGGAATAGAAAAGATTATGATGTACTCAAGTACCTTCTTCCTTTAATATAAGTCAGAAACGATGCCTGCTCCTGGCTCGGTGGGAGCAAGCCATGGGGTCTCATTTAACAGATGTAGGATTAAGTGCTTACTATATTTGCTGCTGCACTGCAACTATTTAAATTATACAGCTTTCTCTTGATTAGGATGTTAGAGAAGAAAATCACAAACTTTCAAGCTATCATCATGCAATGTTCCAATGCAATTCCTCAGGAGTCACTCTCTTTTTGGTTATTCTCTGCATCTAACATACCTCCTATTAATCATTTTCCTGCTGCTGAGGATCACTAAGAAAGCACACGGCACACATTTTGTGGCATTTAGACAGATACAAAGATTACATTAATCTAATTTTCCAAGCATATGCTGTCTCCAGAAAGAAACCAGGAACTGGAAATCTCTAAGGGGGATATGAGTCTTTTGGAAAATAGCAGGAAAAATCTCATAAATAGAAACTCTTCTTATACCGATCTGTACAGAGGCATGAAACTATTACTTTTTTTTTCATGATTGGCAATATGTTCCCATTTCTGAAACGATCTTACTTCCCTCAAAAAGAACTAAAGTAGAGTGCTCAAAATAGCTGAGAAACAGCTGTTGGATTTTTCACAGAATGAGGATTTATCCTCATTCTACATATAATGCAAACCAGTCATTTGACTAATGTATAGTTACAGTTACAGAAAGCATGCCTTCACAATATAGCCCTTCTTGCTAATAACACACCAATAAAACATTCCCTGTTGCATGAGTTTATGTGCACTTTTTTTTTTTTTTAACACTGTCACAACCACTGGGCACAGAAGTTTTACTCATATGCATGAAGTTTCTTGTCTCTGTAATCATCTATTCAAAGCCCTCGCTGTAAATGGGGAAGTCATTTACTTCTGCCAGTGGAATAACCTTTTGGCAGTTTTAAGTTTCACTGGTGACTGCTGAGGACACTAGAATACAATACTTCACCTGGAGACCACTTTTGCATGCTTGCACTTACCTCAGATTCCATCACCACACAAGAAGCAGCTACTTCAGCTTAGCTCCCTGTGTTGGATGTGGCTTGCAATATTTCAAATGCTCTGAAGAATTACATTTTGCAGTTACCTTGGCCAGCTGTACACAAATCAATGTCTACCGATCTTCAGTTAAAATACATTAGTTTACTATTGAAATGCATTTTCTCAACATTAACAAGTAAGTTATTTAAGCCTTTGGAAAACAACTTTTCCCAAACGGTCCCCAGCTCCCTTTATTTTGAGGCTGATTCTGCCTTTTGCTTCCTAATGTAGGTGCCTAGAGGAGGAAGCCTGCATCGACTTCACTTTAAACAAAGCCAAGATACTTCATTCAGCAACCATCAAAAGATTCATACAAAGGCTGCAGGAAAATAAATACTGGCACAAGCTATTCCTACACAAGGAATCCTCTCAAAAGGTCTTTGCTTAATAATTTCATCCAGGAACAAGGACCTCAGAAACTGGGGAACCTGAATGTGTATGTCCTGGGTTATGGGGACACAGAGGGACAACACACACACAGACAGACACACAATTTCAAAATCGTTTAATAGATGTACCTTAAATAATGCTTCAAAATAATCTGTCCTATACCTAAAACTTTATCAGAAGTCTGTTTAAATAAATAAAAAAAAGCACATTCTAAATATGTGGAAGGGATGCGCCACTCTTTTCTCTGTCACATCCTGTGTATTCCCTGCTGTATTCAAGAGAAAGACTTTGCAAAGGTGGCGGGGTGAGCGTGTGTGGATGGATGGGAGAGCTTTGTCCTCCGCAGCTATCATTGTGCTGCTGTCCCCATCGCCCACAAACGCAGGAGGCAGGTCAGAATGGAACAGAAGCAGACCATGCAGTTGTAAAACCCGATTCTTTCTCTATTTATTTCTTGTGACCGAGTAACACCTCCTATTACAATTATCAGCTCGATGGCAGAAAGCTCCCCGGTGTGCTGTGCATATTTTCACAGGTTCATTTGTCTCCTCCTGTGGCATCAGTTTAAAAAGGCTCCTAAAGAAACGCCACTAACAACCATTTCTATTTCCAGCCTTCAAAGCCAACGCTGAGCACAATACAAAGCCCTGGTAACTCATCTTTAGGTTTCAGTCCACAGACTTTTCTCACTGGGAATAGCTTCCATCTGTTTCCTCTTTATGCACCAGCCTTTAGAAAGCACAGATCTGGAAACTGCCTGTGCACAGAACAGAGCGAGCTGGCTTTCCCCCGCTGACGGCAGAAGCAGCCCCAGGATCGTGGACAGCTTTCTCCTACGGCTTTCTTCTCCTTTTTCCCAATCCGTAAATGCACGGCGTGGTTCTCTTGATGTGGGTTTTTTTTGGGGGGGAGGAAGGGAGGGACTGCCTCTCTTTCCCTTCCCCTTGTTCTCCCCTTCTTTCTTTCTTGGCAGAGGCTTCCCCATTTACACACCCTCACGCAGGGCACATTTCCATGTCGAGCCTCGGAACAATCAACCACGGGCACCCTCCTCCTGCTTGGGCACCGTGAGACGTGTCTGTGTGTGTGGTGTGTGTGTGTGTCCCAAAAAGCCAAGCTTCTCTCCACACGGGTGCCCCCAAACCCCGCTCCCCATCCCGGGCGAGGCGCTGTGAGGGGAGCCCCAAACGGGGGGCAGCTGCCCTCATCCCCCCTCAGCACGGGCTCCTGCAGCCCCCTCATCCCCCCCTCAGCAAGAGGGGAGCCCCACGGCCCCACATACAGCCGGGATCCCCTCAGCACCACACGGCCTCCCCCTCAGCCCCCTCAGGGGCCGGAGCCCCCCTCAGCCCCTCACGGGCTCAGAGCCCCCCGGGACCCCTCAGGCTCCACAGGGGGCCGGGTTCCCCTCATCCCCTCACGGGGCCGGGTCCCCCCTGCCCCCCCTCATCCCCACACAGAGTCAGACCCCCCCTTATCCCCCTCAGCCCCTCATGGAGCCGGATCCCGCCTCATGGGGCCAGGACCCCCCCCTTATCCCCCTCAGCCCCTCACAGAGCCGGGTTCCCCCTTGTCCACCTCAGCCCCTCACGGGGTCGCGCCCCCCCCTCGTCCCCCCTCAGCCCTCGCACACTCACTACTTGTACAGCTGCTGCAGGCAGAGGTCCAGGCACTCGCCCTCCACCTCCTCCTCCGTGATGTACTCCGAGAGCGGCCGGGGCAGCGGGGGCAGCGGCGGGGGAGGCGGCAGCGGCGGGGCGGGCGCCTGAGGGTCGCCGGCGTCTCCCTCCTCCACCTCGGCCTCGGCGCTCGCCGCCACCGCCGCCGCCGCTGCCTCCTCCTCCTCTCCCTCGGCCCCGGGCTCCTCGGCGGCCGCGGCGTCGGCAGCGGGAGGCGGTGAGGGGGGAGACGGCACCGGCGCCGCCGGCTCTGCCCCGAAGGGCCCGCGGAACTCTCCCAAGAACAGCTCGAGGAAGCGGCGGTAGCTCTTCTCCTCCGCGCTGCCTCCGCCGCCGCTGTTACTGCCCGAGCCGCCCGCGGCCATCGCTTCGCATTCCCGGCCGCCCGGCGGCGGATCAGCACTGCGCCCGCAGAGAGCTCCCTGCCCGCCGCCCGCCTCCCTCCCTCCCGCCTGCGCGCCGCGCGCGCGCGCTCCCGATACAGGGACGCGCACGCCGCTGAGGTGGTTGAAGGCGGGAGGGGGGGGGGGAGCGGGAGCGCGCCCGGCGCTGAGGGGAGCGGGCGGGGGCGGGCAGACGCGGGGGCTCCTGACGGGATCCTGCGGGCGGGCTCCCCCCGTGAGGTGCGGGGTCACCGCCTCAGGGGGTGTCCGTGTCCCGCTCCCCCCCCCACCACCACGGTCACAGCCTGCAAGTGACGTGAGGGAGGCAGCTGGCGTCCTGCTGCCGATAAAGAGATGTTTGTGGAAAGGGATTTTGGCTTGCGTTATGTAGACGTCGCGTTTCGTGTGTGGAAGGCGTTAAGCGGTGCTAACGCCGCTTCCACGGCTCCCAAATCGAAAAACACCAGCGAGGAGCAGGGTCGTTGCTGGTAATCGTCACGTATTTAATTAAGGAATTGGGGTCCTTAATATCTGCCGGGCCTGGCCAAACGGCCAAGCCTCACCTGCAAAAAGTTCTGGGGTCTGAAGGGGTTGGAGTAAGGGCAGCAGCTCTGCAACCTGTTGTGCCCCTCACAGTGCTAATTACTGGCTGAAAACCTGCCTGCTGCCCGCCGGACGGTTAGTGCGGAGCCAAACTAATTTTAGAGTATTTTCACTAATTTTAGGATATTTCCACTAATTTTAGAGGATTTCCAGCAACTGCGCTGCCCGATCGCGTTGCAATCCTGTGAATGTGTGAGGGCCAAAAGGGTTAAAGTGGCGATTGTCAGGGTTGGTTTTAGCCTTTCGCTGCCAAAAGCTATTAAAGCGAGAGAGAACCACACAGCTTCCCCCCCCCAAAAAAAAAGAATGTCTCCCAGTGTATTTTTTCAGTATACCAGCTATAGGTTTTCAATCTAGCATCTGTTTACTTCAGAATGCCAGGTGAAAGTGAGAGGTAAAAAGGATTTAAGATCTGTGTGAAGAGGTAGCCAGCAGTTGCAGCTGATGACATCATTGCTTTTTTTTTATTATTATTTTTTTAGGTTTGTCTGTACTGCATCATCTGTGAGTCACAAGCCTCGAGAGAATGCCTATCACTGCAAGTATCCAAAAACCAGTTTTAAGTTCATTAGTTGTTTTTTATTAGTAACTCAGGTAGTTGGAGTTCCTGAGAAACTATAATCTAGATAATCGTAGTGTAGCATGGTCTCAATTCTAACAACCCTGATTACAAAATCTCCTAGAAGTAACAGCCAGTTCAATGAGATGTATGATCAGCTTCATCTTGTTTGACAAAAAGCAATTAAGCTGCACAAGAAAAGATTTAAAAAGCATTTAGATAATCTTTTTCTTATTTTTTTTGTTAATTGTATATTTGAGTTGTTTCAAACAGTGTATGAGAGCATCTGAGAGTAATACCTACTCTGCTTCATGTCGAAATGTTAAAAGTTACCAGATGTCCTTGATTCATCTTGGCAGTCCCCATGTGCTTTTTGTCATTTGTCTAATCGCAGAGGACACTAATTAAAATGAAATAGAGTAGAACTTTGCACTCAGGATACTTTGTCAAGTTTTGGCACTGTGGTCAAGTTAGTATTGTTTTGATTCGATATTAAATAAAGAGCTTATGGCCCTAAGCCATGTTGACATTTGTTTCTGGGAGGGAAGGTGAAAAACCATTCTTATTAACCTGCAATGTGGAACATATGGTGGCTGTGGGTGGTATGGCTAAGTTAGGCAGCCAGGAACCTGCTATCACTTCACTGTGTGGAGACAGCGGGGTGGGCAATTACCGCAGAAGGTAGCCACGCTGCTGCTTGCTGCTGTCCAGAAAAGGAAGCTCGAAATGCGAGGTATTATCAAGTAAGCACTAATCTATGAGAGGGGCGTTTGGGACTATTATAAAATGTTTTTAGTGTTTGGTAACTCTGGAAGCTAAATTTAGACTGCCTCAGTGCGCTCTCCGTTCCTGGGTAGGAGCAGTATGAATGGTTCCTATGTGCTGAGGTTTGGTGAATGGAAGAAGTTCATAAAGTTCTGAGCCTGAAATCACTGATTTACAATATACTGGCAAATGGAGGATAAGACTTGCACCTGAGAAGGAAACACAGGTGTTTCTATCCTTTTTGGCTTCATCATGTTGTTGTTTTAGGAAGGTTTTACGCTCCTGTGTTAGAAGGAATCTGATTTATTTTAGCCTTGAAAATGTGTCTTTCTCTTTCTCATTTTGCTGATGAGAAATAAGCAGAATTTGAGCAGGCCTTGGGGAGGTGACCTGAATAGTATGGAGTGCAAGAAGAAGTGCTTTTTAATTTTTTGTAACCTTTGGAAGTAATTCCTGTACACTTGACAAGTAGAAGACATGTAGAGACGCTAAAAAGCATTTGACAATAATACACCTATGTTATATGTTCTGATGCTATACAAGAGTATAACAGGAAAATTAATGGGGAAAAAAAATGCTTTCTGAGGCAGTCTCTTTAAAATGTAGGGCTTTTGCAGTAGAGCAGAAGTAATTTTTGAAGCTGTATTCTGTTTTCCTGACCAGATGAAACCATCAGAAAAGTATGTATTTTCAAGCCTGTGGCTGTTCTCATTTTGAAGGCAATTCTACAGTTGAATTTCATGCAGTGTTGTATATGGGGCAATATGTTACATGATATTTGTACTGTTGAAATATATTAAAATTGTATGTAGTCATACCATCAATATTGGTCACCTTATGAATGTGAATATATGTCTGTGTTCTTCCTGTAACTCTTAGAACTCAATAATACAATTATTGTTCAACTTCACTCAATTTCAATTAGTTAAGGGTAAGGACAATGAGAATTTTAAAGGAATAAAATGCGATGGCTCTTGTTTACAAGCAGCATCAAGTTCCAATTAATTTTCTTAAGGTTCAGCCTTTATTCAACTGTACTTTCAAAAAGCAGAGCAACTTCTGGCACCACAGTTGCACAGGCTTCTTTGCCACAGTAATTACTCTGTAAAGATGTTCCTAAGAATCACTGTCTCTTTCCCTCCCTCTCTCTCATGTTTTTTGAGGCCAAGTCAGCTTTTTAAGTTTAATATTTATAGATTATTCTGAAATATCCACACTCATTGCAAAACACAGGATTTCAGGCCTGAATCCCACTTCCAGCTGTCACGGAAATTTCCAGTCCCATTCCAAAGGAAAGTTCCATTTTCAGTGTTCCATTCAGCCCCCTGTTTAGGAAAGGGATTTCTCTGAATAGCAATTGTGAGAAACAGGATATTGGTCCATGCCCAGCTAGTTAGATTTGGAAATCTGTTGGAGAAAAGCATGTGGAAAAAAAGAGCTAATGAGAAGCCGAGCCCTTCAAAATGACTTAACAGGTCTGGAACACTCTGAGTAGATCTAGCACAACGTGCCTTGTTCCGCATTGACAAAGGTGCAGTTTGTTACGTCATAAAATCTGTGACTGACTGATTGAAGTGTTCCTGTAGATTAGTGCCCATGGGATTGCCTCAGCAAAACACAGCTGACCACATAACACTTAGTAATGTGGTCTGGAAGTTGTCAAATTGTGAGATCATCCTGCAGGCAGGAGCACACCAGAGTCCAATAACTCGTTAAGGTTGATCCACTTCAGCTATCAGTCACTCTTCATTATCATTTTCCTTTTACTGCTAAACAGAGCTGAGGGGCAAAGACCTGGTATCAGTAAGCAGCAGAGTTTGCTGGAAGTGTTGCTGTGCCAGGACATTGCTCTGTTCTTTCCATTTTTGTAACACATTTCATCTGAGGCCGAAATCCAACAGCACCATACTGTGTGAATCTAGCACTACTGGAATTCCTGAGCCTGAAGCTCACTTTTGTTCAGCAGAGGCAATAAAAAGATTGTGCACTGCTTAAATCACATTTATACTCTTTCTGAGGGATTTAACGTGTGTGTATTTTGCCCTTTCAGGATGGTTGTGAAGTTCCTCCTAAAGTGAAAACAAAGTTTAAGTGAGACTTGTTAAGGCAGCTGTCTAGTGGGATATATATAAAAAAAAATATATCTGTTCTTCCACCAATTTACTTTTAATGACTTGTTTGACTTCTTACCGTAGATCAGATTCCTGATTCTGTGATATCCTGCTCCAGTCACAAGACCTTGAATTTTAGTCATCTCCTTAAAAGTGTCTGTTAAATAAAGAAGGGGGAAATTAATCACTTGCATGAGAACCAGCAACCAATTGCTGTTGTGCCCAGACTGGGTATTATATTTAAAATAGATAAAACAGATAAAATAGAATGGTAGGATTCACAGATTCTAAAAATATGTATGCAGCTGATGCTAACTTCCTTTGAACAGTCTCAAATTCTGTGCTTTAGCCACATAAATTTGTGTTAATTGTACAAAATGAATGAATGAATGAATTACTTTAAAGAGAAACATTTATGTAATGTCTTCCATAACACTTGTAATCAAATGTGTAGTAAGCCTCTGTAGTGAAAAAAGGTGTGACATTATGTTAAAATCTCATGTTGACAATCTCCTACTTTGTGAAGGTGATTTTCATGCTCTAAAACATTTTTATCTACTTATAATAAAAAAGAATCATTAAGTAAGAGTAGTTGTAACTATGTTTGCTAAAAGTGCAGTAGTTCACACCAAGTAAGAGTATTGGAAGGATATGTGTTGGAAATTTAGAAATCCAAAATAATGTAATGTGAGACACCAAACTGAGCAAATATTCAAACAATGTGCCTGGAAACTGTGAAAAAAACACTGACATCTACTTAGAACCAGTTATTAAGATCCATAGAGTCTCCTTTTTATATTCCTATATACATTACTAGGTATTTTATATTTTAAACATTCTCTCTTTTCATTGTTTGAAAATTGAGTCTGTTTATGTATATGTATATATCCCGATGCCTCTCTAGTTCCATTTAAATCAGTGGCAAGAAATTTTTGTGAGAAATGAATAGTATTAGCTATCATTCTTGAAGAATGACTTCAGTAAAATATATACTTTTTGATGTACCCTTTCTGCATGTAATATTTTTACTGCTTATATAGTGATTGAACTATTGCTTTTAATACCATTTATTATTTCTATAGGTTTAGTTACAACAGTGTAGAGCTTTGTATCTCTAATAAATAGATGGGGCATACTGTACAGATCCTGCTTGCTGGTAGGAAGCGAGGTGGCAGTTCACAGTTTAACAGTGGGTGCATTTGTGGGTGAAATTCGGAACTGGGAAGGTGGCCAGTTCCTGGTGATTTCATTCTTCAGTGTAGAGCATCAATGCAGAAATCTTCCACTAGCTAAGGGAAGCCAACTTTCCTGACCCTAATCATCCAAAACCGCTCTATGGCTGGAAGCCACAAGACACTGAGTAGCTTTGGGAGCCAGGGAGAGGGAAGCCCAGGAGCAGGTAGCAGCTGGCACTGGTTCCCAGTCGCGGGGAGGACTGGTGCGGAGGAGGACTGGGCAGGCTGCTTGGCAGCCCTATGACACTGCCAAATTCAGCAGCCGGTGGCTCGCGTTCCCCTACAGCAGGGTGGCTGCACTTGGAATGGTTGGCAGCCGCGGGTTAACTCCTCGTTCTGTACGGAGAAGTATTATTTCCCTTATGTATTCTGTTGTAACGTCTGTGATACCGCAACGTATGTGCTCTATTTATTTTATTTCCCTCATGGTACTCAGTCGTAGGACAAGAAAGCATCAAACCATATTTTGTAACTTAAACATATTTAGTATAAAATTAATACATGTTAGAACAGTATAATATAGCTTAATGTGCCTTTCTAAATCATTATGATCCTGATCATGAGACAGTCACTTCTGAGAAGCTAGAACGTAGTGACTTGTCCTTCCAACTGACATACATGTACACTTTTTTTTCAGAAAAAGGACGGAGTTAAAAAAGCAGGCAGTAAGGATTTCACCTTTGTCATTAACCCATGAAATGCCGTAGAATAAATCTAAGTTTAGTCCTGTTCCCCCAAGTAACTGAAATTCAACAGAAAAATAGATGTTATGTTTTAAATATTTTTTCTGACCACTGCATTTGACATCCAGGTTAGCAGCTGAGCCTCCTTCCACATTAGTCAACCAGTTTGTAATTGACTTTAATATGAGACTGACCGCATAACTTGAACCTTGGCTACACCTTCCTTCCTTCGGTTAAGCTATTTCCTCTTGGGTTTTCTTAATCTTATTCTACTTGGAAGTTAGTTGGTTTCTCAGATGGAAAAGAACACGTAAAATCAGGAAGAAATAAATTATTTTCCCTTCCCAAACTGAGGAGCTTCAAAGCAGGATTCTAGGCTTGAGAAGCAGCCCATCCTAACCACAAAGTGTACTTCTTGCCAAGCCTTGTGGTGGATACTGTGTTCTTGTTGTGGTGACAGAGGAGGTTCCTACATCACAAGTAAATGTCAGCCCTACAAAACTGAATAATATTAAACTCAGCGTGACGGTGAAAGCCGTTGCCTTTCAAAAAAATGAAACTTGAGCACCAAACCAAACAACCTATTTTATTTCATATTCAGTCATGTGAAGCAGCTAGTTAGAATTGTACTCTTGGTGCAGTCATAAAATTGTCTTCTGCCACTCACTGTTGTGCCCTGATGCTCTGAAATGCAAGAAAAGTCTAGGTACATGTAAGAAAATATCAACTTCCCATGGAAAATTTATTGGTGAAACAGTGATCCAATTCTTCCTTTATATGCAGTTCCAAGCCTAGCACGGCTTCCTTGTCTCCAGCAGATGAGAACAAAATCTGGCTCATTTAATCTAATTTTGTCTCTGCTAACAGATCCTTCTCTCTAGTTCTGGTCTGCAGAGCTGATTTTTATTTTTTTTATACATATATATACACACACATAAAACCTCAGCATAGACAGCTTCCAGTATTTCTTTTAAAGGTTTTGTAACTCCCACTGTTAACCAGGAACTACTCTTTTGTTTGTTTGTTTTTGATAATGATATCTAGAATACTGAAGATCTGACGCTTACTCAGACAAAATGATCTATCTTGGTATACAGGATCAGCATCTCAGCTCGGGCTTCTGGACAGTACACTACTACAAACAAAAAGCAGAACACCCAGCTGAAATTAATAGTGTATTGGAGACATCCTTACTCTCCATGCACATGGAAGGACGTGCTGAGGATATTAAATCAGAAGACAATAAATTGACAGGAATGGATTTTTCCATAAATACCAAACATGCTAGATGGCAGCTATCACTCGTAACCAGCAGTGCTTCTTAAAATATCGCCACAACATCCTTAATGGATGGTTTTCCTTGTGGCTACGTAAGCATGTTACTGTGCTAGCCCCCCCCTCCCGCACCGCGCCACGTAGGAAGCTATTATTCCCAAATGGAGCGCTAGCTTGCTGACATCACATGCAGTAGGACCCTTTTGTTTGCCTGTGTCTCCTGCATGGAAATGTTTGTCTGAGTCACAAATCCTGCCGTCTTTCTTCCTCTGTCATGCTTGCTGGAGAGCTTCTCCCTGACTCATGGTTTTTAAATTTTGATAGAGCCCAGTTTGGTGTATGGCAACTGACTACTTTTCCTTTTAATATTTTATTATGTAAATTATATCTAAATACTATAATGATCTAAAAATCACTGCCACTTCCTTGCAGCTTTTTAAATAGAGAGGTTTTCTGACTCAGATTCAGCATTGAATTTTGTTTTAAGGCAAAGGCAGTTTAGTGTTGCTAAATTAAAAATTAAAGATAGTGACTCCCACAACTTGAATTTTCCATTTAGTCTGCTGGCTGAGTTTCCTCAGCTATAACATTATCAAACTGTGCCAGAAAGGGGTCATATGTGTGCATGTGTACAAATAAACACTTCTCACAATTGAAGTAATTACTATTTTGCACTGTAATACCTTTCTTCTCCTCCAATAATCTCATCAATTTATTCTCTATTAATAAAAAAGGACAAATCCCTGCTGTATTTTTAGTGGACACTCATTCATTTGGTTTAGAGTGTGGAGCTGCTAATATACTGCTGGTGTCTAAGAAGCCCAGGTCTCCTCTTTGTTAAATGAAAGCCACAAACAAAACAGACTCCAAATGCAGAATTTTCATTCTGAATGCTTTGGTAGAAGGAGAAGCTAAGGGCTAGGCAGCAGTTTGGCTCAAACAATGGTAAACATTCTCACCTACCCAGATAGGAACATATGGATTAAAGCTTTTGTCCTTCAAATCTAGTCTTTTGTCTCTATCGTTACCACTACAAGATAAATGAGAAGTTCAAAACAGTGCTTTGACTGCCCTTGATCAAGGACTTTGCAGCAGGTAAGGGCTAATGTCCCAATCTGGCATAGTATTTAAGCATGTATTTATCTTAGAGCATCTATCAGCAGCTCCACAGCTTTTTGCCCTGGTTTGAGGCAGGCGAGCAGATTGCTGCATGAAACCTTGTTAAAATTCAGAGGCACACAAAAACAGATGAGTGATCAAGAACTGTGTCATTAAACATACTGCACTAGATGCTCGCATTGCCTTTTTTTTTTTTTTTTTACCCAGAGTAAAAGTAGTTGTATTCTCCATCTCAAAAAAGCAGAAGCCTTTTATTATATAAAAAAGATTTTATTATAAAATTATGCCATACACAAAGGAGTTTTCTGCCACATAAATTTTCATAGTGTAGTTTTAACATTAAAATAATGTCCAGAAGCAGGAATTTAAGTTAAAGAGTCTCTCAGGCTACCTCTGGTTGCCTGTTCTCTATACAGCTGTTCTCCAGTAGCACACCTTTTTGTATTCTCTTTTGAATCGCTGTTATTTTTCCTCTTCTCTCCGAGGCCGTTTGCGAGGGTTCATTTCAGTACTTTCCGTGTTTTGGGTGACAGCTGGAGGCTGCACATCTCGGAAGCCATGGGGCTGTAATATGTAAGTAAAATCATGTGATATCACTTCTATGGATATAAAGCATGAGTAACTAGTTCCCAGAAGATCAGAATAAGGAAGGCATGATGCTATCGTTTATTTTAGCTGAGTGGCTACAGAATGTTTATAGACCAGGCTAAGCTCAGAACTGAAAGGTTCTCAGCACACATACTGACTAATAACTGCTTCTCCTGGTTTTACTTTTTAAAGATACTTTCTCTTCATCAGTGAGGCTAGCATTTTCATTTTACCATTAATAACCCCTATGACTGCAAAGCAGTGCTTCTCTGTAAATTAACTTATGCTGTCTATTTATTTAAATTAAAAGCCAAATCCTTCAGCCCATATTCAAGTCAAACTCCCACGGAAGCAAGATGACTGCTGGATTATTAATCACCTCAGCCATTTTCAGAAACAAAACTGAAAATCTCTAAGACCTAGGGTATTTTTGCTTCATGCATCTATTTAATGAACTGAAAACATTGATGAGACATTTTAAGAACAGGGTATCTGAATCAGTCTTTCCAGACTGCAGAGACTGTCCCAGCATAGTGATTTATGGGACACAATGGGCTGAGAACCTTTAACTGCCAAAAACTACACATAGAATTGAAAACTAGACACTGCTACCCAGTAGAGAGCTTAAGGTGATCTAATTTGCTTAGTAACTCTGGTATTTTCTGTTGCATTAGCTCACAGTTTGATGATATTAAAAGATATTAAAATATGAAAGATCTGGAAAATTTGGTTAATTAAATGTCATCAATTATCACATAACACTGAGATGTTATATGAAGCCTGCAACTGTCTTTCCATCTCCAAATGCTGTGTAGGGAGCCCTGCTGACAGCTTGGTGAAGGGCTCTCACTGCAGTACAGACTTAAGACAGGAAAAGGTGTTAAACAGAAAAAGAAATTGTTTTAGGGATCCTAAACACCCAGGTAGAGACAAAGGGAGGGTGGGTGAGAGCATTTCAGGAAGGCTGGCACTTCAGGTTAGTGCAGTGTGAAAAATCAGCTAGAATTACTATCAAATATGTGACATTTTATTTTATATAAAATGCCAACGTGTCCCACACCAAGATTAACCCAAGACAAAACCAAACAAAATGTTTTGCTTAAGTCTCTCATCTCTCTATTTCTATTTCTAAATGCCTCAGTCTGCTATTTTTTTTAAGGGAACAAACAGCTAGAGCGCCACAAGGGCAGAACTTGTGCAGTCCCTCTATTTTAAGCAACTCAAGTGTTATTCTAAATAGCATAATGGGGAATCTTCAAGTTTAGTGTTTCACTGCTGCTTGCATCTAATCTTTGCCATTTCCCTTAGGCACAAAGGTGGATCAAAGCCAAGAATCCACTTAATCCAGCATGCTAGACTCTCGGTAAAAGCATTCCAATGGCTATAAAGGCCAGAACATGATGGAGTAGGCTGCTTAGTATGGATGTTTTGCATTCAGTTAAAGGCATGTATATACTAGACACAGCCTCTCTCCAGTGAAAAAGAAAGTAAGAATTTTGTATGCGTATCCAAAGCCTGATAATCATCTTTATATGGAGAGAACATGGCTAACAGAACTATGGTTTAAAAAGGGCCACTTGGACCTATGTAGCTTGGACTTGTTACTGTCATTCTGGGTTGGTCTTCAGTGTCTCCTGGAGTCCACAGACTGCATCAGGACTGACAAAGATAGATGGTGTTATTACTTGAAAGGTAAAGGTATTCTCATTGTTAGTCTGGCAGACTCTCCAAATTTCAGGGAAATACCAACAGTTCCTACCCAGGATACAGGTTCTGGGTCTCTGCCTTTCATGATCAAATAATCAGGTCATACTACCTGGGACATTTAGCTCATCTGATTCACCTGTTTACTCCCTTGTGCTTAAATCAATTTGCATTTCTTATTCTGCACTTAAGAATGAATCTTTATCAGCCTGTGAAAAGTAGTATTTAATTTGGTAGGTGTTTCACAGCTTCCACGCTTGCTCAGACTGATGACCAACACTTGGAAAAGAACTAGAGCTCAGGCACTAAGTTACATACTTCTCCATCAGCATACAGGCACCAAACAGTTTGGTACTTTTGACAAACTGGCTATCTAATTTGCATTGAAATTAACAGCACGTATAAGCCTAAGCATCTTGGAGGATCTGAGCTTCTTGAATTTATGATTTTTTATATGCTGGTTATAGATGTATGCGCACACAGATGTGCTAGATTATTTGGAAGCACGGAACACATATTTACATCTTCCAGTTTAACCACTGAGATGGGAATGAGAAATAATAACAGCAAACAGTTACAATTACACCCAAATTTCATGAAAGAAACAGGGATAATACATTTGTTTTTTTTTTTTTTACTTACAGAAACCGTCTGCTGAAGCAGCTCAACAGGATTAAGGGGGAAAAAAAAACACGGGGATAATCTGAAGTTTTAACTAATCTTTGATTAGGATGCATGCTCAACTGTATTTCAAGATAGTGTGCATTCACATGGATGAGGAGAGCATAGCTGTTTTATAATATGTATAAAGCTGAAAAGGCAATTAAACTAAGATAAAATCCATGCGTTTGGCAGCTGGAGAGAGAGGGCTACACAGTCACTCCACATGATCTAAACAACCTTAGAATGCGTTCCCATTTACCCTTCCAGTCTTTACAGATCTTAAAAAAAAACAAAACAAAACATATAAAGTGATATTTCATCTATCCAGGTGAATATATTTAGAAGTGAGGGAAAAAAAATCAGATTTCTACTCAATAGTTTGAAGACCTCATTTTATGGCAGCATTAAAATCTGCAGGAAATGCTATGGCAACGTGTTTCCATGAGGACACACAGCAAATAGCTATGGCATGTACCTATGTATCTGACATTTGAAGATATAAAAGTTGAGTGCTTGCTTTTTAACCTATAAACACTTTAGACAATATATATTCTCATTAATATGCATCTAAGCACTCCACAAAAGAAAATCATAGAATTTACTTAGGGCTGAATAAGGACTCCAGCTGGAGGCTCATCATTTAATAGTGATGGAAGAAGAAAATCTGTAGGTACTGCCTGGTCATAAGGTCACTGGTAGGACACTACAAAAGCTACAAAAGACCTAAGTACAACCTGTGTTATATCAGGCAAAGTACTTAGAGCAGAGATGTGGAAATATGTATGGCATAAAGCACTGCTAAGGCCTCTGGAATACCATATGTGATGCTCATTCTTGTCCTAAAAAAAATACATTCAAACTGCAACAGATGCAGAGAGGAGCCACTGGGGAAACAAACAGTCTGACAAGAGAGAAAGCAGCCTGGCTTGCTGAGGTCTCCCGAAAGGAAGGCTCAGAGTGCAAGACTGTCTTCTGGAATCGCACATAGGCCAAGAGTCAACATCAAGGGCAGAAAAACTAAGCAGCAATAGCACAAGAAGAATACACGTTACCTGTAAATTTGTTCTTGAAATCAAACTCTTTTAACTCTTAAGAGCAGTAACATGATGGAACATTTTTATAAAAAGGAGCAAAATATTCATTAACCTGGAGACATCCCAGTATTCCTGGCTAAGTAAGCTGAAATGCAACACTAAGAAAGCAAACTGCATTCTCAGATTTGTCTGTATCTGAAAAGTTACATCTAACACTTCTTTATCTCCATCCCAAAAGAAATACTAACTGTAATGGTATATGGTATGGTTGACTCCTTCTGGCTCGGTGATTTGTACAACGTTGCCAACCTGGTTAAACAAAAACAAATAATAATCATCAGTGATTCAATAATACAAAATTCCAAGTAACCAAATGATCAGACCCAAGTTTTCCCACAATCATGGAGTAGATCACCAGTGCAATTCCTATGTGTGTATTTTCATATAGGTTGTATAAATTGTGGATGCCAAAATCCCCTCCCTGTGCGACCTGTCAGCTAAAATACAATACAGGCCTACTAACAAAGAATGACTAATTAGCCTTGCTTCATTACAGTATTTCATCACTTTTTTGGAACAATATTAATTCTGAATTAATTTCAAATGCCACTTTCTTAAAATGCAAACAAAAAAGGTTTTGAGCATAATTCTTTCCTACTACATTAAGCAATCGTTTGTTGCTTCACCTCTCAGGGTTGGGAGATACTCGAAAGAATTCAAAAACTTTCTGGGAGTTTTTTTCCTAGGTATTTCACAAGGCTGTCAATATAACCTAGTAGATGAAGAATGAGAACAAAATGTTCTATTTCTAAGCCTGACCTTGCCACTGACATACAGCATAGCTTTGAGTAAATCATTTCTCTTGTATTTCTCCTTTAACACTTTTTTGATTTTGTTCATTTAGATTCTAAGCAATGTATCTTGATTTCTGCTTATGCAGCACCTAGCCCAGTAACTGCTTGTATAACACCGACTGAAGATTGCAAAACACCTCAACAGCATGAGATTTTTCAACCAGTTCCATGACTGCTAGTCTGCACCAAGCCCACCTGCCCAAAACTAATTCAGAAAGCCTGCCCAAAGCCAATTCAGAAAGTGTTCTCTCTGTTCCAGGACAGCTTACCAAGGATCTTGTTAATTATTTTTTTTTCCCCTCCCTGAGGTGCCATTCTATTAGAGAGCACGTAATTACAGCCTGAGGAACACTGCCACTTCATATTAGCTACGCAGGGAATTCCTCAGAACATGTAAGTGGTGGGTTACACTTTACAAAACAGCCTAAATCTGAAGCTGTAGAAGCCATGCTTTTACAAGCGCTCAGCTGGAGCTCTGCTGCATACCTCTGACTCAACAGGATCTTTCCTCACAGTACTGAGAGCCCTTGTAATTAAGCTCTGACACATTTCCAGTAGTAGAGAGAAAGAAAGAGACAGGTATCACATTTAGTCAAAGCACAGTAAAATAATAATAATAAAAAAGGCAAATGGATTCTCTAACGGTCATCTTTGCACCTCAATAACCTAACATAAAACCAAGAACAACAAAACCAATATGGATCATCAGCTACAGGTAACTTATGTACACGTGCAACAAAAGCTAGCTACTTCTGCTTTTTACAGATAGGCAGTTATAATCTAAATTGTTATGCTTCTGCAGGCCCTGGTCCACATTAGCTGCATATTTAGCACAGTAAATAAACCACGTTTGCCTATCTTTGGCTTTCTTTCTGGAACCTATACCTCCATATTTCCTCACTCTGTTGCAGAAGGAAAAAAAAAGCTCTTCAATTCTGATATACAAAATTAACTTTTGTTCATTCTGCAATCGTCATGTTGATGCAACTTCTCCCTTATAAAGGCTGTTAACTAATCAGTGTTAATTTAATTCAAAATTAAACAGACAGCTGTAATCATTCTGCATTGCCTTCAAACTCAGAATTTGAAAAACAAAATTCCGTAAGAAAATGTCACAGCATTTCTCTTTCAAGTTTAACAAGCAAAACTATGCACTACAGCACTCCAGTAGCATTTTTGTATGTTGTTTGCAGAAGATTAGGGAATTGAACCAAGCCTCCTCAAGTCTCAAGTTGCAGCACTGCGATACTACATGCAAGGCAAATTCAACTGTCCAGGAAATGGAAGTGAGCTTGCAATATAATAAGAACCAGGAAACAAAGCAGACCTCACTGCAGCAGACAGAAGTTTATACTGTTTTTAGAAGGGTCATCTTCACTCCTTTGGGCTTCTAAAATCATCTTCCATAGGTCCACTCTGTACTGTAAGGCAGCTCTCTTCCCAGTCCTCTACAGCTCACTGTAACTGAGTATTTGCATAGCTGTCCAGTATTCCAGAACCATCCTACCACATTTAAAAGTGGAAAGGTCCAACAGCTGCCACTGAGGCTAAGGGGCCTCTGTTCTGTCTTTGTGAGACTTAATATGCAGGTGGAATGCTTTCTTTGGCATCAAACAGATTTATACTGACCGGGGCCTAAAAGACGGAAGCAAAGAAATTCTACTCCCTGCTTGCAAAGTACATACAGTGAGAATGAATTTGCAGGAAAGCTCACAAGTCTGTGACAGAGACAAGCTGTAACTTTTTTTTTTTTTAAACCTAGCTGCCAGATCCTGAATTCTTGAGCCTAAGGAACTGCCATTAGGCTATTTTGATCAGACATGGCACAGCACTGCAACAAGCCGACCATAGTAAAAAGGAGAAGCAGAACAGTTCAGCGACACCATCTTAGGTTGAACTAGATAGTTCTTAAGCCTCAATAGCCTGGGTCATAGAAGACCAAGGACAACAATCAAATTCAAAACCCTGCTTGGCAACTAGTGCTGGTTTGAAAAGACTCTGAAATGTCACACTTCTCAGTATTGCTATGTACCTTACTGGCCTACACTTTCACTTACCTCTGACTTTTGTCCCAGTGAAAGATTAAACGCACAGTAGCAGCATGTCCCCAGCTTTCTCCTGGGTAACATAAAATGACAGGCCATTTTATTTATCTCCTATAAAAGCAGCAGCATCAGTAAATTGAAGTGAAATTAGACCAGTCTTAAAACAAACAAACAAACAAACAAAAACCACCACGATTAAACCATATATACTGTCTTGTAGTAACGAATCACATCTTTTTCATACATGCAAGGATTTCACTACGAGTGTATCAAATATACTGAGACAACGAATAACCCATGGACTCCACTGTATTTTATAGAAAGCCTGATGCAGTACTTTTTGTATTTGTAAAATTTTTTATGTATACTTAATAAAGGATGGGTACTAGACTAATCTTGAAAACAGAGGCAGTAGGAAGAAAAGATTTTTCTAATTACTACTTAAGAAGTCTAGTGGGTATGTCTAAATCCTACTCTAAGATTCTGATATTCTGTCTCGTAGGCATAATTATAAGCAAACATCACTCCCTTTGGGATACATGCTTTGGGAAAAAGTCAATGATTATTAAAGTATTAAGGGCCCCTGAAGCAGTCTTCCACTTCTGACAGAAGAATGCAAAAGGAACACAACCAAAAGTGAAGGGAAAAGAAAAATAAAAAGAGAACCAAGTTAGGAACGTTACTGTATTTCATGGGAAATGGCCCCACCGTTTTTTCACCCCTAGCAAGCTCAGTCAATTTACAGACAGATTTATTTGGTGTTTTTCTCTGTTCATCCCTTCAGTAGTCTGAAGATGGATTAGATTTTAAGAGTCATTTGGGTTAAGTGCTGCAAGCCTCTCTTTTATTCACCTGCACACAGGTCTAACTTCTGGATCACTTATTCATTGGATCTCCATCATGTCGCTAGGCCCACATGCCCCATGGGCTCTGGTACTCATTGTAGCATGGTAAAGAAAAAAACATGATTTGGCTGAAGACCTAGGCCCTCTAGGCATCTTGCCAGACCCCACTGCATGGTATTTAATTTGAGATTTTGGCTACCAGACACAGTTCCAAGTCAGAGATCAAAACACATTTTACAATGGGTACAAATTCCACACCAGAATTTTTCCAACTCTATCAAATACAAGAAAAGTATGCTACTGTAAAATGAGACATTTCTGAGTTAAACTGGTTGCAGATTAATATTTGACCTCCTTTCTAAATATATCAAGTAGAAATGTCTAGGAACACCCAGCTTAGCTATCACTGGTGGGAAAGAAAGCTGCCCCTCCATAAAGCTCTTGACTTAATACCTTGCAGCATCTGTGCTTTTTTTCCTCATAATTAAGAACTTCCCTTCTGCTAGGAAGATGAGTAAGAGTTTAGAGATTAATGCTTTTGTACAATCTTAGAAATGTCAAAGGCTTACCAGTCAATGGGGGAAAAAATATGTAGGGGAGGCAATAGGATTCATTTCACTTGGGGTTTTGCTCCTGACCCATTCCTAGTTTATTTGGCTACAACCAAGCATAGCTGAGTATGAGGTTCTTTAGCCTTTACGATGGGGCTGTTGAAATAGCATCCTTTCAGAGAGGGTCATAAAAAGCCACACCGTAATCCATCAGCTCAATACTTGCACTGAGTCTATGGAATAAATTCACATCAAATTGAAAACAGCTTTGTATCATTCTGAAATACTCAACTTGAGATATTGCTGTTTAGAATGAACAGAACATCTCCTTGCTTGAATATTTTACCAGCTGCTACAAACCCTCAATTTTGCAGGAGTACATACTATTTAGTTCAACAACACCATGTGGTTACACACGCTCTGGTGAGAGTCACAATCAGTTTATGGTCAATAGGAGGTTATGTCAAATTAAATGTTTGTAAAAAGTAAAAATATGCGCAAGACAATACGTGATGCCTATGAATTATAGCCTGCTCTGAATCCTTTCATATTCTTTATTGTCCCTGCAACTTAATAAACAGAATAGCTCTCAAACATTGCTGGCTATTTAAAAAGGACAGAATCTATTAGCTTTAATTCAGTTTATAGCCAGAAAGGCTGCCAAAAATAACTAATACATCAGAGAGCAAGAGGCAAAAATGACAAAAAGGGTCAGATACTGAAAGCTGGTGCTTTATCTGCATGCACAGCTCAGAGTTCCACATTCTCCAAGGAGATGATCTGTATTTGTTCATCTTATCTTACATCTGTGCCTAATGGTTCAATGCCTGTACAGACACTGAGAACATCTTTGCCTTTGTACTGTCCCCTTTCTCTCCTTCCCCTCCAGGACAAGGGGTTCATTACTTAGTTCACAGAAACTGAAGCTGTGGTCAGAGAATTTGTGCCCTTTAACTGCATCACAAAATAATGTGTAGTTATGACCTACAAGAAGAAAAAGCTCAGAATTTAACTCTTAATTTGTCAAAACCTCTACTTCAGAAGAGCTGCTCTATTTTCCCCTGTGGCTAGGGAGACCGGACCAGCAGAAAACTCTATACAAGGTATTCTGCTCATTACAGGGTGAAATGGAAGCCCGTAAAAAGAACACTTAAACACACTATGGGCAGGCTGTAATTGAGGATCCCACAAAGAACTCCCCTCTACATCCTAGCTGCAGGGAGCAATGGGTAGGCAGTTCCAGCCATGCACCAAGAAACACCTTTGCAAATAAGCAATAGAAACATGTTCAAGTGTAATGGCAAAACAAACAATTTAAACTTCTCTGTAGAGGCAGTGAATGATTCTCAGGGAATTCAGGAAATTGCAGTGTATTTTGAGGTGTGCAACCACTAAGCTATGGACACGTGTTCTTGGTGCTTTAACGTGGTCATCGCCACCTTTGTGCCAGAGGTTTAATGCTCCCTCCTCCATCCCTACGTTCTTTGTATGATCACTCACCAGACAGTTTCAACCTAAATTACCTGCTTTACCAGCAGCTTACTTACTACTTAAATAGCTGAAGCTTACCTGGCCCACTTTTGGCAGAAATGGATTGGGAGACAGTCACATAAACAGCTCAGCCAGCATAAAGGATGAGGCAGTGACCTCCAGCAGCAGTAGTGGCCTCCTTAGCTGACACAGCTGCAGCTGGAACAGAGGTACCTCCACAGCCTAAGATCCTCAGGGGAAGGCTGCATCACACTAGATGCAGGTCTCAATCTAGTTACTCAGGCTGTTCTTAGCACCATGTGCTTCCCCTTAAAGGGTGATTCAGTCTGCTTAAGGAATACTGATAGGTGTAATAATACAGAGTTAAGTATTAAAAATCGTTGAAAAATAAAAAAAAAAGTCCAATGTTCTCAATCTGAGTTCCTGCAATTTTCAAATGTCATGACATTTGACATTTTTAATCCCTTTTCAAATACCTAACCGTAACTCTAACCTCTATGCCATGTTTGCATTTAGAATAAAATTTAATAGTTGCTAATTATAATTACAATGCTGACATATATAAGCCCTACTGCAGTTCCCCGGTGCTGGCGGTTCCAGATGGGACTAACAGTTTCACCACGGATTCTGCTACTGTGCAGAAATTCAGCAGGCAACTTCATTTCCTTTGCTCACAATGCCAAAAGAGAAGTCATACATAGATATATTAACTCAGGTTTCAACTCACAAGCTAAACACCTACCTAAAGCAGGTACCAACGTGGACTGGCTTTGTCCAATCCTTGTTGTCATTTGGTTTGTCAGAACTACCTATAAATGGAAACAGAAGCAAACAAACAAAATTTCCAGAAAAGCAGCATACTAGTGGGAGGGAAGGCACGGATTTGTAAAAAGCTTTATTGATGAAATAGTTCCTTAAGCACAACTCTTGCCAACGGAAATGAAGCAGTGTGTTAACAAGAAGAAACTATAAAGGTGCCTCATCTTTTCTCAACAGCCAAAACAAAATAAGACAAGCCTGCAAAATGTATTTTCAGTGTGCATGAAAGGCCTTTAAGTCTATCATTCAAGACTTATAAATAAATAAATAAATAAAAAGCAAACTAATTTTCTTCTTTCCCAAGGGACACAAATTCTGCACAGCTTGTATCTTCTACAGCATTTGTATTGAATACTGTTTGGATCAGTATCTAGATGCACATGACTTGTACTAGCCCTCTATATAGAGGCAAGAGTTCAGTCACTGTGGCATAAATGAACTTGATGGTGCTGCACAAAGCATGTATAAGTCTAGTGATTAATAGAATTTCTGCACCTTGTAGTCTAAAAATGCGCAAGAGGGTACAATACAAAGCAGAATGAAAGTGAACAGACAGAGCGGGGGAGTGTTTTCGCAGCACAAATCACTCGTAGGAGGTTCACAGACAGTCTAGGTTAGATCTCTGGTAGAAATGGGGGTGGGTGAGACAGAAAAGAGCCAGAAATATTAATTGCAAAGTTCATTAAAAATGAAAAATTAAAAAAAAAAAAACAACGTACCTATCTTAAACCTTACGGATTTTCATTGTTTAACATGCTGTATGATTCTTACTTGAACAGGTAGAAAAGCACACTAGAGCAACTCCACTGAGCACAGGGGGCACACGCTAAAACTCATCACAAATGGATGACAGCAGCCCTCCAAAGGCTCCCCACCTCATTACTGGGGAAGGGCTGCTCTGGACATCCCAGCACAACCCACTGAGTTCACCTTTACAAACTCAAGAGAATTACCTTGCTACCATTCAGATTGCCCAGCTCTGCTGCCAGTCAAGTGATTTCCGAATTTATTTCCACGTAGCTTGCAAACAGTCTAACTCAAGAACTAAAGAGAAGGTCACTGAGTTAAACCATTTCTGGGGCTCTGTGACTGATCATTCTTTTTTAATCACGTGTTTATTTAGCAAGGGTTTGTACTAAACTCCTCACTTTTTCAATAGAAAAAAAAAAGTGTGTTTCCCTTGACCAAAAAAAACATGATACAATGACAACCACTCCCTTTCAAGGTCACCAGGTACCCAATTTATGAGTGAAAGGACTCTAACTGGAGGCTGTGCAAACAAAACAGTCACATAACATTAATGTCCCCTGGTGCTCACACCAAAAGGAGGAGCCTTTATAATTCATGTCATGGGGGAGAAGGGGCACGCTTTCAGCAGCGAGCACCATCACCTAACCCAGGCAGAACACAGAGCTGTGCTCCTTCCCTTCCTGCAGATATCAGAGGAAGCAGAAGGGGAGGCTCATTTTTAGCAGTTCCGAACAAAAGCCAAATGCGAGAGAGAGTTGTGGGTGACAAGGAAGCAAGTCACCTGGAAACAGCTACAGTGGCAAGCACCATTTTGAGACCCAGTAAGCTCTAATTCCTGAACAATGCTTTTCTGTGCCATAACAGACTTGCCAGAACAACTTCTGGAACAGATACAGCTTCCGAGTGCCATCTGCTGGTTACATGGCTGCACACTTGCATAAACGATGGAGGAACAATGCCCAGGAAGGAAGCTATGGGTTTCCATGGGTGCCAAAACAGCAAACCAAACTGCAGCAGATAAATTATTTTTCCTCCTTAAGGACAGAGCCTCTGCTGAGACAGTAGTTTATTTTTAAACAAAGGGTAGTTGTAACTGCTAAATATTCTGATGGGGTTTAACGTGTGTGCTTTGTAGGGAGAAGTTACTGAAGAAGCATTCTATTTCCAACCAAACCATGGAAGAAGATGATATGAAACAATAGGAAAAAAAGACACACTACCATTTAATTAAGATTCACAGGATGCTTTTTATTCAAATTTTACTTACTTTGGCAAGTGCAAGAATTTTCCATCTACACCGTTTTGCCTGTGTGATCCATCTATACTTACCAATCAAACTGGCAAACATAAGATGAAAGGACATTCCTGCAGCTTTAATTTGCTGTCTACAGACAACTACAAATCACATTGGCTTAATTCTTTGTAATGTATTTATTCCAAAGTAGCATCTTTTGTGATTTAAGCCTACCCAGACTTACCGCTGATTTATGATCATTCGCTATGATGATCAGCTGTTGTGCCAGACCGTTCAAAAGCCTTGTTCGAAGTGAGAGGTCCTCGAAGTCATGGCGAAAGGGAAATGCAATTCCATCAATCACCACCAGTCGGACCTCAACACAGAAGAAAAGGAAAAACTGCCATTACTATCCTACAAACTGAAAACAAAGAGCTGTAAGATCTCTTTTTAACAGCTTCGGGATGTTTTATATAAGGTGATAATTTTCTATACTCTCATGGATGCCAGTATCAAATAAAACTTATTGTTATTGCAGACAATCAGCATTGCACAAAAGAGTGCGAGGTAAAGAACCTCAAGCTCCCAACGCACTAGAATGCTTGCTAAGTGCAGTACTGTATTCACAGAACTATACTTCAGTCAACTCTCCACGAACGCTTCATTTCACCTTCTCCCTCAAAAAATAAGAGCCAAACCAAAACCAGAAGACATGCTGTTTGCAGTCACTGTTAATATCATCACATTCTGAAGGTCCCATCTATCTCGGAAGCATTCATTTTAACAGATGCTTTAAGATAGTCCAGACGCTATGCAATGGAGCTGAGTATCTATCCTGCCTGGAGACGCTTGCTTTGCTGAATTATGGCTTTTGTAGCAATCATTAGCTGAGCACAATGCTGCTGCAGGCTCATCACCCTCAAGACACTACATAAACATTAGTCTGGGATTTTGATTTATACTAACTTAATTTGTTGTAGCTGTTCTGTTGACCCAAATTTGCCTGAAATACAGAAGGGAGATGGATTGCCTTACGGTGTTCACGTTAAGCTGTCTCTAAAATCTTGGCTATCTGCATTAACGTACAAGACAACAAAGTGGAAAAAAAAAATTCTCATATTCTGTATATTGATTTAACTCATTTAGTACAAAGTAGCTTTGTGGCTGGAACATATAAGCCTGCAGCAAACACAGTGAAATGGCCCTGGGGCTCCAACTGGAAGAAAAAAAATCTTTATTTGAAAAGAACACTGAATAGTTGGAACCAAAATAAGATGTTCTTCTCTTATCATTTTTCTCCTTCCTGCAAATTAATTTCTATGAGCCTGTTCATCTTCACCGTGTATAATTGTTGAGTGTAAGAACAATCAGTTTAACAGTATAAACATGACTCACGTTAAAAGGGAATATATACATAGTTATGTAACTTGCCTATCAAATTAAAATCCAGGTAGGATGTAATTTAGTTTATTTTCTTCCCGCTGCACTTGTTATAAAATAACAACACAACCTCGCTTTGAAAAAGTTGATAATATATACCCTTCACATCAGAGTTTTTCTCTGAAAGACCTTAATGAATTGTTTATTATGACAAGGATATTTTCTAAGATAGTCTTTTATACTTTATCATTTCTCTTACTACTAGGATCTTTAAGTAACTTGTATCACCCCCTTTCTTTGCATCTCTCCTAACAAAACCTAAAACCTGGAGATTTTCCTGCAGTCCCCAGTCTCAGCTCCAGATCTACACAGAAGGATCAAACTAATTTTAATGAGAGCTAGATCGCAATGAGCAATCTGTCGAGCCACTTATAGCCTGTCCAAGGAACCACCAGAAGGTCTTATGGTTTTCCTGCAACCTTCAGTATTTCAGGCTCCAGGCCAAGCAGCAATAATCAGCACAGATGGTACCAAAGAACTGCAGCCCAATGTAACTGTGCTAATGAAGCCGTGTTCTTTCCACAAGAGCAAACACAACAGGGCACCGTTAGTACCTGGCAGAGAAAGGGAAATACCAGACTACACTATGCAAAAGTAAGACTCCCATCTGTGCTTTCAAGATCATAGCTTCCAAAAATGGAAATGATATGCAAAAAACAATTTAACCAAACAACACTGATTTGTGCTCTGTTGCAATGAGGCACAAATCTCCTTCCCCGAATCCTGCTCGGGAGTGATCTGCTGTGTAGAACCTAGAAATCTGGAAGGGAGGTGGAGAAAATATGCCTTGCAACAGCATTTCACTAAGAACTAGATGGTAGGCAACTTTTTGGCTGTAGTCCACCCAAGAGTTAAGCTGCAGGCTCTCGTTGCTTGTAGCAACAGAAGATGTACTGGAAAGAAGTTACAGTCACTTTCTGGATGCCAAGATGTGCAGGATGCTTCTGGTCCTCAGTGATCTTCTAGGGGGAAAAAACTGGCACTAGGTCCTTCTGATCCCCCTGCACAACGGTCATCACACTGCAAGGCAGTTGTGTGATGATTCCTAAATCAGTCCTCATAGAAATATAACTTTTGTGGCAACAAAGATCCAGTACCCTCACCAAATTCGAGATTCAGAATGGTGACAGCATTGGTAGCAAAAGCTAATTACTTTCAGGAGTAATTGGGACAGGAATGAAAAGCAAACAAGCTTTACATTTGTACTCTGGCATCAGACAGTATATTACTGCCAGCCAAGCTGATGAGGCACCAGCATGTTACTCTTATTATATCAGAGAGCATCCTTGAAAATCTTTAGTGGGAAAATGAATGTTATCTTCAGGTAAGTCTGCAATAACTCTTACCTTTGAATGCTCTGAAAGAAAGTCTGGGAGCAGATAGACCTGTGCTAGAAGCTCTATGTAGTCACGGCAACGGAAGTAATATATGTGAGAAAGGATACTTTCAAGAGAAAAAGTCTCCAAAGCCTTCTGATGATCTGAGAATAAATAGATGAATAACTGAGTCAGAAATCCATGCTAGCGCATTGCTACTATCGTCATTCCACCATACTATGCCTTCCACATACAGCAACAACAGCAGCAATCACCCCAAAAACTTTGTTAAGACAAACAGTGAAGGTAAAGAGTGTGGAAAACATGTCTTCCATCTGGCTGGAAAGTCAGGAAGGTAGCGAGCAGATGCTATCTCAGCACTTGCACGTGGGTACACTTGAACCTCCAAGGGAGTGTGCCAAAAATGAAAAATTAATTTCTGAAAAAGAACTTTTCCTGTAAATCATTTTCAAGCCAGAACACCACTAGAGGACAACAGTGAGCATTAATCATGCATTGTTTAATGTACAGGAAGTAGCCCATTTATCTTGGGCTAAAAGTGTCCTTTTATCTTTGTTCAAACACCGTTCAGCCATGCTGCCTTAAGAAATTCTGCCTTTTCTCTTTTTCCTCAGCTGCTCTTCCTGTCCCTGCACTGCAGCACCTTATCCTTCAGTTTTCCCAGCAGAGCTGTGTTTGCTTTTGCTGTAAATTCAATCATTAAAGTGATTCATGTTTAAAAAAGATAAACCAAGATCCCTAAAACAAACAAAAAACTACCAACGAATCATCACCCAGAAAAAAGAGTTATTCTTAAACTAGATCAGCTCAGCCTGCAGCATGGCTCCAGTCACAGTGACGCAGTTCACAGTATCATACGTAGGGGTGGAAGTAAAAGGCTGGCAGCAAGAACTGCTTAAGCCAGCACTGCTGCTGAAACTCTCAAACTGTAAAATAGCAGCCTATGACACACCAGTTTCACTCAGATCCCAGCCTACTAGACAGAAAGAAACGTGTCACAGAATCATTACCTTCTTCTTGATGAGCTTCAGCAATTAGCTGGCAGTGCCGCACACAGGCGGCTGCAATATCCGCTACTCTGTCTACCATAAAACTTCCTTCAGTGTCAATGAACACCGCTTCTCCACAGATACCCCCGAAGCATTCTGGAATCTGTACATCTACCGCCAACTGCATGCTGTCATGGGAAACAAAGACAAAAACATAAACATGTTTGTTACAAGCATCTTCCCTCCTCACTACATTTCTGCTGAGGAATACATGGAAGAGGAAGGTGCCTAGCCATCATCAAACTGCATATTGATCAGAACTCTCATTGTAGTTAAATTCAACAAAGAAAAGTGATTCTCAGTTGCACAAAAGTAATCTAAAAATAAAATACCATAGCTGTGTTTTCCCAACACCAGGCGCTCCACAGACCTCAGTGATCTTTGTCAGCTGCACGCCACCTCCCAGAATATTGTCTAGGGCCGAACAAAAGGTGATGATGAAGCCCTGCGCCTGCTCTTCTTCCAGAAGCTCCAGTGCTGTGCACTTTCTGGTGGTGCCAGCTCCCCCAGCAGTCCTTGCTGCATCGCCAGAACATTCCTGCCTTACAACCTGCAATGCCTCCAGTGCCTCTTCTTTGGAGATTCCAATTTCTAGGAGAGACAAAAATCATGAAATGTTACCTTAATTTTATAAACAGCAATTTAAAATACAGACAGTACAACTTTTTAACAAAGTGTGCCAATTCTGATGCATAACTCAAAATTATTAATTCTTTTAATGTAATAGTGCACAGAGCTTGCCAGCATCTCCGGAACTAAAGACCTTATTTTCAAAAGAGATGATTTTCAAAGCAACTCAGACCAATGATGCACTGGTGGCAATAAGCAGTGTGTAAATAAAAAGCCCAGAGCACTGTTCACAGATGCGGTTAGGATCTGGGAGAGCAATGTGCATCGTCTACACTGAATGCACTGCTAAGTTAACGTCATTTGAAGCAAATACGGCCCTGAAAAACAAAGTCAGGCTGCAGACTAGTAAGTGGTAGTGACACCTACTGCTGGCACCGTGAGTACTTGGGGTATTCCGGGGCTGAGCACCTTCACACCTTATTTTTAGATGTGAAGCACAGCCCTAGGAACAGAAGTGAGGCAGCACAAACATGCTTGGGTACATCTTTACACACGGGGAGGCCAGGATCTGGCTACCACTACAATGGATCATCATAGAGAGCAAAATTTCTAATAATAAAAAGCACGGTGCGCTTCTTAAAAGGGCTGTACAAATCACATTGGAGATTCTTGAAAGGAAAAAAGCTCCTTAACTGTACGCGTTACTTTCTTATGCTTAAAACAAAAGCAGCTTCCTAACTGCTTACGGTGGCTGACTGTGCTTCAAACGTGCAAGGGGGGAAGTCAGCGAGAGGGCATATTCTGAATTTGTAGCATCCCATTTGTGTTTATCACTAAGCTTTTTTTTGCAAAAGGGCATATTCTGAATTTTAGCGTCCTATTTGTACTCATGACTCAACTTTTTTTGTGAATTTCGTGGGTTTTTTTTGTTTGTTATTATTTTATCGGAAACAGGAGGGAACTTTTGCCCATTTTCTTCCTTAGGTGTAGAACTCCCTAAACATCCCCCCCCCTTACCCTGTCCCCTCAGAGCGACTCCTCAGGCAGCACCGAGCCCTCCCCAGTCCCCCCCACAACCCCGGGCCCAGCCCCGCGCCCCCCCCCCGCTTCCCCCCGGAGCCGACCCGAGCCCTCCCCGTGCCTCTACCTCTGCTCAGCCCGCAGGGCCCGGTGTCCAGCAGCTCCTGCGCGGTCTGGAAGCCGGCAGCCGCCAGCCTGGCCCTCAGCGCGGGGCCGAGCGGCAGGCTGCCCACCTCCCTCTGCATACCGCCGCCCGCCCCCCACGGGCCGCGCTAGGCCGCACCGGGCCGCGCTAGGCCCCGCCTAGCAACCGGGGGGGGGGGGGGGGAGCACTGCGCATGCGCCGCCCGCTGAGGCGCGAGGAGAGCCGGCACGTGACCGCGGCCGTTAGGGGGCGGTTGAGGGCGGTTGGTGCTGAGGGGGCGCTGAGGGTCCTTGGGGGAGGGTGGGCTCCGTCCTCCCTTCAGCCCGTCAGAGAGGCCTCTGTGACCCGCAGGTGTGAGAACTGTGCTGGTATTTCCCCGCTGTCAGCTCTCGGTGCCCTTCCCTGGGACCCTCTCCCCTCATCGGGGTGTCAGGGCCTGGGGCAGGCTCTCCTCAGCGAGCCGCCGGGCTCAGCGCCTTTGTTCTCTCATCAGGGTCCCCGAGGAAGGAGCGGCCACTGCTCAGAGTCAGCTGCTGGTGTGTCGGAAGCGAGGAGTAAGTCCTGCTGTGGTGATTTGCGGCTATCTGCCAATTTGCGTTGAGGGAAGAGGATGGCGCACGCGCTCCCGCTTCCAATTCCCTGCCCTGTGCAGCTTGGGACGACAAGAGGGGACTCCCCCGAGGCTCAGATGCATGAGTGTGTCAGACAGGGGAACTGCGTCAAGGTGAAGAAGCTTCTGAAAAAAGGTAAAGCTTCAGTTTAGAGAAGTCATTGCAGGAAAGGTTTACTTACTCCTGTATGCTTGTGTTTGTGGTAAACAGGTAGAATCAGCATACTGTTAATTCAGTTTTGTCATTGAACAGTGTTTACAAAAGGTAGCATGTTGGGTCTTTTCTGGTAAACGGCACCAATAAGTAAAAAAAAAGTATGAAGAGAAGTAATCTGGAAAGACTTAAGGTTTTAGTTGCAAGGTTACAGTACCGAAATCATAAGGAAGTAATTCAATGCTGTAAAACTAACGTTCTGGAAGTCTGCTTTAGGAATGTGTACATAGGGTTTAAATTTTAGTTCTGCTTGCAAAGCTCTTAAAGTACCGCTTAAATGCTGGCGTTTTTAGCACCCACATTTGTAATGACAGGGAGCAAAGAGCACTGCAAATGAAATGTAGTATTTATGCAGTTCTGCTCCGTTATTACAAGCAGCTCTGTTTCCAACTTGGAGATTCCAAGAGCAGAACGCTGATAGCACAGAAACACTGGGACAAAAAGCAAGAAGGAGGCAGTAGGGACAAAACAGGGAGCTCGAGGCGTGGTCTCTGTCCCTGGACGCAAGAAATATGACTGTGCGGGTATTGTGGGATCAAATGTCCTGTTTTTCAAACCGTTTTTAGGGATGTGAGCAGCAGGTGCAGCTCCTGGGGGTGCGACTCCGCTGCAGCCCTGCGGGGCGCTCCTGGAGCGCTGCGGGGCGGGGCCGGCGGCGGGCGCGTGTGATTGGCCGGGCAGCGCTGCATGCAAATGAGGGGGCGTGTCCATGCAACCCACTCGCGGGGCGCTCCCGGGGAGCGTGGGGCCGCAGCGGGGGCGCGCCCGGCGGCGGGGGCGCGGAGGGGAACGGGGAATGGGGGAATCGGGATTAGGGTGGGGACCGGGGGGTTGCCGTGAGCTAGGGGCCGGTCGGCGGCCGTGGGACCCGTCGGGGCGGCAGTGTGAGGCCAGGACTATACTTTCAGGGATCATTTCTGTAGTTGGTAACTAGAGGAGTGTGATCGAAAGTGTCCGGCGTCACAAGCCACGAGGAGGAGCTGCGTGCTGTCTCCTGAGCGCGAGGCGGGCGGGCGGCGCTGCTGCAGTGCAGGGGCCTCCCGCCATCGATGACCGTTCCCGACCTCTTTATGGGGTTTGGGAGGGAGAGAGCACAGGCTGAGTGGTTTGTGTCCTTATTTTAACGGTGTCAAAAACAGAGCAAATTTCTAACTTCTAACAGAGAGGGTGCGGTGCTGCCAGAAGCTCCGTGCCCGGGGAAGCTCAGTGTCTGCGCAGGGGGCGTTCAGGGGTCTGCACCCCAGTGTTGCCCGGGCTGGAGCAGGCTGCGGGGCTCCAGGGATGCAGCGAGGTCCCCTTATCCCTGTCCCTGGGTGGCCACAGGCACTTTGAGGCCGGCAGAGCCGGCTCGCTCCGCCTGCTCCCTGCACGCCACCCCCGGCAGGCCGCGCCGTGTGGCCGCGGTGTCGCTGACGGGCACCGGAGCTCCTCGCTCAGCACGGTCACGGAGCGGCCCCTTTACGGCCCCACGCGGCCGCTGTTCCCGGTGCCACCGCTGCTAACGCCGCTGCTGCGCTCACTCCGCGGCGCCCCGTGCCCGCGCAGCCGCTGCGCTGCCTCCAGGGGGCGCCCCCGGCCCCGCTGCGTGGAGGAGCGGGAGCGGTGCCCACCCTCCTCCCTCCCTGAGAGCGGCGAACCTGATTGGCCGGGCAGCGCGCTGCATGCAAATGAGGGGGCGTGTTCCGTTAAACCCGCTCGCGGGGCGCTCCCGGGGGGCGCGGGGCCGCAGCGGGGGCGCGCATGGCGGCGTGGGCGCGGCGGGGAACGGGGAGAGTGGGAAGGCTGCGGGGCCGTGCGGGAACCGGGGGGTTGCCGTGAGCTAGGGGCCGGTCCGCGGCCGTGGGACCCGTCGGGGCGGAAGTGTGAGGCCAGGACTATACTTTCAGGGATCATTTCTGTAGTTGGTAACTAGAGGAGTGTGATCGAAAGTGTCCGGCGTCACAAGCCACGAGGAGGAGCTGCGTGCTGTCTCCTGAGCGCGAGGCGGGCGGGCGGCGCTGCTGCAGTGCAGGGGCCTCCCGCCATCGATGACCGTTCCCGACTCCTTTATGGGGTTTGGGAGGGAGAGAGTACAGGCTGAGTGGTTTGTGTCCTACTTTGATTGTAAAAAACAGATCTAATATGAGTGGTTTGAAGGAACGACTGCTCCTGATCTCCTTTCGTGTCCCACTGGAACTCGCTGTCCCTGAGCTGCTTCTTGCCAGGGCAGCTCCTGGTGACCCCCAGCCCCTCGGTGCCCATCCGAGGTAGCAGGGGCTGGCCCCAGAGTGATGAGAGGGGTCAGCCGCGCTGCTTTGGGTGTCGTTGTCCCCAGGGTCTGGGGGTGGTGGAAAGAACTGCTTCGGAACTCTGTTGGCACCCCGGTGCGGGGACTGCGTGGTGGTGTCCTGGAGCCGTCTGTTGTAGGAGGGAAGATGGCACGGAGGGTGCTGGGAGCGGTCCTGGGGGACTGGGCTGGCTCGGCAGGGGGCTGGGGAGAAGAAGCGTGCCGGGCTGCGGGAGGCACCGGGAGGCTGCGTGCCTCGGGGTCCGTCCGCAGCACCGCGACCCCTCGAGCAGGGCTTCCCGGGGGCTGGGGGGTGCTGCTGAGTGCCCTGCGCTGCGCCGGGACACGGCGTGAGGCAGGATCCGGAGGCAGTGTGGGGCCAGGAGAAGCCGCTTTGTGTTGCGCTGACACCCGGCTGTCCCCTCCGGGTGACACCGCACAGCGCGGGGCTGCTGCTGCTGCCCTGCCCCTGCCGGCGGCTCGGCGCTGCCCGGGGACCACCGGCCCCGACCCTGCTCCGCGCTCCGGGGCTGCAGCGCGGGGGCGGGGCCCCGAGAGCGGTGCGCCTGATTGGCCGGGCAGCGCGCTGCATGCAAATGAGGGGGCGTGTCCCGTCAAACCCGCTCGCGGGGCGCTCCCGGGGGGCGCGGGGCCGCAGCGGGGGCGCGCATGGCGGCGGGGGCGCGGCGGGGAACGGGGAGAGTGGGAAGGCTGCGGGGCCGTGCGGGAACCGGGGGGTTGCCGTGAGCTCGGGGCCGGTCCGCGGCCGTGGGACCCGTCGGGGCGGCGGTGTGAGGTTAGGACTATACTTTCAGGGATCATTTCTGTAGTTGGTAACTAGAGGAGTGTGATCGAAAGTGTCCGGCGTCACAAGCCACGAGGAGGAGCTGCGTGCTGTCTCCTGAGCGCGAGGCGGGCGGGCGGCGCTGCTGCAGTGCAGGGGCCTCCCGCCATCGATGACCGTTCCCGACTCCTTTATGGGGTCTGGGAGGGAGAGAGCACAGGCTGAGTGGTTTGTGTCCTATTTTACTTGTAAAAAACAGATTTTTGGTTGTGCAAGCGGTAGCGTGACGCCTTGGGGTGTTACAGATCCGTTTTTCCTAAAAGCCAGGCTGCTGCTCTGCAGTCTGATTGTAAATCGATTTATTGAGTCAAACCCGTCAAGGTGCCACAATATCCTTCTTATTAACCTTATAGGGGACTTCATCTTATAGCTGAGTGCCCTGGTGTTACCCACACTCATCTGCATTTATACTTTTTTTTTCCCTTTGTATATATGAAAGCACTGTGCAGAAACAGGGGCATGGCATATAGAGTTACAAGCAATGACCACTAATTTTTCATTATTGTTCAGTTAATACCACATTACATTTTCTCACGATCTCAGAGGGAATGCAGTTGTCCATTTCAGAATAAATAACCCGCTGCTTTTTTTTTTTCATATGCGGAGAAAAATTAAAACACCCACCTATATAATCTTTTGTTTTCTTGTAGGCACCTTTGTTGATGCTGTGAATTCCATGGGCCAGACACCTCTCTTCACTGCTGCGTTGTTAGGTCTTGGTAAAATAGTGGATGTGCTGTTGGATTATGGCTCCGACCCTAATCAGTTAAGTACAAAAATAAGTTTATAGTTTTAAACTGGAACTGATATTTAATCTTGTGGTGGGTTTGGTCAGTGTAATACACAATATTCGCTGTATATTATGAAGAAGTGCTTAACAGCACATTTGAGCCAAAGCTCCTGAAATGCAAGTAGGTGCTTAATTTTCCTTTTTCCATTGTACCTGTTGCTGTTTGGGTATATGGAAGCTTTATATTTACACTGCTTACTTTCTCAGAGACTCAGCGGTTGAATTTGGTAGTGGTTGGCTGAAATCTTGATTTCACGTTCCTCAGTCGCTGTTATGATGGAAGCACCCCGGTCCATGCAGGCGCATTCTCAGGAAATCAGTGGATTCTTAGCAAGTTACTGGATGAAGGAGGTGATCTGAGAGTACACGATAAAGATGGAAAAAATCCACAGTGCTGGGCTATGTCAGCTGAAAAAGAAAGCAGTGCTCAGGTATGTGTGCATTTAAATGGATATATCTAATTAGTCACCCAGTGTTTGAGATTTTTTTGTAACATTTTCATGTAATTTTCTTCAAAACCTTTTGCATATAAATTTCCTGAAGTGCCTGCTTATTTGCAGTATTTCAAATAATGGGGTATTTTTTGTTGGCCAGGATTTACTAATTCAAAATGGAGTAACAGTTCTGAGGTCACTTCTTCCTCTCCTTCTTCACCCAGATGCTGGAATTTATACAGCGCTGTACATTCCACATGCAGGCTGCCATTCAGAATTTTCCCTGTGATCAACTCAGGAAGGTTTGCTCCTCAAAAGCACTGGTTTGTAGTCCATCTAGGTTTGGTGGCCTTGTTCAAGGGTAAGAAAATATTCTCATGTGCTGATGTATTGACCCTCCTGGACTCTTACCTCCATTTAACATGGTTTTGTTCCTTTTTGATGCTATTGGATTTGAAACCAAAGCATATTAGGAGTGATCATTCTTTTTATTTTTGTTATGGGAGTTCCAAATAGAAGTTGGTAGCTGCAGATGTCTCTTAATATTTACTCTTGAAATCAATGATAAGAAATACTGTATTTAGCAGTGTTAAAATGGCTGTAACATGAAGTAGTTTGTTTCTTGACTTTCCAAGGTCACTAAATCTTTCAGTGGTGTGTTTACAATAATTTCATGAGCTTTTATGTCAGATATTTGTTAGGAAAAATATACACCTGTGAAGCAAAGGTGATGCATGGTGCCTGTGTGCATCTATCTATCTACCTACCTATCTATCTATCTATCTATCTATATGCATTTGGCCACCATGCTTGAAACATCATAATGGTGTATTTTATAAGCTTCAATTACTTACTTGCACAATAATTTGAAATTTCAGCATATGCATTCCAATTATGACGTTAAATATACATGGCTGTTGTGTTATTTCTGCACTTTCCTTCTGCCTTGGCATATTAGTTACTCCTATTATGTTTTTGATATTTAGAAATGTTGACAGTCCTTTGGGTAGATTTCTGAAAGGTGGAGCTAATGCAGGCAGGAACATTTACAGCTTTGGTTTTGGGAAGGTAAGATGTTATGGATAATGGTTTTCTAATGATATTAGTACAGATTTCATGATTTTTGGTCAGATGATCTTGGCAGTAATTACCTTGCCTTCATTATTTTTGATTCTTAGCACATTCTTCTTTCTACTGAAATGGTGGAAAAAAGCTGTGGGGACCCCAAATGTTCAGACCTTTAGTCATTGTCATTAGGCCTTACCAGAGGAAGCTGGTTTGGAAAAACAAACAAACAAACAAAAAACCACAACAGTAAAGTCTTTCCCGTGACTGTTTCTGTGTTCCTTATTCAACTCCACTAGAAAGTTAAGCTTTTTGTATAGATAACCTTAAGGCTTTATTGTGATGCTTTGGCTAACGTTCACGCTGCAGTGATTGGGTTAAAGTTTTTAGTGAGTTTGTGGCAGATATAATGCAGGTCTTGGGAACTGTTGCACATTCCTTTCGGTTTATGTATGGGTGCTCTTTCAGTTCTATCTTGCAGGCAGCAGGCATCTAGGGTACTTGGCATCTCTCCCTATTATTGGGGAAAGAGAAGTGGTTCAGGCAGATGATGAACCGACATTTTCTTACCATGTTGGACCGTGCATGATCATGACAAAGTGAGTGAGATCAAAGGGATCTTACCCCCTCTTCATGTGTATCTGTTGCTGTTCAGTAGCAAACTGTACAGGGCTTAGTCTGGGTTGCTTTCCTTGTCTGGTGTGTATACATCCACTATTCCATTTTGGAATCACAAAATTCTTTGGAAGTAGTCTTTGGAAGTAGTCTTGTAACCAGAGGGTGAAGGGGGTGGGGATATGAACCTGCAGAAAGCGTGTTGTAGATACTCCTCTTCTCCTTGTAGCTTAATGTGGGGAAGCAGCAGAGTTACAGTGAAGGAACTCAGCTTTGAGCCCCATCAGAACTGCAGTAAGCTGCGCTTAGCTGATCTTCTCATTGCAGAGCAGGAGCACAGTAGGTAAGAACAAGTGAATGTGCAGTGGGCACAGGTGCTGCAGGGGTCTGAGGCTAGGAGAAGGCCTGACAGTCTTCCTGAGGTGAATCGCACTGTGACTCTGCTTTCTCTCCAAATGAGAAATGCAGGTCTTCTTCTCTCTCTTCCTACTCCATTTTCTTCGCTATGTATAATACAGAAGATGATACTCTCTTCTGATAGGTCTGTGTGAATGCTTCATTGCATTTTCCTGGATGGCTTGCTTATAGATTGCCCTAGCAGCAGCAGCAAGCCCTATTATTTAAGAAATAAATCTTCCTAATCTACTGTTCTTTTCTAATGTTGGCTAGTTAAACAATAAGTTAGAAGCATTCATGTTGTATTTGTAAAAAGACCCAGAGGGCCAGTACTCTGTCTTTTAATCTCAGATTTGTTATAACTGTTTTCCCCTCTCCCTTTGCAGTAAACTTCGTCATCCGCATTTGCTGCAGTTGATGTCTGTTTGTCTGTCTAGTGATTTGGAGAAGATCCGTTTAGTATACGAAAGGGTAAACTTTGGCTCTTTGTACAGCATCCTTCATGAAAGGGTAATTGGAATACTTGTAAATACTGTCGTAAATAGTAATTATTTGAGAGAAAGGAGTTCAGTAACTATATTTGCAGTCTTTACTCATGTAAAATACAAAATCACTGGTCTCTATTAAGGTTTCTATTTCATTGCACAGTATTGGATACTCTATATGCTGGTGAAGTTTGCCATTGGCAAATACTTCAGTTGACGTTTAGGTGCAGTTGCGTTGGATTTCTTGTTTAGTATTGATCTTAAAATGGCTGCTATTAAATTCCATTGAACTTCTGCATGTGATTGCACCGCAAATGTGGTGAGACCAGCTTTTGTCCTTTAATATATGCATGCAATTTGCTGCAGGCTGCTTGTGTATAACAATGAAGGCGTGAGATTGGTTGCATTTTTTTAATCAAGCAGTTTGTATCTTGTTATTATCACTCAATATTTTTCTCTTATTTTTTCACAGTTAATTGAATCTTTTTTTTTTTTTTTCTCTAAGTGTCCAAGTACAACATCTAAATTATGGATAAGTTGCAGATAAAGACAGGAGATTCTAAGAGTTGATTCTAGTTCAGGGTGAATTTTGGCATCGTCATTGTCTTTTTCCTTAATTTCTGTTTAATGTATTAGTAGTTTGTTTGGTACTGAGAAACGTGTATGTTGTTCAGAAAGTGTAATTCGTATGACTTTTACTACAAGGAAATAAGAAATGATTTTTACTACCATGAAATACATTTCATTTTTGCTTTTTTTGCCTCCTAGTGTACAATGATTTCTCAGTACTTCAGGCTTTAAAGACCTGCAATACAAAATGGGAACTTCTGTTTTTTTTTTGTTTTTTTTTTCAGCGTACAGAATTTCCAGTGCTGCGCATGGAGACAATTTTGCATGTACTGCTTCAAATTAATGATGCTTTGCGTTTTCTACACTCCCGGGGGTTTATCCATCGTTCGATTACATCCCATGCTATACAGATCGTTTCTTCTGGAGAGGCAAAGCTATGCAACATGGAATACATGATAGAGAGGTAAAGAATTGCCTCACTGTTTGTGGAGGGAACAAATACAAAGCCAGATTTAGTGCTAAATTCTGCTGAAGTGGTTTTGCAGGTGTCCTGCTTGATGACTAGGTGACTCCCCTGCCTCTGAGCTAGGCAGCAGAGTTACAGGAGAGAAGAACTAAATTATCACTGCTGAGGTACATTAAATTTGCTACAGGCTATGTGGCAAGTTTTAGGTGGACTTAGATTCTGCGTTAGGAGTATCTGAAACTATTAAGAGAAGAAGGTCTTCACTGGAGTTTAGAGGTACTGTCAGAGACAGAATATAATTTTACAGAAGAGATGAAATTTCTCCTTGAGTCACTAATTCTGTTGCTGGGCTGGAAATACTTTAATCGCCTTCTTGTTCTGAATTTGCACTTATGGAGGCTTGCCTAAAAGGTCCGAAGATCACACGCTACATTGGTCTGGGAGTAGTTATTAAGTGCCACCAGTGATGAGAAGAAGCTTTAGTACATCTTTGTCCCTTTTATAAGGGACACAATACATTTTTATCTGGTAAATTACTATATACTTGTAGAAGCCTCTTTCCTGCAGTGCGGCTGGATTTGAAAGGGAATAAAAGATCGGTTACACTGTAAAGAGAGAGAGTAAAATTGATAATAAACAAAAACTTGACAATGGAAATGTCATGAAATGAGCAAAGATACTTCCTAATGTCCTTGCAAACTCAATTTTTTACTAAATCCTGGCTGTTTCTTTTATTTACAGGTACTTGCAGCCTGCTGTGTAATAAAAAACACATAAATCACAGTTTGTGTGAGGAAAAAATTAGCTTTTAGACGTATGTAGACGTTGCAAAATAATTGACAGTCTAGAAGACACCTTTTTCTCTTTAGTCTGCAGTCTGCTGTGGGCACAGAATGCTGAAAAATTGGTTGTAAAAATACTATGGGGAACTTTTCAACTCTGACTATTGCTTGATGTAAAGTTTTTAAAGGAGTTCTTACTTCTGCAAGAAAAATTGTGTGCTCTACAATGCCAAAATACAGGATTTGTTGGTGTGAAAATACAACATATTTTTTTGCAGGTCTGCTTGGATCTTTTAGGTATTTAAGCTAGAAGAAGATACAACAAACTCAGGTTCTTAATTCTGAATGACACAGTTGTTTAGAGGAATGTGCAATTTATAACTTTTTTTCTCCTTTTGTATAGCAAAGATGGTGGAGAACACAGTGATCTGACTCGTATTCCTGTCCCAGTCCAGCTATTTAAATGGTGCTCACCTGAAGTAATCCTTGAAAAAGCTGTCACAGTGAAATCGGACATTTACAGTTTCTGTACAGTGATGCAGGAGGCCTTGACAGGTATGTGCATAAGCTTAGGCTTCTTTTGTCACTAGGGTAGCCCAATGAAGATTTTCAGTGCCGACTGTTTATTTTCCCTACGTGGCTGCATAAAAACCTTGCTGTTATTGCACATACAGAATTAACCTGGAGGAGGAACCCACCAGGCAAAAAACAAATGTTGATGACAGTGGCAAAGACTGTTGGGGACACTTGTAAAGTGTAATTGAAAAGCTTGAAATTGCCTAACTAAGGGATGAGATTAATGGTAAGCAATACAAAGATAGAATTTTGTGTGTGTTGGATTGCTGCTGTTAATCTCCTTCATGCAAGGACAGCGAAATACTCAGTTAATTTTTTTTTTTGCAATATACAAAAAGAGTTTGTGCACCTTTCATCCTTTTCATGAATGTGAAAATTTGCAGGTAAACTTTTATTATTTGTTGACTTGGACTATTTTGACAGATAAATGGGGTAAAAAATTATTACTCTGAAAATTTAACCTAGAAGGGTAGCTGGTTGAGCATCCACTGTTGGCGTGAGATAGGAAGATGCCAGGCTGGATTCTGGATTGAATACTGGTTTGGTTTCTGACAGCAGTTGCAACTTACAGAACATGCAGACAAAATGCTTCCTTGCCTTTGATCACTCTCTCGTTTCCGTACCTCCTGCCCCTCCCTTAATATACAGGTTGTGACATAAAATCTGTATTTATGCGTTGCAGAGACCCTGCCCTGGAAAGGTGTTGAAGACTCAGTTATTAAACAACTCATAATGTCAGGACAGCACTTAGAAGCGGATGTCAGACTTCCTATACCTTATTATGGTATAGTAAAGTCAGGGCTAGAACCTAAACAGAAGAACCGCTCCATGAACCTTCAGGATATTCAGTATATACTGAAAAATGACTTAAAGGTGATTTCCAGGATAGTAGCCGTTCATGTTTTAAAAATGGAAGCGTTTTATGTTCATTTGGATTCAAGTTGTTCACCTTAAATCTAGGTGGGAGGTTTTTTGTGTGAAATCTGAACAGTGAGTATCCTTCTCGGATCACGGAGGCAAACCACATAGAAGGTGGAGACTAGATTGGTCAATTAAAGATGCCTTTAAAAGTATTTCTTGTGTTGCAGGACTTGACTAAGTCTCAGACTGGGCACACTGATGAAATGTCAAAAGTGCAAAGGCCTGCTGTTTTCGCAGATATAAACATCTGCTTGGCATCAGCTTTTAGCTACCAGAAGAGAACACTGGGACTGCATGAAGAAGAGGTAACAGAGGCTGGTAAGTTTGTTTGTTTGTTTGTTTGTTTTATCAAGGCGTTGTGCATCCTTTGCTGAGGATTTTTCTCAGTCCACAAAGATCTACTGTAAACAACTGAAATGGGAGCACTTACAGATTTGATGACATAGATTGAAAACAGAAAGCAATTAGATCTGTATTTTACCTGCCACCCTAACTATTAATGTAAACTCAAGACTGTATGTCAGGTTAATAATTGCAGTTCAGGCACACTGCTTTCAGCAGAGCTGTTAAATGCTGCTTATGTATTATCTAAAAGGTGTTGACTGTTAAATGTACAAAAGCAGTGTGTCTGATGGACATCTGGAGGAGTAGCTAAACACCTAATATCAAATTTTTGCAGACAGCTCTCCTGCCCCAAGATACTCTCTTATTCCTGAGGAGAATAATGCTTTAGTAGACTATGAGGCATCGAGCAATCTACAGCCAGTTGCACAGGAAAAAAATCATGACATAGATTCTGAAGTCCAGGCGACCTGCAGTGTCAGTGATGTGGATGACAGCCTCTGTAGCTTTGAAATGAATGAAATCTTTGCCAGTTACCCAGAATCTCAAGAAGACTTCCTGGAAGAAGGAGCTGGAGTAGGTCAGACTCTAAAGGATAAAGAAAAGCAGCAAAAGGTAAAAGATAAGCCTGCCCTCAGAGACCTCTTTGTGTCCCCTGGAGCGTCATGTGAGGAAAAGCCAGCTTCTGAGGAAGGTAGCTTTTCAGACTCAGTCACAGAGGATACTACAGAAGAGGAGGAAGGAGCAAGTGAGGTCTCTGACCTGTGCCTGCTGGCACAGGTGAGAGGAGATGCTGGGAGAAGAATGAGTGGTCCGTCCCCAGATGAGCAGCACATCAGTAAATGTGTCCTTAATTTAAAGATCATTCAGAGCATGTTGCAGCAGGCAGCAGATTCCCTGTGCAGAACAGAGTTAAAACTGGACAAATTCATTGCCAATGAAAGACAAAATAAGCTGCTCCAGGAAATGGGAATGTATCAGGTTTCTAAGCAAACTTTTAATGACAGACATTGGAACAGATCTGATGATATCTACGAAAATACCAATAACCCTTTTTCTGGAGCTAATATTTTTTTATGGAAAGCCATAGGTCCACCCTCAAGTGACTATATTCCACCTCTGGTAACACGTGAGGCACGAGGAGGTTTGGGTGGAAATGGTTTCCAGGCTTTTTCAAAGGCAGCAGAGGAAATGCAGGCAGCTCAGAATGAAAAGTGGAAGAGCTTTCATCAGATGCGTAAGAGTAAAAATGAAAACAACCAGCATGATCTCAGCTTCAGTGGGGTGAAAAGCCTGGATAACCAAGAGGGCCTAGACCGTGAGGTAAAGTGTGGAGCAGGTGTTTGTTACTACTGTGTTCTTTAATGGGTTTATGGTAAAGAGAAAGTTACAAATGGCATCCAAGAGAAAGGAATAATCTGTCTTTTAAAATGCATGTGCATGCTATATGCATTATATATAGAAAACAAAATGGTCAACTCAGTGTAGTAATCTTATTACTACAGTGTTACTTACTACAGTATTACTCAGTGTAGTAATCTTACTACAACTCAGTAGTAATCTTATTTTTTCCCCAGCAAAATACTCGTCTAATAACTGAGGAGGGAGTAAAATCTTGTGCTAAAATTGATGTGGGACTGTTAGGGAAAATGGCAAGCAGAGAAAGATTATTTTTTTTACTACTTTTTTTGGGGGTGTAGGGCAGTATACTTAGTTAAGGAGGTCAGAGCTGCCCCTTAATGATCTAGAATTCTTTATTAACTGTAAGTAGCTGACATGCTTAGCTGAAAAAGAGAGAAATGTGTGTTGTATCTGCTGTGGGACTGATCTTGGGTCATTAGGTCTACTCCTTCCTCTGGGAGCCAGGTGTCATGACAGTCCGCTTACATACACATGAAACCTGCTATAGCTCCAGGCAGAGCTTTTAATAAGTTAAGGCCTGGAGTTGTGATCCTTTCACTTGAGAAGTACTACTGATACTGAAATAAAATGTAGGAAGTAAAATTTGCATGGTCTGGTTCTTAGTATGTCCCATAGACAGCTCAACTGATAATTAACAGAGTGCCCAACGTGCTGAATCATGGCTTGTTGGACTCGTTTCAGCATTTACTCCCACGTGTATCTGTAAGATGCAAAAATAAGTTCAACTTGCAGTGTCAGAGAGGGAGTGATTCACATTCTGCAGCAAGTGGAAGTGAAGAAGAGAGGTGGTAAGTTTTGATCACGTTCACAAAAGAATTAATTCTAGCAGATTCATCTTGCTACAGCCACTGTCAAAAGTAGATACATCCAGGATAAAAGATGGCATTGAATGTTTTTACAGTAAGCCAGAAGCCATCTGTCCAATTAGGACCCTACCGTGACTCATTGTCAGCTGCAGAGCTGACAGGGTAACTACTGCAACAGGGCAGTTACCTCTAAAGAGTGGTATTCAGACAGATTGCGAATGCTTTTCTGATAGAGGTCAGTAGTCTGAAACTAACAGTGCCTAAGGAGAGCAATCTAATAGTGAAGCTAGTAGTAAGGCGGCTCTTTTCTCTGTACACAGCCTCATTCAGTTCTCGGTAGAAACACTCTGGCTTTTATAGGAGTAGGATTAGGCCCTACATTAGGGGCTGTGGGACAACTTCTAGTGTTCTATTGACTGGGAATACTTAACAGAATACGCTTGTGCATTAACAGTTTCTCTTGTCTTGTAATGATTTATCATAGGTGCTATCCAAAATCAGCTTCTGAAATTTACAGCACAAAAATAAGTGAGGAGAGAAGGATGAGGCAACCAGAGTGGAGAAGTAAGTAAATCGGCGTTAACGTTAGCAATCTTACTGCAGTGCAGTGCATTAAAACTTAACACATTTCATTAGTTTACAAAGGTCTGTCTGCCTTAATCGCTTTATTAGGCTGTTCTTGGTGGAAAACCAAATGAGTGGAATCCAGCATCTTGTGCATTCAGGCCATGGAATAATCACAATCACACTAAGATGGTTTGACTATAAAGCTCAAGGAATATCTGACCCTGTTTCAGAGGATGTAAGGGAGGGACAGCATATGAATTTAGAAAGGGTAGTATAGCAACGACCAGTGGGTGGCAGTAAAGAACGAATAATAGAGAATGCAAACTAACAAAAATTATTCATGTGAAGGCTTGTCTGTATTGATTTATGCAGGTTTTAAATTTAAATAGAAGGAAGTGTCTAGTTCTTCTCTGTATAAAGGAATACACAGGCTTATAATTTCAGCATTTCCAAGTATGCAGATACAATGAAACATGGGAAAGGGTTTGAAGGTTTAGATCCTGTTGCGCAGGCTGGAGATTTTGTTCTTTTGTGTAGATGAAGTAAAGCAAATGGCCAAAAGAGTGGCCTCAGGACAACTGGAACTGATTTCTACAAATCCAACCAGTGAATGTACATCTGAAAGTGAAACGGAGAGTATAGAGGAAGCCTTTCAACATGTCGCCATTAGGGTCCAAAAAAGTCGAGACCAACAGAGAGAGAGATGGCGTGCAGGTGACAACGTTGAGCCTTGGGATGTGGGTTGTGAGGATAGATCTGCATCTGAGGAGAGTGATTTGGAGTCTATGTTCATAAGTTCTGGGGGTAAGGCTGAAAAAAGGATTATTTCATCTCCCTTTTTGTCTCTTTCCATCTCCCAGCAGATTTCATCTCCTGTGATTTTGTTAAAATAATTGGCCATCTTCTCTTTCAGTCTCCTGTCCAAAGCAGGTCAATGGCTAAGGCATTGGCTAACATAACGTAATACTCAGTTCTGTTATTTAATAACTGGATGTAATGTCCAGTGAGCGTGGAGACCCTTCATCATCATTAACATATATTAGTATGGGAGACCCAAAGCTTTTAAATCTATGGCTATGCTCTCACACCTTTATTTCTTTTAATTGGAGTTGAAAGGTGCTTTTTCTGTAGCAGCACAGTACAGACAGTGTTTTTGTAATAGTTACAGATAAAGGAACAAGGAAAGCTTCACCTGCTTAGATTAATGCTGTCTTCTGCCTGTCATTTCTCCATGTTTTTGGCAGACAGTGTAGTTTTACTCTCCATTCTCATTGATGCTACATCAGTGTTCAGAGCACAAAATTCATGTTACTTTTAGCCTAATGATTGTGTTTCATTGTGACATCCTAGGGAGAAGTTGCCAGTCACCATCACAATATGAACAAGCAGGATCTGGAATAACTATTCCTAAGAGTTCAGTCATTCCTCAACAAGCTGAGATTCTCTCTAGAGTATGTATAGTATTCCAAGAAATCTAGTTCCTGCTTGTTTTCCCTGAAACGTTTTAGCCTGTTCTCTCCATGTTGCTCACTGAACTACCAGAACAGCTGATTGTTTCAGCTGTGATACAACTAGCAGTCCTCCTGACATATTACGTATAATGGTTCTGTAAATTGTGAGGCGCAGGAGCTGAGTCGAAACATAGAACAATCAATTTATATATTGTTTCAGTTTGATGTATTATTGTTTAACATTACTGACTAAAATGTATATTCAATAGAGCGAAGAAAGCATCTTAAATGATAACATCTTTCACAGGGGCATTCGAGAGAATTACCTTGTTCTCATACTTCATCTGCTGACATGTCTGAAGAATTCTTGACTCCAGATTATTTCCTTCCTCCTACTGCTCAGGGAAATACAGATCTAGAGGTAAAAATCACAGACAAGACAGGAATGAACTCTGTTTCAAGAATGTTGGATGTAAGTTAAATCACATGTGAGTTTATCAGGCTCCCATTTGATTTGAAGAAATGTAGAAAAATGGGAGAACTTTTTTTTTTCTTCTGAGTATTTACAGAAAGATTTACCTAAATGGAAGAAAATTTTGACCCCATTCCTTTAAAAAAAAAAAAAAAAGCAAAACAAACAAAAAAACAACACCAAAAACACCCAAACTTCTAAAACAGGAGGGACATGTTTTCTTGATTTATTTACTAGGAAATTATATAATCTATGGAGCCTTAAAATTATTCTGGTTTTGGCTGAGAAAAGTTTGAGGCAGCTGATCACGTTAACCTTTTCTTCCCAGCTCTATCAAATACAAGTATTCAGTCTTAAAACAATCTTAATTTCTTGAAGATTTGAAACTTGTACAGACTGTTGAATCCAATCCATGCTGTTTGCTGATGAGCTCTTGAAAAACCGTCTCTATTTTGATTGGGATCTTCCTGTGTGAGTTGTCCTACCCTTCTTAGTTTGTCTGTGAGAAATTTGCATTTACTTCCTTTTTCCCCTCTGCTCCAGACCTCAAATCTTGGGGACAAATTAGAAGACCGTTGTGATGGCCTTTTACAGAGAAGGAAATCTGAAGATGCAGGATCAGGTATTCAGGTCTCAGGTAAATGTGTTCTTTCTTCTGAAGACCCTCTGGAGTCAGGGAGACAAAATTTTGTATGTAATTTTTGTGAGCATCATTCCTGTCAGAAGGCTGAAGCTAGGTTCTTTAGGGTTGCTTGGTCTTTTCTCACTGATACAGTTAGAGCTTAGAACATTTGGGATTTTAGCAGATGAGATTTGGACATTGCATTCACTGAAATAGCATTGATGCGATGATTATGTTCTTGCTCTGTTTCAATTTGATAAAAACAAAACAAACTTGTTAGCAATTATACCCTAAGGCTAAGTTTGTTTTCAATGTTTCAATTGTTTTTTTGACTTGCAATGGTGCTGGAAACGGAATTAGAGTTGCATTTACACGTTAATATTCTTATTGCTATAAGTGTCTTGAGCTTAAACTGTAAGAGCTAAGTTGTATGTGTAGAGAAACAATCTTGATCCTTGCTTTAGTCTGTTGCCTGTCTTAGCTCAAATGTGTAAATGTTGTGATATTCCCTGGTGCTTTAGTGGTTGACTGTCTGGCAGCTGTGGTATGTTTATGAAAATGCATCTTTAAAGCACATTTGTCTCTTGACAACAACAAAGGTCAAAAGAACTAAAAAATTTAATAAAGTTGCAATTTCCTGTTCAATGAATTGTGTCACTTTCCTTTGTACTTGCAAAACCCAATAACAGGGAACATTTGTTATTTGTATTCAGGAGGAAAAATATTATTCTGCAGCACAGCAGCACAGAACTCTGGCAATAACACACTAGGAGTGAATCAGCTTAGCCATATGCCTGTAGCCAGGTAGATAAACTTATTTTCATCATTACTTCAAGCATAAATTAGGTTATAAAGTGTGTTCTCTCTATTAATTCTGCATATATATCTAATATTCAAATAAGGTGCTCGTGGTGCTTTTTTAATGATCATCTACATGTCATAGCTCCTTGCCAAAAATACTTAAAGGTCTTTCATGGCTTTGTTTTTTACCGTGTTCAGTATATTTTTTTGTTTGCTTAATGAGGGAGTAAAATATGAAAAGTAAGTCATGTATATTGCAATTCCTTTTACACTGAACAGAATATCAGTTTTAAACAGAGCAAATATAATTGAAATTATGGCTTCTGTCATCTGGTTTAATTTTGTACTGCTTTGGTTTTGGAGCTCAAGTGGCATGAAGATCATGCTTTTTCACCTTCCATCAGAAGAATCTGATGTAAGCATGCTCACTGCATGTTGCCTGCAGATAACATCAGCATGTGCTTGGGGACTTGCGGTCTCATCCACCAAAAACCTGGTTTACCTATCCGATATCTTTGTAAATTCTGTGTTCTAGTAGTACAAAGAGATGTTGTTTAGATGTTTTCTTCTTACTGGATGACTTTGTGAATCTGTGATACAAACCCATAATGTGCTTAAAATGGTGCTTTTCTTCTAGCTCACTCTAATTTCTAAGGTTTTAAGCAAAAAAGTTTCTATGCCCTGCTGTCTACCTGAGAGAGAAGGTCATCCTTTAAACACTATGAGAGAAGAAACAAAATACATTTATTTTCATAATTTTTCTGACAAGATCAATGAATATGACCTTTTCCCTCACTCTAGTGGTGAAGCAGCCCAAGAATTGATATCAAGAGAGCCGCAGGAAGACTCCAAAGAAAAAGATATGTAAGAGCCACAGACTGTTCTATGCTGAAACTGCAGCAAGTTGGTCATTACCATTGTAAAAGGTCTATGTTGATACAAAACAGGAAGATACCACAGACTAAAGCTGAGAGGTGGAAACCTATTTGGATTGTTGAAAGTATATTTTTATTGTGATAACCTGGGAGATGGGTATAAAAGAGCTATCACATACAGTTACCCTTAGCTTAGGTTGAATTTTTTACATATTCGTAAGTAATAAGCAGTGTCATTTGGGTGTGCCTATTCATTTTACAGTGTTACTGTAACGTTCTTATAACAATATTATTATTAAACATTCTAACTATTCCTTGTCTCTTCCATGTGCATTACACAGAAGAAATAAAATTATTTTCAAGAGTGAACTGTTAGTATGTAGCTACATAAGTTATATTACAAAAATACTATATAGATATTCTCAGGAGAAATGTGCACAAGAGGTATGTGACTTAACTATTAAAGTTAGCTTTTATTCACAGATAATGGAAATTTTGCATAGAAATCACTGACTTGGTAACAGTGAATTTATGATCATTTAATGGTCTTCTGAGAATAACATAATCTTCTGCAAACGGCGTTACTTTGCTTAATATAATTCCAGTCCAACGGATTTTTTTTTTGCTACTTGAGCGTACATCACTTTTGTGCAGATCTATAGCAGTTTCGGCTTACTTGTGTAATTCTTTTAAAGGCTCCTAAGACCTTATGTTATTTTTAAGAGATCTTTAATTTTTGTTAAATGTTTAAGGTTTTCCCTTGGTTTTGGATACAGTCTTCTTCCTAGTGGTTCACATTTGAGGTTCTTGTCCTTTCTGGAGGTAGTTTCCTGTGGTTGCTTTTATAAAAGTTACTAAAATGAAGAAATTCTGTAAAGCAGAGGAATGTTAATAATTAACCTTTTCTGTCTCTGCAAGATCATTGAAGATGTTGTTCTTTAGCCTTTGAAGAACTCTTTGATAAGTTGTCAAAGTGATTGTCTTGCTTCCCTCTGGAAAACTAGATAAGATTGAACAAAAGTAAAGTTTGAAGAACCTAAAAATAGCAGAAATTAGTGATTCACAAGTGTAATAAGTGGCTATTCTAACTGTCAGAACATCTTTCAATACTTCAGATCAGTGACAGATATTCAGGATTTGTCAAGTATTCCCTGTGAGGAGGAGAACTACTACAAGAATATAAATTGTAAAACACCCAGAGTGAGTCATGCACCCACAAGTGTCAGCACTCCACTCAGATCAGGTAACTGCAGCGACAAAAAAGGGAGGACCAATGAATTACTTAAACTTTCGATGCCAGAAGTCAGACCTTTCTGCCAACACTTGCTAACATAAAAGCTGTTTGTGCGAATCATGGAAACTCCATTCATTTAAGTGCCAGCACAGAAATGTTAGGCGTGGAATAAGTAATCATAATAAAGGCTGTACCTGTTGTTTGAAATCTCATTGTTTTTGTCCGCAGAGTTAAAACTTCATGGTTAAAGCCTGTTTGGTCAAAAGCAATCCCTTAAGACACTAGAACTAGAGGAGAGTTTACAGACTGACAAAACAACTATCTGAAAGGCCTGTGAAAAATAATCACTTGGTAGTTAATGCTTATGTTAGCCTTTGTGAATCAGAAATTGTTTTATTTGGAGTAATATGTGTGGAACTTTGTATTTTGAAGACAGTGTAAAAAACACTGTTTAGACTGTTAAGATGATCTCAAAGTTTGTTGAGTTTTAGTTTGTTACCCTTAAAACAACACTTCTGTTTGCTTTGTACTTCATTAATTTGGTTTGCTATGGGAGTCATAATGTCTCATTTGGTAAAGTTTTGCATAAATAATGTCTGAGTTGAAGCTCCTGGGCGAACAGTTTGGACTTCCGCTTAGAGATCATTTTGTGGACAATAATCTTGGAGATTCCAGTTCAGGTGCTTGTTCAAATACAAAAAACCTTTTTCTACTTCATTGAAATGTGACAAATATAATAATTTTCCAGCTTTGCTATCATCTCGCCCTCTCTCTTCTTCTTTTTAATTCTAGAGGAAGAAAAGCCAGTAGCCTTTAAGAAATACCAACATGGCCATGAAGTAGCTTTGGATTCTTCCTCTTTAAGTTGTCAAGAGGTGTCTGCAGTGTCCAGGACATTCACTACAGCCTATGAAGAAAGAAGGAGCACTGAAAATACCTCTACTCCTGTAGAAGTTCGCTCATCTGGATTGAATGAGCCTGTAAGTGAAGGAAATTACACAAATTACACAAATGTTGGGCTTCCCATTGCACCTAACCCTGTGCAAATGTTGAGAACCACCAAAATGGCCTTGCCTGCACTATCCTGGCCTTCTCAGCACTGGATCCAGTAATCTTACAATACCAAAGTGGTAAGTATCAGCAAAATGATTGGGTAGGAAAGGTGTGTTTTTGTTGGAAGAGTTTTGTTGGTGAGTTGATCTTCTGCGTCTACAGCAGGTGGCTTATCTGAATGGTTCAGAATTCACAACTCAGCTGGTGAACTCTAGGTTTTTAACTTTGTGGAAGTGGTGATTTGAATGAAAACAAATTGTGTGTGTGTGTATTCAAGTTTTCTTGTGAAACTGAAGGGTTATCGCAGTCAGTGGGGGAATATAAATGAGTGTAAATAAGCAATTCCATAAGGAAAAAAAGGTAAAAGTAGTTTGGATGCAAGTAAGTGTTCAGAAAGCCCTTGTATTATTGAGGCTGTTTGTCCTTTTTATTGCCTGCAGACATGGCATAATGTTATCAACTTTGTTGTCTTTCTTTGGAGCTGACATTTTTCAAGGCTGTTGCAGTGATTTCTGGTAATCTTTTTGGAACTGAAGGTGTTCTAGAGACAGAACGTTATCTTAGCTGTTTTTCCAGGCAGCTTACATATAGAACAGTTGCTTTTATGCTTTTCCTATTCAGTGTTGGGGTTGTCGTTTAAAGATTAAATTAGTTTGTTCAACCAGAACAGTAGTAACTGCATTCAGTGTCATCAGGTCAGCTGTGTCTTTAGGCTTGCATAGCAGACTATTAAAATTCATTAAACCCATTAACAGCACAGTGCTGCCTTGACTGGCTCTGTAGAGAGATCTGAACGTGTCGCTTCCTTGTCTAAAACTTTCTTCTAGGATCAAGCACTTGAAGTACCAATTTCCATTTTTGAAGGACTTGCCTTTGATTACAAATCCTTGATTTTTTGGGGGATTCTTCTGGTAACTAGATGTGCCTGGCTTTAATAATTAAAGATTCAAAACAGAGTGGGAAAGCGAGAGATGTCAGAACTGTCCTTTCAGAGAATTTCTGTCCAATTGTCTGTACACAGTGTTGAAATGAATAAAGAATGTGTAGCTGACAATATCTTAATGACCAGCAAAAAGATGAGTGAAAAACAGCCTAGGCAAAATTTCTGACACATCTGGCTTACCTAGATCCTATCTCTTTCATATTCTGAGTACGCTGAAGAGCTTATTTAAAAATTTAAGTAAGACTTTAATTAACACTTTACCTCAATTTGGACTTAGTATATTAAAGGCAAGGATTGGGGAACAGCAGTTCTTCAGTTTACTTTTTTGTGTTTCATTCTGTATATTCTTACACAGGATGGATTGTCAGCAGTTGCTTCATCCTTGAGAAGCACCAGGAAGGCATCTGGTAAGTCTCTTAAGCCACTCCTCAGCCCAATTAGAGTGATAAAAAATGGATAAACAGATTTAAAAAGCAGTTTTGCTGTCTTACTATTTTTTTTTCCTGGGCATCTCTTTGTAGGGATAAAAACAAACAAACAAACAAACAACTTTGCATACGATTTTGTGTTGGTAGTGATTGTTAAGTTGCAAATTCTGTGTTTGCACTTGCAGGCTAAGATCTCTGACCTCTAATTAATCTCCGTTTGCCGTGTAAATATTACTGGCCTAAAACTTGCAATGCAAAATTGAGAGCTATATGTGCAAGTCTAGCTCTAAATGATTTTCCATTCCAATGGTACTTAAGGATATTTCATAAAAAGTGAATGAGCCACGCTCATGGAGATTGATAGATGATATACGTCAGCAAGATGCGGTCATACTCTAAGCTTATATCACAGTTATTAAGAATTAATCACTGCTAATTAACTAGACTTTTTTTTCCTCTCTCTCAGCACTGTCACAGGCACCTAACCACTTCATTGATGATCTCCCTCCACCAGCCCAAGAGCTGCTGGATGAAATTGGTAAGAGGCACTTCATCCAAAATGGTATGAGACTTGCCAGCTGTGTTTTAAAGCCAAGGACAGTACAGTACTTCAGTACACAATCAGGATTTCTCCCAAATCATTCACTACTAAAATACACAAGAGCTTCCAAATTAGTTGCAGTCAGGTCAATGAATAGGAAGTTAGGCATCAACAGCTTGAATAACGGGCAGTTATTTAAGTTAGTCCTTGAAGTTTCTGCCTTTCATATAATGGTTAGTTACTGCTGACGACAGCAGTTAGCTTATTGAGTATAGATGTAATTTAACTCTGAGATGAACTTTGTGTAGACTGAAGTTTTCAAAGGTGTCATGGAGCTATGCATGTTCTTCAATAAAAGCAATGCCAGCTGATTAGCTCCATTAGTCAGGTATTTTTGTAGAGCTTAGTTTCAATGATACACATCTATTTTTTTTTAGTCGCATTCTTCTTGAGCCAGAACACAGTAAAAATCCTTCATTATTTTTACTGGTATGGGTTACAGAAAAATTTCTCGTGGTTACTCAGCAGTGAACTTCCTAAACAAACACCAGACAGAAGTTTAATTAAACGTATATAGGTCCTGTGCTCTTTTAGAAATGAAGCACATAGGCAATTCTAATCTTTTTATTACCTTATTCACCAAAACAGGGCTGTGGGGACTGTCACCAACTGAATAAGTAATGGCCAGAGACAATTTGTGAGATTAACATACAGACTAACTATAGATTATGTAAGAGTTTTCATTGAGTTTTGGGTGGGTAAAGAAAGTGGTACTTTAGATTTTACAGATGTAAGGAAATACGTTGTTTTTAACAGAGTACTTAAAGCAGCAAGATTCTATCACTCAAGACTTTGAAGAGAAGGGATTATTTGACTGTGGAATGCAAATAAATGGTTAGTTGATAATAGTCCTAACATAGAGATTACAAATGGAAAGTAACTTTTCTGCAAAATTACTTGAATACTTTGAAAAGTTAATACTTTGAAAAACTTAATTTTCAGCTTTTTTTTGTTTATATTTGTGGTTGCTATCTTGGAAAATTCAGCAGAAATTTGAGAGGGCCCCCCCTTTTTTGATAAGATGATACGCAGTGTTTTCACAAACAGTACCTCCTCCAGCAGTGTTTGCTGTCTTCCTCTGTGCATTCACCTCTCTGAAGTCTGCAGAGATCTGTTATGGAACGCTTGCAGATTTGAACTATCAGAATTGATCTTCTGCTTTCATTATACCACTGTAACATATGCTGCGTTCAGTCGTAAGTGATGAAACCCACAGAAGTATAGATGGTGAGCAGCTGATGTAAAATAGAGCTGAAGTTTCCGCTCTGAAAGGCGGTTTGGTTGAAAGTAGCCGGTACACACGAACCGCTTATGTTTCATATTCACCATCGTGAAATAGTGCTTCTGATCTCGTGGTGTCAGAAAATAGCATCTGTTGGGGTAATCAGTGTTAAGTTGCCTGTTCTGTTATAAAGGTACCAAAGATAGCAGCGGTAAATCTTTGTGCTTCTGAAACTGCAAATAGTAGTAAGTGGGAATCATTTTTAGATGTACAGCAAGTAAAGTCAGGAGCAGAAAACATAAATCTTTATAGACTCTGCATTTGTTTCCAATGAGTCAGAAAGTGAAGAGCAGTTTTTTGTATTTTTTTTAAAAAGGGCAAAATATGAGTTAGTCTGTAAAAAAGCTAAATAGCATAGTCACTTGAGAATAACACTGGCACTTGTTTGTGTTATCCTACAGCTTTGTTAGATCTTTTCCCATTTAAAATTGTTACCCAAAGGATAGAAGCTACTGTGACTTTATTCACAGGAGTATCTTGTTTTTAGGTGGCAAGGAATGCAGCAGCCTGTATTGCTTGCTGTTCAATCACTGTGGTTTTGTTGTATTTGCATAAAGTACAGCTATTTCAGACTCCATTTTTATGACAGCCTACTGCTTCCTGCTTATCATAGCTTAGCAGAAGGTGGCTGAATATATTCACATGCTGGAGAGAAGAGAACTTAGTGAGATAAGTCTTGGGGTGGGGGGGAATATCATTGGATTTTACTAAGTAGGGTAACAAAGCTAACATCCACAGGTTTTCTTTTGATTTTTCTTCAATATCTTGGATTGTAAGGCGAGAGATTAAAGATTAATTTCCACATGCATTTTTCATTTTAGTATGAAGCAAAATGTTCACTCTTCTGAATCTAAAAATGTGTTACAGTAAAATATTTATCTAGGTCTTGCTATTGGCTGCCTATGACTGTAGATAATGTGAACTTAATTGGTAGAAGATCAGATGACTGAGGAAAGAAAAATTAAAAAGTAGACTACTGAAAGTTTTTCAAGTGCAGTAAATAAAACCACAATTTATTTAGTATCTTCTGTTCATAACTTTGCTATTAAATTATTTCTGTTTATGTGAATAGTTGCTGGTCAAATTAAAATGGAAGACAGAGACACAAAAAAAGAAATTGACCAAAATGAGAAGAGAGATCATAGTGTATTGACTAAGGAGGCATTTAATTTAGCAGAGGAAACAGAAAGGTATGAAAAAGACAATGGTAATGGCATATTTAGCTTTGAATTACAAACGTTTAGAATATTCAGTGCTTACATTAAGTCAACTCTCCTAAGAACTGTGATCATTTCTACTGTTTTCTTTCAGAATGGATAGTATTAAACTTGCCAGCATTCATTTAAAATCTTTTATTCAACAGGGCTCACTCCACTCTTGACGACGTTTTAGAAAGAATTCTCCATGCTGTTCCTGCAGATGAGGAAATCCAAGAACAACCTCAGGGACATGCCCTTGGGTTAGCTGATAATTGATATTTTGTTCACAAGTTTATCTTGTTTATCTTCTGTATACAGACCTATGTGGGACTTCAGGAAATACACTGTCATTCTTCAGACAGTAATGTTTTGGGGAGCTCCCATTGGAGGCATCATTCAGAACTTTCGGTATTAAATTGGAGGGCAAAGAATATCAGGTAGTTTCCTGTAATTGAAAAGGAAATGTTTCAAACAGGCAAGGAAGTACATCATTTTAACAGAACTTTGAGATAATTTGCCAGAACGGTAGATTTTCTGAGGTAATGAGAAGAATGTATATTAAGAGAATAAAATCGTGAAAGATCTTTAGGAAAAATAAATCTTCAAAGAAGAGTTTGAGAAAGCCAATGTGCTTGGCCACATAGAAAGAAATTAAGAAAATGGCAGGCATCATATCTATATAATTTTAAGAAAAAAATGCGTAGCCCAAAAAACTTTTTTTCCCTCCTAGAACCAAGGATAAGAGCTTTAAACTCTGAACAGCTCCATGGTGAATGCCAATGAGTAGTCATAAGTCATTCTTAACATATATCTTACTAAGGAACACAAGATAGTCTTGTGCTCAGCATCAGGATTTTTTAATATAGAAGGCAAACTGTCATGATAATCAGGAGGATTTTGCTGATAGGGCAGTCTGACTCCTGCAGTGTGTATATATAGCTGTGTTCATAAGTGGCTCAATCCAAAGCCCATTCACACTCCTAGTCAAACTAATTTTTTGTAACACACACAAGGAATCGTTGGAGCCTGCTTATAGATGTGAAGGTAAAGCACATCTGTAGACTTGGTGGGGAGTGATTGTTTAGGGGTTGGTGCAGCATATGACCATTACAGGTCAGAGTGAAAATAAAAAGGCATCTAGTATCTCCAGGGGCTTCTATTTTATTATTCTGTATTCATCTTCTCTGAAAGAAAAAAAAAAAAAAAAAAAAAAAAGATAAAATCCTGTCATTTAAGGGCTGCAAGCCTGAAAGATCCAGAAGATCTTGGAAGGAAGAAAGGAGTAGAGGAAGGCGGAGCTGAAGCTGGAAGCAGCGAACCAGAAGGCTGTGCAGGGAGTTCAGAAGGTCCTCTTCATCTGTAAAGCTGCTGGATGCTGGGATGGGCAGTATCTCATTGATTATGTTTTTAGCACTGGATTTGTCGAGCTTGCACAGAGTAGAGTTCTGCATCTCTCCATTTTCCCCTGATCTGGATGCTGTTTCTACCCTGTGTTTTTAGAAGAGAGGAAGCCGATCTTAAACTTTTCAGAGACCCTTAGGGTTTTTATTGCTTTAGACTGGCAGCATTCTGGACTATTTGTTGGAGTTGCAGAGGGTATGTCTTGTAGTGAGAGTGCAGTTTACTCTACTGACCTCTCCAAAGCTGGTATTGTTGCCTCTGTGTCCCATTTAGTCTTCAGCCACTCCTGCTTAGGCACCTAACGGCTTCACGCTGTTGTAAGGACTTGGAGTTGTTATCACTATGGTTTGGTATGTACCTGTGATGCATATGCTAATGCCATCAAATCCCTTAAACATCTGTCTGTCTAGTCTCTCCTGGCTTTCCTCCAGTAGAAACTGGAAGCAGAGAGGAAGGCACAAACTGAAATGAAAGAGATAAAGTCCTCTATTCTAGGACTATTTGAGCGATGAAGTGATTTTACACAGGTTGGCAGCCGAGGTGTTTTTCTGCAAGCAGGTTTAAGGACCTCAGCTTTTTAGATCTGTGTAAGTAGTTCCTCTATAACATGCTGCTACGGTGCCTGTGACACAGCTGTGTTGCCTGTGACACAGCTGTGTTTTTATATTAATGTTTCGGTCAGGACATATGGGAAGGGAGTTAGTGCCTAAAATTCAAGAAGTTAAGGAGTTGTTCACTTATGTTTTCATCATCACATTAAGGAGTAGAAATATCTCCTATTTTGGGCCAAAGTTTCCATTTTGTATGTAAGATAATTTTTGGTTAGCAAGGTAAGCTGACTCCTGGTTAGAATGCAAAGAACCACATAAAAGAAATAACAGAAAAACATTTTTGTGTTTCACTTGATTTAAAAAAAAAAAAAAAAGCCTGCATTCCTTATACTTAACTCCAGATCTTCATTAGGGACTGTCAAAGCTGACTAGTATTCTGTAGCTAAAGTAAGAGGTTACCATTGTTCAGCATTTATCAATTAAAGATGTTTCTTGTTAAAGGAAGAGGATGTCATACTTACATTAATGTGCACTTACTGGTTTGCAGAAAATGTGAAAGAACTGCCCTTTCTTTTGGGAAGAAAAAGGCAGTAGACTGATTTTTCAGAGAGAAGTGATTTTTTCCATGTGTAGCCCAAAATGATTTCAAGGAAACTAACCTTCAATGTTGTGAGCATTTAACGCTTCTACAGCATCTACAGCAATCAGTTCTTCATCATCAGTATTTCACTTGCTAGTTAGGCACACAAAGTTTGAAATGTCCTAGATTGTTAGTTTAGGAAATATTGATGGTAATTTTTAAACTCAGAGTTCTAGAGGTAATGTGGTAATGTTATTTGCACAGCATTAGCATATATGACCCTATTTTCCATCCCAAAATTACTAGGATGGTAGGAGCATGCTTCAGGCTTTGAAAACAATGTTTTCTCATCACAAAGAGGTTCCTGTGTAATAGACCCAGCAGAGCAACAGAGTTCAGGCTGGTTTCAAGTGCAACTTGATGGATCTAGCCAAAGGGATCTGTAGCGCTCAATTCAGCATGCTGACAAAACCAGAGCATTCTCTTTGAAGTGTTGTGACTGTGTATGCTTTTGGTTTTGAGCTGAATGCTTTTTTTGTTTTGTTTGTTTTTTGTTTGTTTTTGTTTAGATGCACACCCTGAAGATCAGAAATTCCACTTACGGAAACGGCTGTCTTTGCCTTCTCCATTTAGGTGAGCATCTCCATGAATTAAATTGGGCTTTTTGCAGAAATTTATGTATTCTCTCTCTGCATGAGATACATTTCTTGTCTTCCATGCCCAGGAGGCAAGAGCTGCAATATAAAATTCCATTCTCTTCAACTTGTACAGCTTGATATAAGAAACAAACAACTGCATAACTCTTTTAAACTATTTTTACCTCTTTTTTTTTTCCTTACAGGATAATTGTTTTGGATCAGAGCAGCTGTCCTACATGATTAGAATGGACAGTGGAAAAAAATGTAATATCTCAAATGTTTACTGCAGCTGGTACAATATACAGCACATGAACTGCAACCTTATCTGGCCAAAAAGACTGAATGCTCACTCTTCCTTTAGCTGCAGCAGCAAGTACTGAAAAAAATCTTAATGCTTTACTTTGTAATGCAGCTGATACTGTTTTTATATGAAGATTATATCAGTAATGCTGCAGAACTGATCTGTTTTTGGAATATAACACCACTTAGTAAGCTGGCTATGTGTTTCCTTCTCGTTCTCTGTATATGCATGCTTTCCTAAGCAAAAGAATTTGTTGTATTATGCAGTTTTCAGTGTTACAGACAAAATGATTGTGATTCTGTGGGCTGTTTTCACTGCTCAGGCTCTCATTTAATTTTTCCATGCTGAAGTGTGGAGTGCTGTGCTACAGCCCATGTGGTGTATGTTTTTCCTTGCTCATTAAATTTAACAAGGGTAATTTCTTGTTTTCTCTTAGTGCTTTTGTGATCTAGAGTTGAACTGATTTGACTGATTAAGGGGATTAATTGCTGTGCAGAAAGTTAATGAGAAAAAGATAGTGTTCTTTCAGAGGTTGCAACTGCACCAATACGTTCCCTGTCAGTATTAGACAAGAATATGCAAAGCTATTTCTGGTTAGCATTACATGTTGTTTAATTAAACTACAGTTTTGGTAGGCCTCATCCAAAAAAAAAAAAAAAAATCCCTGTAATTGAGTTTTGGATCAGGCTTTTGATGGGCACAGCAACTTTTTAATACTGTTCAGGTGCAGGATGTGTAACGGTTGTCCTTATCCCTGTTGAACAGACAGCGGAATTTTAGCTGCCTTCATGTACTTGGGTGTACCACATGTTGCTTTTCCATCCCTCTTCTGCCTATCTGTAACTGTTAATTAATTGGGTTTAATGACACTAATAAAAGTTTCTAAGCTTAATGCGCTGTCATTTGGTTCTTCTGTTTTTTATTTGTTACTTCTGATCATCAAGTAAGGTATACAAGATACTGATGTACAGCTGCTCCAGGCCAGATGCTGCAAACTGGCACACTTCAGAGAGCTTTCTTCAGAAGATATCACAAAAAAATAAAGAAGTCTTTCATCCATTTAGTTATGTCAGGGTAGTATAGAGCTGAATCACCAGCAGCAAGGAGATTACGTGGGTTAAGAGCTGTGTCAGTGCGTGGCAAAAAGGGCTTACTTTCGCACATTACACAATTCCAGGCAGAAATTCCAGATTTTCTAATCTGGGTTACTGCATGTGTGTGAGTTCTGCATCCTCCCCACGGGCAGAGGAACATCATACTCTTCATATGTGCTGCTGGAACAAGATCCTGTTTTACATAGGCAAAGGACTAAGGAAAAACTAGTGTTGTGTTGCAGCTTGTTGCAAAGAACGCATGGTAATGACACATACATGCGAAAGTTAAGCCACAGGTTTTGTATGTGACCGCTTCAGGCAAAGGCTGTGTGGTTTGTTCCATGTCAGAACCTTGATGAATTAAAGAAAAAAAGTCATTAGAACTTGCTGGTCTGCAGCAGTGTGGTGGAGTGGAGTGAGCACGTGAGTTTTTACATGCACATAATTAAAAATCACTTTGGCTTGCAACATGTGAAATCTTAGCTTCTTGGATTTCTTTCTCTATTTTATCTATCAAACCAAATGGTGAGCAGACTGTGAACCATTTTCCTATCTCTTTTTAATCTTAATGTGGAAAGTTAATATTTCTGTTGGTAGAGAGCCTTTCTCATAGCCCATAGCTTCTCTGCTCTCCTTATCGAGGCCAGAACACAGCAGTTGGAGATCTCAGTTGTTCAGCTGCTTGTACTTTTCCAGAATTACGTTTAGAGTGAATGTAAATCACCCTAATAACATAAAGCATGGACGCAAAAGCTGTAATTAACATGAAGAATTAAACAAGGACCAGTGAAAGACAGCAGAAAAGATCAGAGGGGGCCAATCTAACGCTGCCTTTCAGCCTCCCCAAGAATGAGAGGCCAATTAATTAAATTAAAACAGTGATACTGAGCTGTTCTAATTCCTCTCTAAGGCGCTAGCCTGTGAGCAGTTTTGCATGCAGAAAAGTGAGGGGAGAGGAAAGGCAAGAAACAGGGATGGAAATGGGGTGAGGATGTCCTGGCCCCCTACCACCCTGGTCTGGCCTGCAGATATTTTATTTCTTTGAAGACCCTTGCAGAACCCTGCACGCAGTAAGGACATCAAGTGAAGGTATGCAAGGAGAAAAGAAAATGCTCATTTGCTAAGCAGCAGCCAAATCCTCCAATCCCTTGTATCTGTCATCACACTGCATTTGTTTTGTTAATTGGTCGTTTTTTTGTTTGTTTGTTTGTTTTTTAATTATTTTTGGGACTGGGACTCGAGGAAAAACCTTAGTCCCCAAGGTTTTACCATCATAATGTGTGCGGATCCAAATTGTCTTTCTGCTGATCAAGATGTGGACTGCATGCTAGTGAGGGAATGAATTCGTTGAGGTGAGCAGCCGTCAACATTGCTCTCCTCTAGCCCTGTTTGTGGCTTTGCTGCAACAGCAGAAGCTGTGGAAAATGAAGGAAGGAGGAGATCAGCAAATGGTGTCGTGCTGTGGGACTCTCTACCAGCCAGTAAAACTGACAAAGCTGATGTTGTAAACATTTGCCAACGTTTATTAATTCAGTCTGCACCTAAACATACCTGCATGATTTTTCCAACATGACCAGACACTTCACAGCAAGCTCAGGCCATGCAGGCAGGACTCGGTCTACGCAGGGACAGCCAACAGACGGCTCCTGCCTCTGGCACACTCTGCAGGTGCCAGATAAAAACCAGGGAGCCTTCAGCTGAACTCCAGGGCTGAAGAGTAACTTGTGATTTTCTGCATGAAAGAAGAGTTGTTGTGGCGACGAAGCTGGTGAGGGGCCTGGAGAGCAAGTCCTATGAGGAGCGGCTGAAGGAGCTGGGCTTGTTCAGCCTAGAGAAGAGGAGGCTCAGGGGTGACCTTATTGCTCTGTATAAGTACATTAAAGGAGGCTGTAGAGAGGTGGGGGTTGGCCTGTTCTCCCATGTGCCTGGTGACAGGACGAGGGGGAATGGGCTAAAGTTACGCCAGGGGAGTTTTAGGTTAGATGTTAGGAAGAATTTCTTTACTGAAAGGGTTGTTAGGCACTGGAACGGGCTGCCCAGGGAGGTGGTGGAGTCACCATCCCTGGAAGTCTTCAAAAGACGTTTAGATGTAGAGCTTAGGGATATGGTTTAGTGGGGACTGTTAGTGTTAGGTTAGAGGTTGGACTCGATGATCTTGAGGTCTCTTCCAACCTAGAAATTCTGTGATTCTGCCATATTTTGTCCTTAAAAAAATCCTGAGCCCCCGAGGTGAGGGTCTGGGAGGGAGGGGTGAAGCAAAGGCTTGAACTTATCCAACAGAAGGCAGTGTGGGTTGCTCTGGGGAGCAGGGTGAGGACTGCTGGGTCCCCTTGAACCGCTGCTCCCCGGCCTTTCTGGATGCCCATGTTGACAAGGCTGCGCTGACATTTGTGCAGGCAGCAGCAGGCAGCAGTCACACGGGGTGCGACGGTGACACCTTGTTCATGGCGATGCCTGCGCGGGGCCTGGGTGTCTCTGGCGTGGCTCTTCCCATCCCCCGGGGGCAGTAACCGCAGCACAGCATTTTCAGCAGGCAGCTCTGAAACTGGGCAGGGGAAAAAGGAAGGTTACGTGTGGGGATGGAAGCTGGTGTCTGCCTCGGGGCGGCAGGCAGAGGCGGTGGGGAGGGCACCCCGCAGCCCGTTGTGGTTTGGGTGAGATGGGGATTTATTGCCAGCCCAACTCGTGGCAGAGGCTGGCAGTTTATTGACTACAGAAGTTGCATTCCACGTGCCCTGTATGCGAATGAGCAGTCTGCAATCTAAAACCAAGTTGCTTTGCTCCATAAAATTATGGAAGCAGAAAATGAGCTTGTGTTCGGGCTAGGAGGCTGCTGCCTCCCTTCCCGTTTTATTCTGATGCCTTTCCTGCTTGTACAGCACCTCCTGGGCCAGGTGGGCCAAGGCTTCCAGGTAGGATGGTTGGGCCCTCCCCATTTTATAGGGCCACTAAGTTGTTACCCAGAAGCTCCAATGAAGCTGTTTTCATTAGCTTATGGCTTTCTCACCTGCTTGTTCATGAAGACATAGATGATGGGGTTGTACACAGTGGCTGTCTTGGAAAAGTAGGAGGGCAAGGAGGCGAGAGCCGGCTGGATGGTGATGTCCTTGTTGGTGGCCACCACCAGGGCAAACGTGGTGTAGGGCAGCCAGCAGATGAGGAAGGCCATCACCATCACGACCACCATTCGTGTCACCTCCCTCTCCGCCTGCTGCGTGGTGTTGGCTTCCTTCTGCTGGGCCGCAGCCTGTGAGGAGTTGGGAAGAACCAGCCTGTTGCCTGCTCCCAGCATCACATCCAGCCCTGGGAGCAGTGAAATCAGGGGACAACAGGGCTTTAACTAAGGTTTTGTGCTCCTGACGCCAAGGAGCTGGAGCGAGGTTTGGTGGCAGCACCGTCCCCATGCTCAGTGCTTGTTTAAAATAAGGGCGTGCACCTGGTCACAAAACCTGCCATGGGTTCTTCATCCTGATGGGATGGAACACGTTAACTCGCCTGTCAGTGACAAATTGCCTCTGCTGAACCTACAAAACCCCACAGGACTGCAGGCCCAGTACTTGAACATGGGATACTAGCTGGCTGTGCCCCGCAGCACTCACCGCTCGCAGGGTCATGACCAGGTTGGTGTAGGAGAAGAGGATGAGGCCGAGGGGCAGCACGAAGCAGGCGACGAACAGGGCCAAGATGTAGCTGTTGTTGTTGCTGCCGCCCGTGTACCAGTTGGGCCCACACGAGGTCCTCAGCCCTGGAACAAACGAGGTTTGAAACAAACCGAGAACAAACTTAACGTGGAAAGCCTTTCGGTAACAGACTCCAAAAGCTCTCTTTCCCCTGAGCGAGCCTTCTTTTTCTCCCAAGCACCTCTCAGGTTTCAAGATAAGCTCCCTGAACTCTCCAGCCACCCCACGCTTGCAAACGCCGAACATGGAGGTGACGATGAGGCACTGGGTACCCCCCGAAGCCCTCCTCCCCTACCTTCGGGCACGTAGCTGCTCCAGCCCAGCAGCGGCGGGGTGGTCCAGAGCAGCGACCAGCTCCAGGTGAAGGCGCAGCCGCTCACGGCGTGCCGGTGCTGGAACCGAAAGTCTCCCAGGGGCCTGCAGACCACAACGTAGCGCTCCAGCGCCAGGATGGCCAGCGACCACAGCCCCACGATGCCTGTGGGCAGGAGGAAGGATCGTGCCTGATATTTTCCTCACGGAAGGGGCGGCTGTGAGGACGTGAGGCGTTGCCTTTAGGAGACCCAGCGAGCTGCTGCCATCCCCGGGGCTCTGCAGGACGCAGCTGTGCTCAATGCCGTGTCCCCAGCCCAAGGCCGAGGCTCGTGCCCTTACCTGTGAGGGAGACCATGAAGCCCTCCAGCTCACACATCCGCCTGCCGAACACGAAGAAGCCATTGATGTTGTTGGAGAGGCTGACAGAGCTGCCGCAGAGCGTCACCAGCAGGTCGGCCAGGGCCAGGTTCACCAGGATGTAGTTCAGCGGGGACCGGAGCTTCTTGTACCGGATGGAAACCACAATGACCAGCCCGTTCACGACCGAGGCGCAGACCACCACGACGCCCATCAGCACGGCCACCGACGTGTACATGCTCCGCGGGGCCTGGTGGGGCCACTGGGGGCCGTCGAAAGGCCCCGGGGTCCCGTTGCTGGGAGGTGCCTGGGAGCTGCTGGGGGACATTGGTCCTTCCTGCAGCACCAGCACTGGCAAAGCCTGTGCAGCTCACCCTCCCCAAAAACCCCCAGCCCTCTTTATAAAGCCTCAGAGGATCTTTGTGTTGAAACACCTTAAGCTTTTTTCTTAATCTGAATGGTTCGGCCTCCCTCCCCATTTTATAATCAGCTCTGTATTCCAGGGGGGATAAAGAGTGACTTAAACAAAAAACCTGATGACTGCCTGCTGCCTCATTTAATTGAGTAGATAGATTTTGTTATGTGAGTGCCCCAGTGGCAACACAGCCACATATATATGCACATACACACGAATACATATATATATGTGGAGAAAGTCTGAAAGAGCATGAGAGCATGCTACCTATATCTACAGTTCTCTCTATAATTATATATATATAAATATATATATACAAATAATATATACGGATATCATTATATTAATATATACAGATATATTATATATCTATATATATATACAGATATCTATATACAGATATGTTATATATCTGTATATAGATAATATATCTTATATGCTTACATCCTATTGTATATAAATATTTTATACACATATATGCATGTTAAATTATATAGAAAACAAATGTAAAAAGTACATGTAATATATGAATGAATATATATACACATGCATGCATATATTTAGTATATACAGGGAAGAGATGTCTAAATTATAAACAAAATATATGTAGAAATACAACAATTAGATATTTTATTTATGATAATACTATAATAGACAGAAGGATGAATGTGTAGTCACGTATATGGGGGTTAGGGAGATATATCTATAGTGTGTATATATATACAGTATATAATATATAATATATATATAACATATATATTAATAAATTATATAATATAGTATATATAAAATTGTATACACAGCTATACATATGTATGCATACATCTATATATATATTTATATAGCGCTCCATGTATAGATGTATTTGTAGACACACATACATGTATTATAATACCATAATATTGCTATTTATTGTCATGTATTATAATACGGTAGCATTTTGATGTATAAAAGAGTGCATCTCATGCACACACACACACGCACACATGCACATGTCCATGTAACTGTGCTGTGCCCCATGCAGGCAGCAGCAGCATGTGGGGCGCAGGACACCAACAAGTAATTACGTAGGCGTGCACATTTGTAACTGCTGTGCACCTCTGTACGTGTGTGCAACCACACCTGGCTGGCGGCTCTGTCCCCATGCTCACAGCCAGTGACTGAGGGCAGAGGATGTGGGCTGTACATGCATATTTGGGCTGGAAAGTGCAGATTCTGCCCATGAGAGACCCCTGGGGAATCTGGAGCACTGGTGGGACCCCAGCCATGGCTGGGCAGCCAGAACCACAGGGTTTTACCCCACGCACTGGGAACATGGTGACCAGCGTCTGTGGTGGAAAAATGAATTGTCCCTAATACCCTTCTGCTGATGCAGCGCCTTTGAGTGATGAAAAGTTAATGGAAACTCCAAACACCAGAAGATTTTGTGTTTAATCCTCCCTTGCCTAATCCCCTCTCCTTGACAGTCCCCACGCAAACCTCCCAGCCCTTTTGGGGTGGGTCAGGGGCCTGGTGACAGTGGGGACACTGTAGGTACAGGGTTTGACAGCAGAACAAACCTCAGCAGCTCCCCATACGTCAGTCTAAAAACTTTGGGTTTGCAGCAAGAAAAATGTCCCCAGTGCCCGGAAATGCAAAGCACAGTGGGACTGGGGCCACACGATGTGACACCACCATGGTACGGCCACGGGGAAACTCGAAAGCTGCACCTCCTTTTTTTTTTTTTTTCCCCCTTTTTATTTCGGGTTCTCGTTATAAATATTAACAAATCTGACCAAAAGTACACAGATAGATAATACTGAAATACAAAATTCCTTTAGGATGCAGGTAAGGACAATTTCTGCAGCCTTCACATTGTAGCAAAACATCGGTATCAAACATTTCACAAGGCTGGCGCGACGACCACCGCTCTGCATGCAGCTGGGATGCACGGACAGTCCGCTTAGAAAAGGCTTCGGTGCAAAGTGATGAACCCCCACGTCCTGCTCCCCCGCAGCCATAAGGCAGTTTCACAGCGACATGCGCTTGAACCCGTCGCTTACTGCTGCCAACGTTGCAGGTGGACGCTCCTGCGCCCCCAGGGGCTCAGCACCCCGAAATCAGCCCGCAGGCATCGCGGTGCTGGAGCAGCGGCAGATCACCCGGAGCATCCTCGTGGACACGCTGCTGGCATTCAAATAAAATCCATGCATATCTGTAGAACGCATTACAAATATTAAGTTATTAAAAAAGACCCTATGAACATTTCCCGCCCCCCCCCCCCCCCTTCCATATCAAACAAGGTGTAACACTGTCGGAACTTGGAAAAGTAAACGGAGGTCTGATTGCTTTCCAAAAGTCGTCAACACCCACGCGCACACGCACACACGGATACACGGCTCAGAAGCTGTAGGTAAGAGATTGAGACCGAACGGAACAGCAGCTCTTCCGAAGGAGTCGCAGTTTAAAGGCTTCAGAAATTTCTGGCAAGGTGCAGCATTTCGCAGAAAGTTTTCACCCGTCAGTGCCTCGCTGGGTTTTGCACGAGAGCCGGCAGGGCAGGATGCAGAGGACAACTCAGACCTGGTGCTGTACACAGCTCAGCCCTGGTATTCCCGTGCCATATGCAGGAATTTGGGCTGGAGCCGTGCATGCTGCAGCAAATTGGGTGAGCTGGCGGCTGTGCCCGAGCTGAGCACCTCGCAGACAGGCTCAGCTTGTGGCACACAGACAGCATGCAGTGGAAACTGCCTGGCTCCTATGCAGTGGCATGCACTGGGAAAGGAGATGAAGGGAAAAGTGATAGAAAAATCCAGCCTAAAAGCCGGTTTTCCTGGAAAAACAGAGGGGCTGAGGCTCCCAGGAAGCAGCGCACGGGGAGAAGAGCAGCTGGCACAGCCCGGGGCTGCCCTGCTCGGTGTCGTTGTTTTATTCCCCGCTTTCATTCCCCACGACAGCTCCCAGGGAGGCGGCTGGGGCTGAGGCTGTCCCTGGGGGTTTGTGGGGGGCTGCAGAGGTGCTCAGCCCCTCAGCCTGCCAGCTGACCCGCACGGGTGATAGGAGAGAACAAGCACATTTCTGGAAGAGAAGCAAAGTCTTCCTAGGTTATCAGAGAACACAATCATTCCGACGGAGGAGCTTTAAATGCATAAAAGACTGTTTAGGCCCAAACCACAGAGACTGACAAACCACCAGAAATATGGCACAATCGCCTGGATAAAGTAGTTCCATGTTTTAGTGACGCCTTTTTGCTCATATTAGATACACGAACGAAGACTGATGCATTCATTTTTGCCACTGAATTGCAAGGCAGCAGGAAGGTCAGTCAGTACAGCGACGAGTTGGGAGAGGAGTCAGAACTGTAGTGCATGCAGGTGTGTGTTGAGAGAGTGTGTGTGTGTGTGTGTGCACGAGTGTCTGTGCATGCTCGTGAGCATGCGTGTGTGTGTGTAAGGGTGCTGAGAGGCATTCTGAAAAAGCCTTAGGGACTGGGACCCGCTGAGCACAGCGAGGAGCCTCTGCCTTGCTCCCTGGGGAGCGTGTCCCCACGGCGTGGCACGGGATGTCCCCTCTCCCTCGCAGCAGTGCCTCGCTCCCCTCCGCCCGACGCCGTGGAGGCGAGCAGTCCGCGGGGCGCTCAGTCGCTGAGGACGGCCCCTGGCAGCTCGTTCGTTAGTGTGTGCCAGCGCTCGATTTTCTTGTCCTTGTTTTTCAGGCAGTCAAACCAGTGCTTCAGCCTCTCGCCTTTGGCATTAATTCCCAGCACGACTCCACCTTGGGAGAGACAGAGAGGAGAGGTGGGTGGGCACCTGCCTGCAAGACACACCAGGACACACTGGGGCACACCAGGACACACTGGCCATCCCACCCCAAAGGAAGAATTGGGGAGTGAAAGAGGCAGCCGGGACAGGGGGCAATGCCGCTTAGCCAAGATCTCAGGAACACGTCCAGCGCTTCCAGATGCCCCACTCACCTATGAAGTCATTCGATTTCCCAATGTCGTAGTCCCACACGGTGACTTCCAAGGTCTTTTTGGCCAGGTCGCCATGCTTTATCTCATAGCAGAACTCCTGTGGGGAGAGCAGGAGCCTTCAGGCTGAGCTCTCACGGGGCCCAGTGCCGGCAGCACCATTCCCCACAGGGAGCTCAATTCCCTCTCCTTGTGCAGTGGCCGGGGTGTTTGATTTTCTCTTTTAAGTCACAGCACTGAGAAAAGCCCCCCAGGTGAGAACCACGAGCAGCAAAAACCCACCTCATTGAATTCGGGGTTCAGTGTCTTCTTCTTCACTGCCGTCTTATGCTTCGACTTCTTGTCCTCGTCCGGTTTCAAGTAGCTGCAAGGAAACCATTCGAGGCAGTCAGCACACAGCCGCTGGGCAGCACGAGGGTTTTCCCCTGTTTTTGTGTCCCAGGTCCCTTCCCATGTTGGCACTCTCTGTATCTTGCTTGTAATTCAAAAATTAGGGCTTGCAGCAAGAAACATCACTCGTCTGTCTGCTCTGCTTGTAGCCCTGCAGGTATGATCACTGCCTGCCATACATGTGAGGCAGCATCCAAAACAACCACGAAAAACAAAGGGAATTCTGTTGTTTCAGGAGCCAAGCTTTTCCGATGAGCATTTGAAAAAGAAAGGGTGGATTTTTATACAAACGTCTCCACTGCTAAACAGCAATTGAGTAGGAAGCTGAAAGCATTCTGCTGATAAACTCCATTACTGGCCTCCCACATACCAGGCACATTTCATCCCAGTCACTCTGTCTCAACAAATGCCATCCCTAAAAGTGCTGCATTTGGGGTCAGAGCACAGGGGACAGGGATGAGGGACGGGGCGCAGGTTGCCAGCCCTTCCTGCCACATCCGTCTCCACTTGGCAGAGTGAAAATTTGAAAATTGATATTTCCTCCCTCAAAAAAGAGCCGTGGCCATCATCCTGCCTGTGGGCACAAAGCAGTGCCTCCCCTGGCACCCCAGCAGGGTGAGGGCAGCTCACAGCAGCCCACTGCAGCCATTTCTGGGCTTTTTTATTTTTTAAAAGGACATTTTTTTTTTTTTTCAGAAGGAAGACAGCCCCATCATTTACATCGCAAAGCATCGGCAGGACCTGCAAACGTGCCCCCAGCCCTGTTAACCAGCCCCTGGAGCCACCAGAGCTATGGGGTGCGATTAAAGTGCTGCCTGACCTAATTAGACACGCGCTGTAATTAGAGCCTTTCTGAAGCATGGCTGTGACCTGGTGGGCGCGTGAAAGGGGGAACAGGACAGTACAAGGCACATCAAAACCATCAGGGACCGGGTGCTGCTCGTCGCGGGGCAGCCACGGGGCAGGCTGACACCTTTGCTACTTGGCGTCATCGTGGAGTAATTGCTGGGGAATAACGCTCACAAGCTGCTACCGTGACGCCCTCATTTGCATCTCTTAATGAGAAGGATTAATCTCCAGTGCGGGGACAGGCGAGGAGGGCCGGCGGCGCGTCACTCACGTTTTGACGTAGGGGTCGGAGTAGCCATTGGCGTCCATGGCGGCCAGGTGGGCGCAGCGGATGATGCCCACCAGCAGGCCCTGCTTCTGCGAGCTGTACTTGAGGGAGATGAGGATCCGGCCGCGCTCCTCCAGCGACTTGTCCTCTGTTTTATCTATCTGGGGAGGGGAACACAGCCAGTCCGGGGCTGCTCCGGTGCTGGATGCCCACCACGAGGCCTGCGCCTCGCTGGCGTCAAATATCACTCGTACACCGAGATTAAAACAGCCCAAATGCTGCCTGCTGGCACCTCTCAGGTGTCACACTGCCCTCCTCCCCGCCAACTCACCGGCAGCTGCTTCTCCAGGCAGATGCTGAAGTTTTTGGTCTGGTTGGGCTTCAGTTTCTTCAGCGGGATCCGCGTCTCCCCGATGAACTCGTTGTGGCGGAACTTGTCCTCGTCGCACACCGAGATCCTGAAAGGAGCACGGGGCGGCGTGAGTGGGGCTGTGTGGGGGCTCCTTTTTCCCTGATTTTTATTTTTTTCTGTGACAGCTTCCCGTCCTTTCACTGCCTGTTTTTACTCCCTGTCAGATGCTCCTGTTGTTGCCCATTTCTCACCTTTGCCAACAGGGCCTGGCCTTGCTGGGTCTTCATAAACCCAGGAACAATTCATGAAGGAGTAAAAGGAGTTACAGATGAATATTGCCTCGCGATCCCATGTCACTGGAATGAATTGCACACCACGGCTCTGACCGTGGATGGTTTACCCACGGTTTCTCCATGGGTGGTTTATCTGCATGTGGTTTATCTGTGGGTGGTTTCTCCATGGCAGTTTGACCACGAGGGAAGAAGGAGGCAGTGAGGAGCCACCCAGACGGTGCAGCCAAGCTGCACGAGGAACACCAGGTCGGGGGAGCAGGCAGAAGGAGAGGGTTTGGGGAGAAAACCCCAAGAGGGGCCACGGGAGTGCTGCTCTCCAGAAATGGATGCAGCGTTACTATAGATACCCGCAAAGAAAAACACCCCACCGCAACAGCAAAATCCTCAAAGAGAATCTGAAATGCAGGCAGCGTATTTCTTAGTTCCCTTCCTCTCTCTCTTTCAAAAACCCAAACCTACAAAGGAGCAGCGGTGGCTCCAGACAAGATGCGGCATTCACCAACGCGTGCGTGGCCCCATCCTGCTGCAGCTCCAGGCAGGGAGCAGCAAGCCTGTGGTTGCAGAGGATGAACCGGAGATGGGAGCATGGGGCCAGGCTCTGGTTCTGCACCAGGGCATGGCAGAGCCATGCTGCTGCCTATGTACCTGGGGAGCAGCACTCGGTGTGGATTTTACCTCTTGAGAACAAGAGCAACAAGATTCCCCACCCTGAACCTTGCCTGGACGCATCCCAAAAGCACTTTGAGGTGTCGGATGTGGTCGGTCTATCTGACACCCCTCCAGCCCTATAGCCACCTGGCTGTGGTCCCTCTGCTCCACCGGTGTGGTATCTGTCACTGGTGGCTGGTGGTGCATTGGCCCCGTAAGTCAGTGCAGAGGCGTGAGTCAGATCGGCATGCAGCTCCGGCCCCAGCCCTGCCTTTGGAAACAGGCGTAATGCAATTACACCGGCTTGAATTTTATTACGAGGAATCAATGTGATGGAATTTTTATGCCTTGGGTTAGAAAATCAGCTCCATGACAAACAGTGAGCACACGTCTCCAGCAGCCACCCTCGCTCCCCGTTAGGAGCTTCGTATCGCGAGCATCACCCCCCTCCCGCCTCTCTCTTCATTAAACCCAGTCCCTCGCACCCTGCTGTCGATCTGACAGCTTCCAGGAGGGCTCCTGACCGCCGGGCTAAGGCCGTGAAACCGCCGCAGCAGAGAGCCGGGGAGCGCGCGAGCGATCGCCGCTCACCCAACTTCTCCTCCCACTCCTCCCGGCCCTGACTCACTGCAGCTCCAGCCACCCCGCAGCTGACTCACGGCTGCTGCCTGCACAGGAGCTCCTCCGGCCTTTTTTCCCTTGTGGGAAGGGGAGAATGGGGTCAGCGAGGAATTTAGCTGGAGCCTCGTACCCTTTCCCTTAACGTACACAAGTAACAGCGGATGCTGAGGACGCAGCGCCTGCCTCTGAGCTCCCCATGGTCCCTATAGCAACTTGGGAGGCTCTCAATGCAGAGGCACGATGCCTTAAGCACAGACAATGCCTGGAAAGGAGAGAAAATGGCAAGAGGCAGCATCTGGGACTGTCCAGTGCGGGGCTCCAACCAAAACCCCTCCGTGTCTGAGCGCAGGAACCATGGAGCTGTCAGACACCAGCCCGAGGCTGCCCACAGTTCTGCAGCAGAGCTCCTGCAGGGCTCGTGGTGTAATGCAATCTGGGACCCCAAATCTCCACGTATCTGCAGTGTGCCTATTAGACCTGATCAAATACTATTTTCTGAATAATATATTTAATGAGTCATGATGTTTGTCAAACACATGATTAAACAAAGAATTCCTGGCATTCGCAGGCACGCTGAATATCATATGAATAATGCATCGCTCCGCCAATATATCTGGATATGAATAATCGTATCCAGTCTCCGGCCAGCTCCGGTATTTATTACGAATACAATCTATTTATTGCCTATTACACGGATAATTTAAATGTAGGCGGCTGCATTCTGCCCACTTCAATTTCCCCTGCCCTGCAGTGCTGGTGGGGGGCTCTGGTGCTGCTTGGGCTAGACGCAAGGATGGTTTTTGCTCGATGAATGGATGAGACCTTTCAAGATCCTCCCACCTGATGCATTTCTTGAAATCTGAAATACATCTCAGGGGGTTGGTTCATTAACAAAATTCTGCTTGCCAGTCCCTCAGACATCTTGCATGTCCCCTCTGTCCCATGGGGACAAGGGACAGTGCTGGGGGCACAGCTGGGGCTGAGCTCAGGGCAGGAGCAGCCCAGGTGGGCAGGGAGGCTGTGGGGCCCTTCAACATCTCCCCAGGAGCTGGGAGGCAAAGGCTGGTGGTGGCTTGGATCTGTTATTTTTACAAAGACTCCATGGTCAGGGCACAGGCAGGCAGGTATCCAAGTGAGGAGCAGCAACACGTCCCTTCCACCCATCTGAAAAGAAGGAAATCCAAGCACAGAATTGAAATAAAAGCTGAGTTTTCTTCCTTGTGGCTCAGTTGTAAGAAGCCTCATCTCCTCTACGCCTGCCTCAGGATAAAGAAACTCTTCTGCCGATGCCTTCTGCTGCAGGGATGGAGGAAAGGAAATAGGAGGCTGGGGAATTGTTCTTCAGCTAAATGAAGAGCACTTGAGTTTTAGGCGCTGGCTGCCCCGTGCAAGGGAAAGGAACGGAGCCACGGGCCCCAGGAGATGGCGAGATCAGGGGAACTCCATGAGCCGTAGGCAAGGGAACGTGTCCCCAGGTACAGAAATGTTGCCAGAGCTGGGAAGGGACAAGGAAAAACATCTCCTTTGAACACATACACACCCATCTACCTTAGTCCAGGCAAGGCAAAGGCCCTGAGCCCCAGCCTCACAGCCTCCCCACTTCACCAACTCCTTTGCTTTTTCACTTGCACAAAAGCCTTCCCAGGGTGGCGGCGGGGCCACCTGAGCATGCAGCCTGGGTCTGCCAGGAAACCTCACTGTGCAGGGACAGCATGAGGCCAGCAAGGCAGAGGCCAGCAGCTCCCAGGGGACAGCAAAGCACCAGGCACGGGGGGGGGGGACACAGGCGGGTGCAGCACCCCGAAGGTGTGTGTTGGGGCTTTTTCTCCCTGCTGCGTTTCACCAAACCTCTCCCTGCAAACTGATTTCCACGCCTGAGAGGTTGGAAACTTCAAAGCCTGCAGTGAAAAAAAAAATAAAAAATAAAAATAAAAATAAAAAATACCCACCGCTAATAATAATCAAAAACCAGAGGCTTTCCAGCCCGGCAGGCCTGCAGCACTTTCAGCATGACTAATATTTTCCATGTGAAATAACCACCCGTGGCGCTCGGTTCCTCATCTGCAGGCAGGCTGCAGGCAACAGGTGGGCTCTGCCCCGTGCCCCCCCAAGCTCTTTTTTCTTTTCCCCTGAGGGGAAAATGCTAAACTCTGCCTTCAGACCAAGAGGGTCGGGTGCCAGCCATGGGGCCCTACCGCAGGGTCTTGCGGATCATGTCCTCGTCGGTGATGCCGTAGTAGGTGAGCGTCTCGTTCCAGGTGGGGTTCAGCGTGTTGCGCAGCGTCTTGGTTCGTAGTTTATTCGCCTGGAAGAGCAAAGGAGGGGCATGGTGAGAGGGACCCTGACCCCCGGGCTGTGGCCGTGGGTGCCCCAAAATCCCCCTTCCTGCAGCATGGCACAGCGCTTGCTGGCTCATTTGCAAAGAGATCCAGCTCCGCATCCCCCTCCCTGGAAACAAGCAGCGAAACGGGAACCTTGGCAGAGGCAGCGAGAGAGCGGGGATTTCATTTATACAGCAGGAGCGAGAGAGGGGAAAAAAAAAAAAAAAAAGAAGTCTTTTTTCAGGTTCATTAAAAAATACCAATTTGCTGTTCTGGCTGGTTATTTGCATTCCTGCTTCCAGCACAGCTCCTGACTCTGGCTGACTCAAAATAAAAACTCAAAATAAATTCCTGGACGTGCATTTTGGTAGCAGGGGTAATGCCTCACGGTACCGCAGCTCCGCAGCCGCTGGGGCCAGATCCTGACCCCTTGCCCTATGGCCAGAGGGGGGTGTCCCTGTGAGGCCCCCCCCGCAGCCACCCCTGCCCTCGGGCACTGCTACCTGCAGCCGTCCCCCCCCCCCCAGAAGCAGTGCTAATCAGTGCCTTTGCAGAAACTGGAAATGACAGATAATATCGCTGATGAAAGCGCTCCTGGCTCTCCTGCTTCCAGTGGAACTCGAAATGTGGTTAAAAACTCCCTCTACCGCCCTGAACGTTACGAATTAATTCAGCTGAACCGTAACAAGTAAACATACCTCCCCCCAAAAGGTCTTCCCTTTAGTGTAAAATAAGAGCGCAATTAATATTCATAACACATACATTTAGCATTTAAATTCCACATCCCCATCAGTTACACCGCGCTCTCACTACACATCAATATCTTTAATTACTCTTCTCTCCAGCAAGCGCTGAGCTTAAGTAGATGGAAATATTTCCCTTACGATTTATACCCTGCTTTATTGGGATCTGAGGGGTTTTAAATGCAACAGAAGAAGGAAAACCAAACCACCAAACAAAACCAGAGCTGGTTTCTCCCCATGCTTGGAGCTGTCCCAGGACCTTGTGAGCCTGATGCCTGCACCCAATGCTGCTGGGCTGGGTCTGTGGGGAGGCACCGCTGCCCCCAGAGACCCGCGGTCCCTCGGGGATGCTCCAGCAGCCCCTGGAGACACAGCTGCTCACCGGGGAACCATCACCAGGTTCCCAAGGGAAATTCCTGGGAAGGGAGAGGGCAGTGAAAGGCGTCTCACCTTGCTGGCTCCGGGAAGCAAGTGCAATTTGACGTAGGGGTCGGCCAAACCGTTATGGTCCATCGGCTTCAGGCCCTGGAGAGGGAAGAGCAGCAGGAATCAGAGCAGCAGCGGCACTGGCGCTGCCCTGGGAGGCAGAGCCGCCCGCGGGGTGCTCTCGCTGAGCCCAGCCTCTGATGCCCACTTCCACGGGGCATTGCTGGGCCATGGTGCCCTGGGAGCAGGGAGGGAGGAGAGCAGGATCGGTGCCAGACCCAGGCTGTGTGGCAAGAGCAGAGCACGCCCGAGGCTCCCCTGCGGCGTGTCACATCGGCCACCGCGCACCTCCGCTGCTGGAGCAGCTGCCTCTGACACCCTGCTCGCAATTAATTTGGGGATTAGGGAAAGCAGCGCAGTGATCTTCATGGCTTAAAATTACAGGGTTTTGTCAGTTAATAACCGCTTATGAGCAAGCACACACCTCTGCTGTTGTGCTCTTCCCCTGCAGCGCTCCCCAGGGCGCGAAGGCGCCGTCCTCCCGCTCCGTGGCACGGCACCGCTGGTGGCACAGCCACGGTCAGAGCCTGGTGCCCACGGGTACTGGAGCACAGCCACCAGGAAGCCCTCACGGTGCCCCTCACTGATGGGTTTTTACCCAACCCCACCGCTCTCAGGGGGTGACATGGAGCGTGTTTGCTCTGGAGCTCTGGGCACAGGGGACGAGGCTGCTCTGCCCCGTGGCCTCTGAACAGCCGCGGGGCTGGAAATGCTCTCAGGGCCATGCCCCAAACCAGCACAAAGCCATAACAATGTGCACAGAAACAAACTCCACAGGGAAGGGAAGCGACACAGGGGCACAACACTCAAAGCCTCATTTTTACTGGTCCTTATTGTAAACCACAGCAGCCCTGTCACAAATGCCCCGGGCTGCTCCAGCCTTGGCCACAGGAGCCCTTCAGGGGCTGTTCCCCAGTGCCCGAGGGCATCCCCTGGCTGGAAGCACAGTGGGAGAGGCACCTGGGCACAGGAACCAGGCTGTGGGATGCTCACAGGTTGCCAAGCCCCTAGCGCGGGGTATTTGGTGCTTGGGATCAAGGAGCATTCGTACGGCTGCTGCTGGAGTGGCCATGCGCAATGGAAGTTGGAAGATGGAGGGTGGATTTGGGGCAAATTGAAGGGCAAGATGTTGGGGTAAATCGCTTGGCATATGGAATAACACCCAGCTGCACACTGGCAGCCCTGGCTGGCCGGGTTTGCACAGCCCAGGACCTTGGGACCAGCTGCCAACCTCGGGCAGGTTTCCACATCCACGCTGTCCTGGGGCCAGGCGGCCAAACGGGGCCCGGCAAAGAGGATTTGGCTCCTCCACCAGAGACAGAAGGATTAAAAATATCGGCAGCAAATGTAGGCTAAATGGCTCTGTTTCAACAGCATTGCAGCTCAGGTCACCTCCCTGGCCCAGCCAAAGGGGAACGCAGCAAACACGGGGGACGGGCGGCAGGTGCCAGCTGCGGCTCCACAGGTGTCCACAGCACATGGGGACAGCCCTGGCTCGTGGGGACCCAGGGGAATGGGCTCACCGGTTGCTCACAGCAGAGAGAAGTGAATCCTGCCCACAGGCTCCTGCGGCGGAGCTGCCCCACCTGCACGGATGCTGTGTGGAAAATGAAGCCATAAGCGAGCGAGCAAATTCCCATGAAAATGGATGGAGGGAGACAGGCAGCTCTGTAATTCACCCATCAAATCAGCTCAATTAAATTACCTTCTGAGGAGGCTATTTAAGGCTTTTTTTAACAGATGTGCTACGGAGGATGGGGTGACAGGAGCCTGGAAAATGGCTCCTAATGCTACGTCTGGCTCCCTCCCACGTCGCTCTGCGCGGGTTCAGCACCAGCGGGATGTAACGCGATGGCTCTGCCCCACAGGGGCACGTGGGTGACAGTGCCATCACCCCTTCTGCTTGGAGGGACCTAAATCTCCTCCGAGAGAGCCAAGAGGCTGAGGCAGGGTGGCCAAGGGCTCCCCAAGCCCCACGCTGGGGACAAAGTAACCCCCCAGCTTCACCAGCACGGCCTCATGCCCATCTGCCCTCCCTGGGGCACTGATGCTGCTCACAACTTTCCCCTTCTTCTCCCCAGCTCCGAAATCCCCTCTGTAATCCCGAAATCCCCACTGCGATCCCATGGGGACCGACAGCCCCGCCGCCGCCAGCTGCACTCCGTGCCACTGACATTTAGCTAATCAATAGGATTTAATTACGAGGCGGGCTAATCGGGCTGCCTATTAACGCCACGCTTGAGGCACGGAGGAATCGCAGGAGGAGGCTTCGTGCCAGCAGCATCCCCCCGTGGCCGGCAGGCTGCTGCTGCCCAAACCCAGCCTCTGGTGCCTCTTTCCAGCCCGGGGTGCTGTGTGTCCCTGCTTTGCAGGGGCCGTGTCACCCCTGGCAGATGGGCACGTCCAGAAATCACAGCCAAAGGCTCCCCAGAGCGTGCTGAAAACAAAGGGGTTGTGTTTGGAGGAGCTTGAGCCCTCCCGGAGAAAAGGGGGTGACAGCGGTGTCCCCGCTGGGGCCAGGAGCAGCAGCAGCTGTGGCTCGGAGCTGGGAATGTCCCCGCAGTGATAAATATGGATGAGCAAATTCATAACTCGTGTTCCGTGCAGATCTCCAGCACTCGGCTGCAGGTTCGTGGGGCGCATCCAGGCGCTCGGCAGGGTGGAAGCTGCCGGGTGTCCTCCAGGAGCCCCCCGCTGCAGGCAGTGTGCTCGGCAGTGCCGTTGTGTCACCATGGCTTTGCCCGAGGATCACCCGTGGCACCTTGCTCCCAAAAACAGGAGCCCAACGGAGCTACGGGACAGCACAGCGGTGTCTGCGCTGCCCCATGCCCCTATAGCCCTGCAGGGATCGGTGCAGCACGCTGGCCTTGGTGAGGCTGAGCAGAAAACCAGACTGAAACCACCATGAGCTGTGCTGGGGCACAGCCCGTGGCACCTCGTGTTATCCAGGTCCTTCTCCGTCCTGTTTTGGGAGGGCAGAGCTCTGTGCTATTAGGGAAACTGAGGCACAAAGCGCCCCAGCAGGGAACCCCCTGGAAGCCCTGACCTGCAAACCGAGCAGTCGGTGGCTGCAGAGCAGAAAATCGGTGTTGGACCAAGACAGGGTGGATTGAACCGAGGGGGGAGGTTATCCAGAGGAGAAAGAAAAACCCTTCTCAGGTGGCTGACACCACGCAGCCCCGTGGGACCCCCGCATCCCGGCACTGCCCTGCAGCGTCTGCGCAGCCACCGCCAGCTCCCACCGCCGGCAGCCGGGGTCCTGGCCCTTACCTTTCTGTAGTCAAGTTTTGGCAGCTTTCCCCAGGCGAGAGATGAAATGAGAGCGAGCAGATGGCAATGTAAATAAAAGAGAAAAATGGGAGAATGAGAGCAGAATGGAAATGAACAGGACTGCAACGCTTGAATGTCAGAGCGGCAGGGGGGGGCTTGTCCCACCCGCGGGCAGGGCCCAGGGCTGTATTTAGGGGGGTTCAGCTGCTGCCATTCCCCTACAGCCCAGCACCGGGGCATGCTTGGACCAGGGCTCTCCTTCCTCAGCCCTGCCTTCGCTCTCGCTGCTGTCAGAGCCTCCTCCTCCTCGTGGGGCTCCTTCCTCCCCACCTTCCTCCCGCTGCAAACCCGAGCAGAAAACCCCTGCTTGGCTCCGCTCCCGAGCACTACGAGGAAAACCCGACCCGAGGCTGCCCAGCGGCTGTGCACAGCCTGAGCCGAGCTGTGGTGCCCCTGCTCCTGCTCCCGATGGGTGCGCGCACCCAGCACCGAGGTGCTCTGCTCCGGGGTGGGGGCTGCAGGTAATCCGGCTGTCCTCGAGCATCCTCAGAAGGGAAACGGTCCCCTGGGGGTCACCTGCTGCTCCCCCAGCCCTTCCCAAGGCTGCAGGGCCAGGGGGTCTCCCTCCAGGCCCCCATGGCTGGGTGAGGTCAGGGAGGAGCTGAGCAGCGCCCTGAAGCCATGCGCCCAAAGGCAGAGGCAGGACCTCCGCTGCCTGTTTCTGCTCCAAAACGTGCAAAAAAAAAAAAAAAAAAAAAGAAAAAAAGAAAAAAAAAAAAGCCCAACAAAACAACAACAACAAAAAACCCTAATTGCTTCAATCACGCAGACGGCAAAGGAGCTGAGGCAGAGCACTTTGTGGCAGTGATTAGCAGCATTTAAAAGAGCCATTTATAAACTGACAGCCGGTCACAGCGTCAAGTAAATAACAACATCGGGTTGGGTGCTCTGCTGAAAGCCATAAATAGCTGCAGCCGGCTCGGCACGGGGACGGGGACGGGGACGGGGACAGGGACGGGTGAACGGCTCCGTCCCATGGGACTGGGGCTGGAGATGGTGCGGGCATGGGGCTGCAGAAGGAGCTGGGGACAGCAGAGCCCCGGCCGAGCCCCCGTGTCCCCCTGCTTTCGGCAGGGCTCTGGTGTCCCCGAATCGCCCCGCGGGGCTGGCCGGCTCCACGTACCTTGGCTTTGTTGATGGTGCAGTGCAGAGCGTTGTTCTCCTGGTCGTACAGCAAGCTGAAATCCAGCGTCCCCAGCGCGGCTGCAAGAGACACAAGAGGTTGTGAGGCAGAGGGACCAGCACCGCTGGCTCCTCGCCCCGTAACACAAAGGGAGCGGATGGAGATGCAACAGAGAAGCGAAGCATCCTCCAAGTAAGCCCCAGAATGAAGCAGTGGGGCTGGCACATCCTGAAATGTTTCCTCCTGGGGGGCTCCTGGGGGGCTCCCCAGCCCCAAGGCTCCTCTCCAGTGGCACTGCTGGCATGCCCGCCGCGTGTATTTGCACGCTGACACCTTTGAACAAATGAGCCACCGGTGGGACCCATTCCCAGCTCCGGTTTGGCTGCGAACTGTAAATTAAGCCCAGCGAGCATGGAAATACTTTTACGGGTAAGATGAAAAACATCAACAGCCCTCAGCCAGAGCGGCGTTCCCTCACGGCATCGGCAACCCAGCTGCGGCCGCAGCGGTGCTCGGGGCCGAGGGGAAGGGGTGGGAGGGCAGCGCAGAGCAGGAGCCTCAGCAGCAGGGGAAAATTGGGTTTGAGAAATTCTCTCCCTCTGGACTGAGCAAGTTGCACCAAGGCAAAGCAACGGCAAAGCCTTAAAAAGGCTCGCTTTCCTGACACGTGCTCAGACCTTCACCAAGGCCCCCAGACCCAATCCCCACGTGGATTGGCATCTCCCCCAGCACGGCCTCACCTGCCAGCAGCCTTCAGCCCCCCCAGGGGCTCCAGCTTGCGTTTTACTGTGCCCACTTTCCCCTACTGGGACCTCCCAAGGCGGCACACGTGGAGGGGACCAAAACCTCCCCGTGGTGATTTCACGGTGATCTTCCAGCCCAAACAAGAGTTTGCCTGCTAGCCAACAAAAACCCGCTGCTCCAGAGCAAATATTTTGTCTTCAAAGCGAAGAAGAAAAATATTAACAGAGGTTTGTGCCAGAATAATGCATCCCCCTTGCTCTGGAGTAATTTCATGGTGTGTTAGCTGCCGGCTCAGTGGGGTTCACCTGCTGGGCTCGGGGAGATGGAGGCGACGCAGGGTGAGGCCAAATCTGCAACACCTGTGTGTCACCTCTGGGTTGGGCTCAAGGGGCACCTGCAGAGCACTCACCACCCAAATTGTGCTGTGACTGAGGCTCCAAACTGCTTGTGGGGCTGGTGGCACAGGTAGGGAGGTGGCAGCTGTGCATGGCAGCGTGCAAGGACCAGCACTGGTCCCATGGCTTGTGGCAAAGTCATCAAAAGTTGACAAAGCCGGGTTTTTGCCTATGGAAGAAGAACCCTCTGCTCTCGCAGGCTCTCCATCCTCACCTGCCCTTTAGCCAGCCGCTGCCCGCCAGCCACAGGAGGGGGCCGTGGCTTAGCCGGCTGGATTTGGCAGTTTGTAAAACAAATTAAAAGCTTGGCGTGGAAACGGGGTTTGGCCAGGAAATGCCGGCAGAGCCTCCTGTCCCCTTGGCGCGACAACCTGCCCCAGGGCACAGCGAGCCCGGCCCCAGCAGGACGAAGCAGCAGCAGTGAGCATGGGCAGGGGTGCACGGCCCCTGCACTGCTCTCCCCCAGCACGGGGAGGGTCCTGCTCCCCGCAGGGATATGCGCTGCCGATGGTGAGCTCCCGTTCCCAAGAAAGGGTCCGCCTTCGTCAGAGGGACACGGAAACATCATCAGGATGTGTTGCACTAATTGCTTCAAAGCGCGGCCGTATGGAAGTGACAAAAGGGATCAGGGTGACGTGGGGGACTTGGCAGCCGCGGCGCTGCAGCAGGAGCCTGGAGCTGGGGGGGCTGCAGGATGCGGCCCCACGGGGACACGGGCACGGGCACAGCCACGGCTGAGCCGCAGGGTGAGAGCCTGCAAAGCTCGTGGGATCCCACCAGGCGGTGAGCACGGTGCTCGAGGTGCTCGAGCTGTGAGTGTCCCCGGGGTCACACCGAGCCCCCAGGTGCCAGGATTGGGCCCAAAGCTGCCCGGTGCAGCAGCCACGCAGCCGGCTTTGAACAAAGCCCTCGGCCAAGCAGGCGAGATGCCCTGCTTGTGTTGTTTTTCCCCCTCCCAGCCATCCTCACAGCGGAGATGGAAGTAGCTTGTGCTGTTAATTAGGGGAGCGAGTGCCTAAAAAAGAAAAGGGCAGCAATTAGACGAGAAGCGTTGTTACCAGACATATTTAACTCTGCCGGGCTCTTCTGAATGCTGCCCTCTAATCACACGGACTGCAAATAAAAAAAAATATAAATAAATGCCTTTGTCAGGCATTACAAAGGCAGCTTAGCGCTCTCCAGGCAGCAGGCAGGATGTATCATTATTATTGCGATTATTCTGCTCCAATGATAAAATAACCATTAGGAGACGTGAACTCATTAGCAGGGCCTGACCCTCCTTCCCGGCCGCGGATCAGGAGAGATTGATGGGAAGGTGCCAGCCCGGGGCCGGCGCTCAGCGCAGGCTCTGCAAAGAAAAATAAATCTGACTCGTGCAGGAACGTGGCCTCTTCCCCCACCGACCTTTGGGCGTTTGGATTAATTCAGCGGGCTGTGAAATTAGCAGCAGCCAGACCGTGTGGCTCCGGGCTTGGCCATGGCACACGTCTGGAGCCTGGGGGCACCGCGGGGTCCTGCGCCCCCCCAGGGACGGTCCCCGTGGTTTATGGCTGGTATCTGCCATCAGATGGGGAGCCCCAATCATCTTCTGTTTATACCTGCAGGGATAAATCTGGGTGCTGTTCCCTAGCAGGTCCCTGGCTGTGTGGGCAAGGTGCCCTCATCCAGCAGCAGATCTGGCCCCTTGCTGGCTGGGGACACGCGAGGGGGAAGAGTTCCCCTGCCCGAGAGGTGCTGGAGATGGCAAAGAGGCACCGGCACTCGCAGAGCAGCCCCAGAAACTTCAACAAAGCCCGGCAGCGATCGCTTGTGAGGGTCTTTCACCTTCCAGACTTGGGGAAGCTTCTGCAACATGACTGCTGTTGGGAAGCCCGGCAAGGCTAGGTGCTGGGAGAAAGCAAGGTGCGCGCTAAAAACTGCTCTAGAACTAATTAAAAAGGAGTCCAAAAGCCTTAAGTCCCTCTGCTTATCAGCATTGCTGCTCCCAAGATAATCTGCTCATGGATTTTGTGCCAGGGAGATCAGAGTGGAGCAGTAAAGAGACTGCTGGGGATTGTCTGGATTAGTGCTCCCTTACAGAAAGCACAGGTTCAGTAACCTTCAGGCTGGGTGTTTTTTAATGCACTATAAAAGATAGGTCCCCATTCTTCCATTGCTTTAATTTTCCTCTGCAATGGAGATAATTTTAAAGGTCCTGAAAGGCAGCAAGTAATTCTGTGCACTTACAGCCCCACGTGAAATGTCAGTAAATGACTCCTCAGGAGGAACAGAAATAATTTTTGCCATTTCCAAGCCAGGCAGCTGCGGATCGCCTCGGCGGGCACGTGCGAGGAGCGACTGACTCCCTGCGCTGTGGGGAGCAAAACTCCAACAGCCCCTGGGTTAATTCCTGGAAACAGCCCCAGGAATCACCGTGAGCTGCTCTGTGACAAAGTGACAAAGGATTTGGGATGTGTCCTGAGGGCAGCACGCTGTGCTAGGACACAGACACTGGGCGGGATGTCCTGGTCCTGCACAAAAGCCAGCAGGGACTGGATCCAGTGCCCTCCCTTCCTGGGAGCTCCGGGGATGGCACAGGTTTGTGGCTGAATGCAACAGGAGCAGGAGCAAGGAACGAGCCCAACTCTTCCTTCTCAGACTGCTTCCTGCCTTTCCATTTTATTTTTTTTTTACTTAAAATCTATGACAATTAATATTTCTTCATTTCCCAGACACAGCGCCAGCCCCTGGCAAGCTCCAGAGCAGGGAGCTGCTTCTCCACGAGGCTGGTTGATGGATGCTCATCAGCTCTTCTGTCTTCTCCAGGAGGAGTGTTCAGAGGAACACTTATCTGCTCAGAACAGTTCAGAGATGCAATTATGTTTTACAGCACTAAATGGTCCCTGATGTCAGCAGCAATTAGACTTTCAGCAATTTCAATTTGGAGATGGCCTTCAAATCTCTCCCTCTCTCTCCCTTTAATGAAATACGGTATTGCAATTAACAACCCCCCGAAATTGCCTTCAGTGTTAAATACAAAGATGAAAGATCCGGGAAGCCCTCGGGCACGGGGCACCGGGGAAGGGAGGAGGGAGGCAGGGCAGGTTTGTCCCCAGCTCCCCGGGGATGGTGCCCGGGGTCTGACACCGACCGGCACCCGCGCAGGCGCCGTTGGCTCCAGCAGAGCCACGCTCCAGGCTCCGCCACCATCAGCGGTGGTTTGTTTAGCTTCCCGAGCAAAAAATACCTCTTTTGGCCTTATCTGGATTGAAAAGACGATTCAAAGGTTATAAATAGCAGTGGCAGCATATGCTAAGGAGCTGTGTTTCAGAAGTAAATATCCTCATCCTCCCGGCGCACGCTTCCCCTCCATCTCCCCTTCTTCTTCCTGCTGCCTGGCCACGAGCACCGCCAGGCGACTCGGAAACTCAGTGCCCTGCAAGACCTTTGCTCTTCTTTACGTCTTTAAGCAGACAGTAATTAATAACTGCCCTACAACTGCCTAATTATCATATTTGCTCAAAAAAAAAAAAAAAAAAGAGCCTTCCTAAATAACTTCGGTGGCTTCCAGCTGGCGTCACAAGCCACGAGCTCTCATCCGGAGACCTGGGCTTTGTGCTGCCGCAGCCCCGTGAGCTCTGGTGGGCAACCACGGCCACGTCTGTCTGTGCCTGAGCACCACGCAGCTCCTCCAGCCAGCCCAGCTCCACAGCAGCAGCCATGCTCTCGAGCTGCCTCCCCGTCCCGAAACCCAAAGCCTGGCACGTCCAGAGGAGGGAGCGAAACCCTGCCACAGCCTCACTCGGCAGCTGAGGTGCGCGGAGAGCTTCTTCGAGGGCTTGTGCTTTGCGGCAGAGGGATGGCTGCGCATCCAGTGTCAGCCCCAAGCAGAGCAGTCCTTGCAGCTCTCCCTCCCAAGAGCCACGTTTCCACACCCTGCACAGCCTCCAGAGCCCTTCAGGCGAGCTGTGGCACAGCCCAGGCGCTGCCACGGGGAATGCGCAGTCGCTGGAGGGGCCGTGGCTTGCTCGGAAGAGGGGAGCCGGGAGGTGAGGAGCTGCTGCCCAGCTCCTGGCAGGTGGCACATTGCCACCTAGCTGGCATTTCCTGATTTTCCATCCGCACCGAGTTCCCTCGCCAGCACACCGCCTGACAGGGTGGAAATCAGCCCTGGAGGCTGGTGGCCCTCAGGGACAGGCCAAAAGGCAGAGGGAGGGTGGTGGCCGCGGCTGGGAGCTGCAGGCGGCTCGGCTGGGACCTACGGGCTGCTTGGAGGGTGCCCCAAATGGCTGCCCCCCGCCCCAGAGCCATCAACTCGAGCCCCTGCATCAGGTGCCAAAGAAATACGCTGAAATACAAGAAATAGGACTGCAGCGCAGGGACCCAGCCCCGCATCCAAGCCCGCAGCCCCGCCAGGTGCTGTAGGGCAGGGTGCTGGTGGCTCTGCTCCGTCCCCAGCCCCTGCAGTACTGCGGGGCTGAGCCACACGGCCCCGGTGCTGCTGGGCACCCAGGAACACCAGGCTGGAGAGGTAACGCTGGGCAGGAACAAATTTAGGGGAAAACCAGGCAAACACTGCATCTCCTCAGCCAGAGGCAGCCCAAATCCTCCCAGAGGGTGTGGGAGCACCATCGCTTCTGTGCTAGGGGAGGGAAACCCGCAGGCAGGTGGGACAAACGGGAAGGAGCCGACCTCTTCCCACGGGCCCTATCGTGACAAAATCCTGCACCTCTGCGGGGCTGCGCTGGGAGCATCCCTGGGGAGCGATGCAGGGAGCATCCCAGCCTGGCTGCACCAAAGCCAAGGTGGAGACAGGAGCAGCCAAAGCACCCGGGCAGGCACAGCTCGCCCCGCGGTGCTACCCGGGCACTGCAGCGGGTGATGGGTGCTGCCCCCAGCTCCAGCACTGCCATCCCCAAGTCCTCAGCCAGTCCCCATGTCCCCAAAACCGCCATCCAGGCAGGGATGTGCAGGTGTGACTAATGCAGCAGCCCTGAATCACCCGCTGGGGATATGAGGGGGTGCTGAAAGACTCCCCAGCTTAGCTGGTGCCTCCGGGCGGGCTGCACAAATCCCCACCCAGCTCCCTGACTGTGAAACGGGGCCAGCGAGCCCTCGCCTGGCTTTGCAGCGTGCCTGCTAACCACATAGGATGGGCAGGCTCCATCCCACATCTCTGCACCCCGACAGAGGCTGGGGACACCCCACGCTGTCCCCCAGCTGGGATCCCGGCCGTCCCCACTGCACCCGCTCCGCTCCTGGCGCTGCTGCGCCTCTGCCAGGGGAAAACCCAGCACATCTGGCCGAGGAGCGGCAGCGGCGTGGCCGACACCTGTTACACTGCAAGAAATGCTCCTCCCAGCGCCCAGCGGGAGGACGAACGCCCTCCAGCCCCCAGCCCCGCAGCTCCCGGCCTCGCTGGGCACAGACGGCAGCGCCCTTGGGTGCTGGCGAAGGCGCCGTGCCCTGCGGCCCTGAGCGCACCAGCGCCCGCGCACACCTCTGCCCCTGCAGCCCAGCTGCTCCCGTGTCTAGCGCCGGGATGAGCAAAGGCGATCTGATAATTAGAGCAGCAAATAACCCAAATCCGGTTAAAGTCGCGGCTAACTGCCTGGCTGGGACAAACAGGGCTTAGCGGGGATGCTCCCCCTGGGCATGGCTCTGCTCTCCTCCTCTTCCTCCTCCAAGGGGAGCGTGACCCCAGCGCGGGGTGGGAGCGAGGCAGCACCCACTGGGGGCTGCACCCACCGGGGGCTGGCACCCAGAGCATCCCCTGGCCATGGGCAGCAGGCAGCACAGGGCAGGGCATGGTGGTGGCCGTGCCACCTCGCAGTGAGGAGGGGCCCAGCCCCGCTGGCAGCCGCCCAGCAGCCGAGAGCGATGCCCAGGCAGGGCTGGGACATTTGGCACAGGGAAAGCCACCGCCTGCCCGGCACGGGGCCGTAAACAGCTCGGCTCGGTGGGAGCTCAGCCCACCCCTTCCCCGGGGACGGGCATGCAGCAGCACTCAGCAGCGCTGCCTGCCTTCCTCGTCGCCTCCAGGCTGCAAACTTTGTGCTCAGCCCCTGGCAGGATCTGGCCCCTAAGGGCTGGGCTGAGTGGAGACCTTGGTTTTTATCTGACCCGGCGGGGAAGCGATGCTATCCCAGCCGCCGCGGCTGGCAGAGCCAGACAGCAGCTGCTCTGCAGCCTGCAAGCTCCACCGAGCCGGGTGGGAAGGACGTTTTGGGTGGGGAGGGGTTAAACCGAGCTGCAAACACCTGCATCTGCCGGAGCCTGCTCGGAAGCCCCCTGGTCCCTCCGGTGGGGGCTCTGCCTGCAGCTGGGGGGGCGAGGAACGGGAGCTGGAGTTTGCAGAGGGCGAGGGCAGAGATTTCCCAGCGGGTGCCATTGCGAGCGGAGCGCCCAAGCTGGAGCTGGGCGATGTGAGCGCGTTATCGCCAGCTCATCAGCCGGGCGGCTGCACCACCCAGACGGATGGAGAGAAGGCTCCGCGCCCAGCCGGCAGCCACCAGGGACCCGGAGCCGAGCAGGAACGAGGCAGGGAAGCGCCTCACCCGCACCGGCAAACGCAGCAACTGGTGGCTCTTGGGAGACTTCCCCAGTTTGGGTTCAGCGCCCAGCCTGGCTGCGGCAGGGATGCTCCCGGGGCCACCCCTCCCTGGGGGCAGCACGGCGGTGACAGCAGAGGGTTTGTCACTGCTGCAGTGCAATGCCAGGGACGGGCAGCGTGGCCAGGGAAAAGGGTGCACGGTGCGGGCAGCAAGACCAGGAACCAGACCCCAAACACCCCCCCACAAGCACACAAACTCCCGTGGAAACTTGGCAACTCACTGCAGTCGTCGGACTCGTAGCCCTCGGGGTCCACCGCCTCCTCGGGTGGGGGGCACTTGGCCGGCTGCTGGGCGGGCGTCGTGCCATACGCCCCGAAAAGCTGGTCCACGTCCTCGTCATCCTCGCGGGGCGCCTCGGCGGGGCTGACGGAGGGCTGGCTGACGGCCGGGCGCAGGGCCCCGCTGCGGCCCACGGCGGCGGGGAGCCCGCGAGGGAAGCGGGGGAAGTAGTCGGAGATCTGCTTGATGGGTTTGATGGGGCCGGGGCAGACGTCGATAGCCATGTGCTCCTGGATACTTATGGTCATTTTCTCTCCTTTTCGGAGTGTCATGCACGCGGCTGTCGGCGCCCAGCGTCCCCGGAGGGAGCCGCGACGGTGCTGGTGAGGGGGGCAGGAGGCAGGCGGCGGGGAGGTTCGGGCCGGGCGCCCTACGTGGCTCTCGCGCCCTCAGCCTCAGCCGCCGCACGCATGCTGCTGCTGCCCGCTCGCGCAGCCCTGATCCTGCCGGCGCTGCCTGCCAGCGAGTGAGCGAGACCGAGCGGCGGCGGGGAGGCAGGGGGTGGGCTCTCGGGTGATGTCACCAGCTAGCAACAAAGCGGCACCAGCAGCGGAGGAATGAGGGCTGTGGCCAGCCTCAGCCCCTTCCCCGCCGTGGCCCCGGAGGACAAGGCACAAGCAAGAAGCAGCCGGACCCTCAGTGGTTTTCCCCCACTCGCCGCAGCTCGGTGCCCTCGGGCCCCTCGGAGGAGGAGGAGGAAGGTCACCGTGTGGTCCCGGTGCTGCGGGATGGGGAGCGGAGCTGCCCTGGGGACCGCGTTGTCCCCGTGCCCCCTGGCCGTGCCGTGGTGGTGCTGTGCAGCACGCTGAGCACGCAGCCGGGTTTTGTGTCCTGTGGCCGTCACCAGCCAGGGCTGAGGCAGCGCGTGGCACTCGCTGGCAGCACGCTGGGTGTGATCTCTCCAAACCGGCTTTCAGCTGCTGGCATGGAGCAAGGCAGCAGGCGAAGCATCACGGGGCAGCAAGCAATGGGCTGGGGCCACAATGCTCCCCAAACAGGGACAGGGACAGGGACAGGGACAGGCTGCCCGGTGAGCCCAGCAGCAGGGGAACAGGACCCCTGTGGCATGCACAGGGAGCTGTCTCCAAGCAGGGCTTCCACTTGACCTCCCCCTGGGCTCAGACCCACACCTCTGTGCTCCCACACGATGGGAGGAGTGTGGTTTTTTTTTTTTTTTAACCAGAACTGCCAGAAAAGCACCACAGTGAGGACATGGTGCAAGACACTGAGCACAACCTCACCCTGCATGTTGTGGGCAGCTCCAGCACCGCATCCTGCTGCTGGCTCGGGGCTGCTGGCGTGGTGCTGGACACGCCGTGTACACCGAGCCAACCCCAGAGCACACAGAGCCCACACCAAGACAGGCAGAACTGCAGCTCCTGCAGCCTGGCGTGCTGATGTCTCAAACATCACACTCCACTCACTGGAGAGATTCCCCCAAAACCAGCGAAATGACGCACAACCTCTTTGTCTAATGAAAAATTCAGTTTTTCATTCAGATTTTGGTAAATGTTAACGAACTCCCCTGACTCATAACACACTGACACGAGGCAAACTAACCCAATTTATTTCTCGCCGGGAAGCAAACATTTCTCTCGTGAAGCATCCAAACTTGTCATCGCCCTGTACCTACACACGATGCCCACAGGTGCTCTCATGACCTGAGGCTCGGCCTCTCCTCCTTCCCTCTGCGTGTTTTCAGTTTCAGGGCAGCCCCTGCCCGTCACATTGGGGTGAGCTGTGCTGCTCTGTGCAACCAGCCCCAAGCAAGGTCCCGAGATGTTCAGCCCCATTCCCACGTCCCAGGACTCTGAGAGTTTCAGTGTGGATGGAAGTGGAGATGGGAGCAGCCACGGGGCGAGCCTGGCTTCAGGCACCACATCCAGGCCGCAGCACGGGCTCGGGCAGAACGAAGCAGAAACCGGGCCCGATGCCCAGAAAATAACAGCAACTCCCTCTTAAGGAAAGGGCAAATAAATAAATAAATAAATAAAATCGAGTTACGCGTGCAAGAGCCTAATGTCGTTACTGCTGTTACACCAGCGTCATTATTTCAAATGCTTCCCCAAAGAGCTCCAGACCCGGGGAAGGAGAAAATCATCCCACGGGTCAGGGAGCTGAGGCTGTGGGGTTGAGGTGAGCCCCTGAGCCCTGCCTCCCGCAGCACCCTGCCAGGGAGCAGGCCCCAGCAGCACCCAGGGGAGACGCACACAGCCCTGTGGGGCCGGATCCACGCGGGGATCAGAGACACGGAGGGGGAAAGGCAAGGCCGAGGCAGCAAACCTCGCCGGGAAGGCCCCAGGGAAGCCCCGTCCCCAGGCCGGAGAGATGGAAAGAAACAAAAACAAGACTAATAGCCCAGGTGGGAATTTCTGATCCCAAGACTCCCGAAAGCAGCTGGAGCCTTTCCTCAGCATTTAATGAGTCCCCACCTTGCAAAACGAAGCAGCTGGCTTTTGATAACCCGCCCTTCCCCACCTCGTGCTGCCTGATGCCTCCTCCCAGCCCCTGGGCTGACCCGATGGGGCTCCCCTGGCCACGGGCAGGTGAAGGGACAAAAATAGCCTCGGGCTGGGAGACAAAGGCAGGGCTCAGCATTGCAAAGCCTGTTTCCAGGTAAAGTCTTTAATTCCCACCGTCTGTCTAATGCCCTGGAATGTGACTGGGTTTGATCCCGCGCCCTGCCGGGGTGATGCGGTGCCCTGCACGTGGCCTTCATCTCCCTGAGCAGAGCAAATGCTGGCACAGCCCCTGCAGGAAAAGGGATGGATTAAATGCTGCAGGGCTGCTCTCAGGGATGCCCCATCCCTGGAGGAAGGATGGATCCTTCAGAGAAAGCGAGACGGCCAAGAGCCATCGCTGCAGCCCCAGTCCAGGCTCAGAAAAGGGACAGCTTAGGCTCAGTTTTAATGCTGTCCTGCACAAGGGCTTACGCACATCCCAACCTCACCCCATGCCCCAGGCAGAGCCGTGCTGTAGCCCAGCTTCGTCGGGGAGCTGCCCTGCCAGTGCTGCACAAAGGGGTGAGCAGGAGCCTCTCTGCAGCAAACAAAAGGGTAAGCACATGGATTATCGGCATACCCGAAAACAGAGCCCCTCCTCAGTGCACATTTCAACCAAATCAAGCACTAAGCATCGCATGCTGCTGTCAAACTCCAGGTTTAAATCAACCAAATTGAGGGCTGATTCCTGCTTAATCCATGCCTCTCCAAAGGGCCAGCACAGCAGCACGGCTGCACGTCGCCGGCGCTTATCAGAGATTCGATAACTGACCCCGCGGTTATTTAATACTTCCCAGCTCAAAACCAAACCTCAAAACCAACACGCAGGGATGACACAGGGCAGCACCAGCCGCACAGCTTGAGCTTTCTTTCTGCTTTTTCCCCACCATTTTTGTGCCAGAAATGAGGTGCAGCAGCGTGTGCAGAGAGCCCTCCAGCCCCTTGGGGTGGCTCAGGACCAACTTTGTCTTCAGCTCACCCTGCTGATAGACATGAAACACGTTTGTTTTTTTTCCAAACAAGCTCAGCCCCAACTGGGCTGTGTGCATGGAAGAGGCTTCATGGAAAGGCAGCACGTGCCCTGCTCGGGAAGCACCAGCAGTGGAAGGTCCCTGCCTCCACGGCTGGCAAAGCTCAGCTGAGCCCACAGCTTGCACTGCGGGCCCTACCTGGTTAAACGCCCCCCGCATTTGTTAAATAAAGCAATAATAATAATGATAACTGGGAAACTTGGCTAAATAATCCTAAGAGGCTTACAACAGGCTGCGCCGATTACGGCTCCCCAGCCGTGCTGCGATGCCGGTGCCCCGGCCCCCGCTGCTCCTCGGTGCGAGCCCAGCCTGAGGCTATGTGCTCGTCCAGGCCCTGCTCACGGCCATCACTGCACCAGATTTAACCAGCAATAATTACAAGCTGCGAACGAAATCACAGTGGCAAAACACAGCCCATGTTCTATTACGCAGAGCAGACACAAACAAACCATTTCAGAAAGAGACGCGAAGGGCAAATGGGGTTGAGAAGGAGCCCTTGCCCCCCAGAATAATGTTTAAGTTTCCCAGAGAGCTTATGAAACACCCAGCTAATGGCAAGGGTGGATGGCAGCCTTCTTGCCAGCACTGTGCTACCGCAGCTGAACCTTCAAGAATGCTTCCGAAAGGACGGGAGGCGGCAGGAAGGCATCTGCTCTCTGAGCATCCTCAGTGCCTTTCAGGATGGGCCCAGAATAGCTAAACTTTCGGCAGGGCCTGATGTTTAATGCGCAGCATATGTTGCCATTTCGATGTGAATCCCAAAATAGTTGGGTGTTTTGTTTTGTAATTTTAAAGCCCTGGAGTTTTTGGAGTCCTGTGAGGCTCACACTGGAGGGCAGCAGCGCCTGGGTTGGGAGCATGGGGTGCACCCCGGGGTTTGGGGTCAGGCTCCAGAGCCTTGCCAGGGCTTTGCCATCAGGAGGCCAGGCAGAGCCACCTGCTTGCACTACGCCAGCTCTCCTCGCTACGTGCCTGCAAGCCAAACACAGACCCGATCCCTTGCTTTCATGGGAGGGGAGAGCTCTGTGCAGCATCAACTCCTATTAGGCTAATTTTATCTGCTCTCGGTGCCTTTCCGAGCTGGAGTCAGCGTCCTCTGAGATTATCCAGCCGACTTGTCTTAGTACTTTTACCCTTTTACCTCTTCCCCAGCTGCGGCAGGATGTCAGCATCACTTCCCAGGAGCGAAGCCCGGTGGCGATCCTGCAGCACCTTACCCATAGCTCGGGCACGGCGCCCAGCACGGCTGCCTGCCCGCACGCCCGGCAATTTGGGCCCCGGAGATGTCCAGGAGCAGAGTTAACATCAGCATTTGGGGCCTGGCCCTGTTGCCATGGAAATTGATAGACTTTCTGCTTGCATTTTGGTGGGAGGAGGCATTTTGGGAGTCACCACCAGCTTCCAGAGTTAACGCGTGCGAAGCCAAGAGGAAGCAGGGAGCGACGGGAGGGCTCCCCGATAACCCACAGCACCGACGCTGCACGCCGAGCTCCGGGGATTCGTGAAATAACATCTTGGTTTTGCAGAATTAAAGAGCAATTTGGCTGCATTAAGGAAGCATTATAGCTGCTCCTCTCCCACGTACGCATCAGGCTAACGACATCCTGCCAGGAGCAATCCAAAGCGGAGCCCCCGGTCGGTGCTGGTGCTCAGCCAACGTACCCATCGCAGCCCCAAGAGCTCTGGGCTGGCTGCTGCCCCGCTGTCCCTGCACCGTGAGGCTCAGCCAGCCTCGGGGACCAGCAGGCAGCCAGCTGCTGGGGCTTCCTCCCGGCCCCACTGCCAAATCCCAGCATCACGCCGAAATTTCAATAAGCAGCAGACGTTAAAAAATGCAGCGCAAGATGTGCGGGCTGTCTAGCCGTGCAACCTCGCGTCGCCCAGCCCAAGGCAGCAGAAATTTCCATTCTGCCTTGGGGAAGCCCTGGCACTTCCCAGCCCCGTGGTGAGCCAGGGAGGAGAAAACAGCAAAGAGAAAAACAAATGGGAGACGGAGGGAGAGAAGGAGAGGTTTAAACCCCAGCGTTGTAATTACTCCCATCCGGGGGGGCACCTCCCAGGTCATTAAGCAGCCAGAGGAGTCACTAGATGGCCCTGCTAGTCCTCTTCATCTGATCGCAGCGACGGATGTTGAGGATTGCTTGTTTAGCTGCTCTGCAGGCTTTTTGGGAAGCCTGCTCTGAGCTCCCTCTGGGAGGAATGGGATCCCCAGGACCTCGCCTGGACCATGCGAGGACGTTCCCCAGGGACCCTCCTGGTGGCCCCAGGACCTGGGTATCCCCTTCACTCCCTGACACTGGCTCTGCTCGCCGGTGACACGGCGAGTCTCTGCCTCAGCATAATCATGCTGACAGTGATGGGTGTAAGAGCCAGGGAACCATATTAATGAACACCGTGTCACCGGCTAATCATGACATTAGCGTTATTGGATTAGAACATTTGCATAATTTGGGCACGAGTAGCTACCTGCGCCGAGACATATGTTTACATGAATTTACATCTATTTGCATCCCGATGAAGCTCTTCTGACCGCATCCTTGACAGCTTTTTGGGTGACCAGCCGTGGCCATTGGCAGCTCAGCCCCATGGCCCATCCCCTGCTGCCAGGAACAAGGCCGGGGCCACCCCGATGCCAACACGGGGGCAGCATCCCTCCTCCTCACGCTGCTCCCACCCGGCTGGGGACAGGGGCAACAGTTTGGTGGCCCTGTCAGCTGCGTGCTGCCCTACAAAACAAGCAGTTTGTGCCCTGTCCTCCTCAGCAGGGCTCGCTGCACCGTCAGAATGCACATCTGAGCGCAGAGCCCTGCAGCCCACCCACAAAATGACAGGGAGAGAGCTGGGCAGCTGCCTGCCGAAATGTCCCTGAGTGCCTCGCTAATGCAGCAGCACACGGGGAGCCACCGCCTCCTTTCGCAGGACCAATAATTATGAGTCAGGACCGACTGGGAGCTGTGTGCTCACTCCCCAGGCACCTCCAGCCCCCCAGATCGCCACCACACTCCTTCCAACACACAAAAAAAATGTAGAGAAAAGGCATTAAAACACCACTTGCCTGGGGAATGCTGCTGCTGTGCTCCCAGCGTGGCACTGCTGGAGGAGTCCCTGTCCATGTCCAGCAGTGAAGCAGGGAAAGGGGAGGAATTCGGCCTGTCCCAGCCTCGTGCAGCTCCCATGTGCCTTCAAAGCCTGGCACTTAGCATCTCTCTGCTGTAATAACCCAAGCTATTAAGTGTGGTCATCTCAAAAGTTTAAAAAAAAACACATCAAGACCGCTGCCTGGAGGGCAGCTGAGAAGCTCCACGTGGCTTTGGTGAAGCGTTACCCTGTGCTTTAACTAGAACACACTATTTCACACCCAAGTGGAACCTTCTGGACTCACAAAGTGCGTGAGAAACAGAAACAAACCCAGCTGGAAGGTCAGAGGGACCTGATCTCAATGGGAAAGAACCAGAATTTGTACCTGCTCAGAGGTTTGCCCACGATTGTGCCATTGGGGGACGATGCCATGCTGAAGCCGAACGGCCCCGTGCCACGAGCAGCAGAGGCAGGAGCCCGGCACTGCAGCAGGAGGAGGGACACACTCATGTGTTACTGCCGGGACCGGGGACGTGCTGACATTATTTGTGACCATGCAGATGGGATGCTGAATGCAGACCGCTGGCTGTTTGATCAGCCCCAGGGCTGTCAGCGTGGCTCACAGCTGGAGGCACCAGATAACGGGAGAAAATTACCCCCCCTCCCTCCCTCCCCTTCCCTCTCCAGTGGGCATCTCTCTGAGAAGAAAGAGGGAGGGAAGCAAGCCCAGTAAATCAGCTCTGCTGCTTTGCAGCCTCCAGCCCTGCTCCTCCTCCTGCACTGCCAGCACGGGCCTCAGGCAGAGCCCGGGGGATGCAGGGGTGAGGGCCGGGGGATTCAGTCCCTGCTCTTTTTTCTGCTTCCCCACAAGCCCTGTGTGGAGCTGACGGGTGGCAGCACGGTGAGAACTGAGCCAGTCCCCAAAACACCAATGTGGGACTTGGCCCAGGCTGCAAAAATCCAAGCCCTGTATCCTTCCCTCTCCACAGAGGCAGTGAAGTGAGCAACATCTGATTTCTTCCTCTCCTTTCCCATCTTTTCGCCCTCCTTTCCCGATATTTGAGGAACAGATGCACCCATTCATAACCATGCAAAGGAAAAGTGCGCGTTTGCCTTTCCGACTGCAGTGCAGCTGGTGAGGCACAGGAGGGAAAATTATGTTTGGTATGAATACACAAATTATCCGCGCTGATCTTATTACACTTGAATGGCAAACTGACAGAAAGAGAAAACACGAAGGAGAAAGGCATTGTTTGGGCTGTGCCGATGTGGCACCGCGGTTGTTTATCCTCTCCAACCACTCCATCGTCCTGCTCCCACCACGGGTGCAGAAGCTGCCAGAAAAACCCAGGCAGGACCCGGGGCCTGGGAGGTGGCAGCACCGCCGGACACCTCGCCTGAAATCCCCCAGCCAAGCCTCCAGTAACTCACAGGCGTTATCAGCATTAAAAAGATTGGTGTTACAGCGGTGCCAATTAGCGTCAGAGCAGGAGAATACCCAGGGGTGATACATCAACACGGGCACAGGGACTCCCTGGCCCAAATCCTCACGGAAACCTTCTTATTCATCGCACAAACAACTCCTCGAAGCCCAGAGCAGAGCTGTGCAAGAGGAGACAGGAGGAGGAGGGCAGCTCCGTGCCCCAGGACCGTCCCCAGAGCTCAGCACCTCACACCAGGGCCCAGCTTTTGCTTTGTCAAAAGATTTTTGGGGTCCCTTAGGACCTAGAAGCCACAGCCCCCAGCTCTGCAGGGGGTTGGGTCAGGATTTTGCTGGCAGCTCCTCCCCGGTGCAGCAGAACAGTCACAAGGTGGGAATCCAAACAGCTCGCAAGTCACCTGCTACCCAAACAAGGAAAATTTGGCAACTTTCCTACTTAGCACTTACTACACCAGGGCTGCTCAATGATGCTAATTAAACAGGTACCTCCCAGCCACAGGCAGAAAGATTTATAGCCCCCATTTGCATTTCTCGGTTTATTTTTTCCATCCTCCAAGGCACCATTAGGACATCCACAGTGCAATTGCTTGGAGGAGCTTAATTTTGCATGAGGATCATTTGTCCATTGTTGGCTTGACCATGGCTCGCCCAGCTCCTTGGAAAAGGAGACGTGCTGAGAAGGGGCAGAGGCACTGCCCCTGGGATGCATTTGATAACTGAAGGGTACCAGGGGAGATCCAGGTGGAAATTGGGGTCTGGGGGCAAGGGGAGGGCTCAGAGCACGACAGCTGCTGTCAGACCAATACAGGTCACAACAAAAATACTTTAAAACTGCGACCCATCTCTCCTGGCAAAATATAAACACATCATGTACAGCCACTCACTGCAGAGAGGGAAAACAAGAGCAATAATCCCTCCAAGATTTTACAAACAGCTTCCAGTGCCAGGCAGAAATCAGCAGAAGGAAAAAGAGAGGCAATGGATGCCCTCAAGTAAATACACGGGACCTCTGCAAAGCACCAGGGACGCGAATTCATTTCCCAGAGGTGCAGAGCAGCACCCTCTGTGCCACACAGTTGGGCTGGCTCCTTTTCTGCTTTGCTATGAAGACATTTAGAGGAAATTTCTGCAGAGCAAAGGCACAGGGCAGGGGTGCTCGAGTACTTGGCTGCCTGCACACACAGCACACGTCGTGCTCCCGTCTCCGTGCTGCTGCGGAGGGACACGGCATTGCCATCATCTTGTGCCTCCCGAGCATCGCAGGCATTTCCAGGGCTACCTGAACGCACTGCTAATCAGGCACGCCGGCCAGGAAGGAATGTGAATCAGCTCAAGGCAGAAGCCTCCCCTGAGATGCTTACCTGTCACCTGCCATCCTGTGTCAGCTCCAAGTCTCCTCATTTAATCGCAGCACCGGCCCTTCCAAACAACTTCCCCATCTCCCATCCCACCCACCTGCAGGGGTGCGAGGAGGAGGGAAGAGCAACTGCTGGTAGGTTTTGTTTTACAAATGAACATGAGATCTGCAGAGATATCTGGCGTTTTGTGCCAACATCCAGGCACTGATAGTCTGAGGCCATCCACGTCCGACTCGTTAATGGCCAGAAAAACATTGTCTGAACACCAGCTGGTAGCTGATTTGCTTCAGGTGCGCTGAGCCACTACACAGGGTTCCCACAGAGAAAGGGCCCCCTTTCCCCTCAACCTACAGCTGTACAAAGTATGTAAAAACCTGTAAAAAAACTCGGCAGGTCATGGCCAGTGTTGCGGACTCCGAGATCCCGCAGCCGACGTTCCCCTACAGCGGCTGTTGTCATGGCAAGCGGAGCGGGAAGGAACAGCACAAGAGGAGGTTAGTCCTTGACGTGCTCCATCCTTGGACTAATGGCAGCTCCCCAGCACAACAATCCCAACAGCAATTATTGAGGCGCTTTTAAAATGGGAAAAGCAGATTAAAAAGCCATTCGAAACCTTGAAGCTGAATGCAGAGCAGCCAGGGCTGCACACACTCAGCAAACAAAGCGAGAGGCAAAGACCCCGACTGTCACACCGGGGCGAGACGAACCCTGGGGGCTGCAGGGACATTGCTGTTTCATGCCTGGTGGCTACAACACTAAAAACCTTCCACGGAGGGGCCAAGGAGCAGACCTGTGCCCTCTGCGGAGGTGCCAAAGAGGGGCAATAGACAAATGAGAACTTTTGAGCGCAGAATTCAATTACACTCCAGCCGTGTGAATCACAGTTCCACTGGCTGGGTTATTTTCTTTCCTCGCTGGAGCCAGCCCAAGGATTTGGAGATATCTGCAACCTGGGAATGGAATGAAAGTTTTTACTGTGTCAAGAACGGTAAGCAGTTGTTAGAGAGACAAAGCTTTATTGTTTTCCGTAGTAAAACACTACATAAAAGTTGTAAGGGACGGAGATGAGAACAACAAAATAATAAAAGCAACACAAACGATCAGAGTAGACTGAGCCCTTCTTGCCCACCTTGAACCAAGTAAAAAGGCCGTCAGCTGGTGCAGGTTTAGGATTATATTCCAACCAAAGCTACAAAACACAACCAAGAGAGATGCGCCAAAGGGAAAGGAGAGCTTTAACAGAAACTACACACGCAGAGCTGAGTACGTTTATCTATCACATTTGAATGTGGCTAGAGACTTCCCTCGACCCACAGGGAGTTTTTCCATAGGCAGCAGGATGGTTCTGTTCAAACTCAGGTGGAATTACTCCATGGAGGTAAAATACAGACATAAGAAAGCATCACTTCTAGTCTTGCTGGTACAAAATAGCAGTCCCAAATTAATCTGTTTTGTAAAACTTGGTCTCTGTAAAAAATCAAAACCATGCCTTAAAGCAGCACAGTAAGCCGGCAGAGATGAACAGGTTCTTGTGTAGAGCTGGCAACCCACAGCTTGGTAAACAGACCTAAGAAGTGAGGACGAGGGTGAAAATATGACTAACCTGCCTGCACTGTCCAGGAATGAATCATAAGAAACACAAGGAGAGCTAGAAATGATGTGTTCAGGTTTAAAAACTCTCTCCAACTCAGTGTAGCATTTTTAATGAGAAAGTAACAGGTTTTAAGAAAATAGTCATTTTTTTAAAGTGTCTTTCTCCTTCTTCTTTTGAAGAATTAACTTAGGCTGGCAGACCAGGCTGTCTCAGGCACAGCGGCAATGACAGAGCAAGAGAGCCTCAGTAGGACTGTCAAAAGCTCTAAGGCAGCACAGGATTTTTCTGGTGGCAGCACACTTCTGAAATTGAAGACCCTGCAACTCTCAGAAGAAACAGCGTGACTTCAGCTCTGAAATCACACCAGCACTTCAGGAAAAGCTGCCTTTTGGGTTTAATTTTCCAGAAACTGCTAACAATTTTGGCATCACCCCTTTCAGCAATGGGGCTGATCAAAGCCTCGATGGGCAGGTTTAAACAACGCAGACCACAACACTAAAAGCACCCCTCTGTGGAGAACAAGCTCATCCCTTGCTCTCTTCAACACTGGCGGTGTGAAAACCACGTTCAGAGGCTTCTCTTCAGGCCACCTCGAGGAGCCCACGTCATCCAAAGGCTTTGTTTTCACTTGTCAAAGGGCAGAAGCAGATCACGGAGCTGGAAGGATTTTCTCAGCAACCTGCCATGGTGTGTTAGCTGGAAAAGCAGTACAGGAGCAGTGCTCTGTTGGACCATGTTCATTTAGAAAGAAAGTCAAGGATTGATTTCCAATCTCCTGTTAGAGCATTCCAGCGCCCAATCTCATTTATCTTCTTACTGCAGCCATTTGTAAGAGCATATACTACATGCACACAAAGCACCCAGCAGCAAAGGAGAGCTGAACAAAAGAGTAATAACCAAGGGAACAGGCTGACATTAACAGGCATGAATTGCTTTTAAATCCACGACTCCAGAGGGAACTTTTTGGAAACCTTCATTTCTTCAGCAAAATACAGGTCAGATCCAAAGCATTTAATAAAAATCCACAGACTCCCACTTGCCTAGCGTGCGTTTTCGTTCAAGCCTCTAAAGATCTAATTGCTCTGGAGATGTCAGCTAATCTGATTTTTCTCATCTGCCAGGCCTTGGAGGGAAATTGCCCATTCTGGAGAAGAAGCAGGACTTGGGCACAGAGCTTTCCACAGCCTGACTCATCATGACACCATCACGGTCGGCCAGATGCTCCAGACTTCCAGGAAAATGGCAAAATGCAGGCCCCTGCTCATGCAACAGATTATAAGGTGTGCATGTGGGAGGAGAATCTGCAGAGCTTAACGAGATAAAGTAATTGGAAAGCTTTTAGCTGACTTGGGTAATCGGAGGCAGCCAGCTGGCTGCGGGCTGGTGAGCGTTCTCCCACCCCGAGCTGCAGCACACACACTGCCCACGACCCCAACACCAAAGCATCGCCCTCGTTGCAGGACACACAGGCCAGCACGCAGCCAGGAGAACTTAAAAAATTCATTGCAAACTTCTCCAGGTGTTTCTGTACTCACTGAAGTGCCTCCCTGAGCAGACAGCCCTGTCTGGGAGGGATAGCTCAGGGGAAGGGAGCTCAGCTTCAGCAGCTCATTTAGGATGCCTCCACCAGACCCACACCACCTCACGCCAGAACAACGAGGACAAGACACACAAGGGGTGACAACCCAGGCACATGGAGTCTAGTGCAAATCAGAGCCCGCTCTCACCCTCGGGGCTCACAGACGGAAAATCACCGCTGGGTGAGAAGCACTACAGGGGCTGTGGTGCTCACACCCTATTTCAGGAGCACAGGGGTGAATTCCCCTTTCCCCTGAAGAAATCAAAGCCAGGACTGTCAGGCCAGGAGCAGAACCGAGGGCTGAGTTTGGCAAGGCCAGCAGAGGCAGCACAATACCTTTCTTCAGCCCCAGTGAGCATTTTGCCCCTTCTGACAGACACACAGCTGGGCCCCAGGGCACAGCACCCTTCTCCCAGCATATGTCAGAGGTAGGATGGGAACCAAACCAAACCAAACCAGAAATCAGGTCAGCGAGGCGGGGAGGACGGGCCAGCACTTCCCCAGGTGCTGCTAATGTCTGTGCAAGAGCCAGTGGTCACAGAAGTCCCCGCTGGTGGCAGTTGTTGTCTGGAGTGAGGTCTACAGGAGTGGGCAAGTGTTGGATCCAGGCGAGCAGCTCCATCTTCACCTCCGTCAGCACCGGGTTCTGGTGTGAACGTACCGTTTGCCTTCAAAACAGAGACAGACAAAAGTTTTGTGTGAAAAGAAGCAAAGGGGAGAGACTTGACAAAGTTATTTTAGATTGCTTTTACCTCCTCGGTGCCATTTTAAGAGCTTCCTAAAAATAATAATGAAGAGAATGTCTGTGCATCATTACTCCATGCTCTGTCAGCAGTCAGGGCCCATTAAACTTTATTAAAGAAAGAAAAGACAGGCAAATTGGGAAAGGAGGAGAAAGAAAGAGCTGTGCTGATGGAGCTGGTCCCCTCAGACTGCCGAGTTAGACAGAAAGCCAAGTCTCAGCCCTCTGAGGTTTCCAAACCAGGTGACAGCACAGAGCAGCTCCTCCCCTCACCTTCCTGCCCTCTGTGTGCCCAAGCTGTGGCCAGGAGGCAACTTTTTGACCAGGAGGCAGCCCTTGGACTTTGGACCAGGAGGCCCTGGTACTCGCCTCTCTTCTGCTTCTCTGAACCCAAGGGGACACAAATTACTTCAGCTCCTGACACTCTGCAGTCACCACATTCATGCAAAACGTTCAAGGCGCTGCACATTCCTCCTACCGGCTCCCGGCAAATGTCCCAGTTCAAAGATAGCCTCCTGAGCCATAAAACCTCTCAATCTGTTTACAAAGACACCAAAATCCAGACTCCTAACTTCTGTATTAGGCTCCTGTGCTCCTTCTTTTATGTTTTGTTTTGAAAGATTACATCAACTATTGCCCTCGGTGCTTTGTGCAAAATGCTCAATAGAAAGCTGGGAGCGTGAGGAGTAAACGTATTGCAGCGGGCAGAGAATAAGTCTAAGGACATGGGGACAGGAGGCCAGGCAGACGGTTTGATCAAAGACCAAAGTACAGACCTCTGCAGAGTGAAAGAAGGCACAAAAATAGGATTTTCATCCTCAGCAGCAGACTTGTTTCCAGATATATTGAGTGAAAGAGGCAAGAGAATGAGTCTTTGTCATTCCTCTATTTTCAAGGAAGAAGCCTTCAATTTAAAACTCCATGAAGAATTACAGAAATAGTGAAAGTAATTTATTTTTTAGGTACTCAAGCCTTTATTCCCTTAACTTCAAGGCAGACTCAAAGAGGTGAAAATGTTTTGGTTCTACCACTTGAAGATGAAAATATTTTAATTCCTTAAAACATGGGAGGGGGCAGACGCTCCTTCTAAGATTTGTATTTACAAATGCATTGTACCTAAAACGCAAACCTTGAATCATTCCTAACACTGTCACTACTGGAATATACATGTTTTATTTATAAATACAGCAGGATCGTTTGGTGCTCTGCAGTACCCATACGAGAAGGCAGAGACAGCTCTGAGGCTCTCAGCCATGAAGGCACAATTCAGCTCCTTCGCTGCTGGAGGAGGGACGACTCATCCTCATCAGAAAACTCAACCCTGCGGCAATGACAGCGAGCTCTGAGCACACGGGGGCAAACGAGATGGGCCAGCAGTGGTGGGAGGCAGAGGCTGTGGGTCTGCCCCCCACATCTGACTCCAAAGACCCCCCTCCTCCTGTCCTGTGCCCTCACTGCAAGCTGAGGCTGAAGGCAGAGGAGGAAGAGCAGGGGCTGTGAGCGTGGCTGCCGACCCGTTCTGCCCTGCTGCAAAGAGAGAAAGCACCGTGGAAGATGATGCTTTCATCATGGATGATGCTCTCTGGCTGGAGCTCATGTACACGAGGGAACGAGCCGTCTGAAAACATTTAAGCAACCTTCCTGCCAAACTTGCAAAACAAAAGTCACCTCCCCAAAGACTGCCACGAAGAAAGTCATTAAAGAAATTACTATCTCATTCAGAGCCTGATTGCTGTTAGGACAATTTTTTTTTTCTGACATGGAACGGAGCAGTCAGACCCACTGAAGCAAGATGTTACCTCTTCAGCGTCCCTGAGGGAGCAAAGCAGACATCTGAGAAACAGAAGGGAAGGAAAAAAAAGAAGTTAATGCTTCAACTTCAAAAGATGCCCGGAGAATTTCCTGCCATGAAAATAATGCAGGATGGCTCTGCCTGTCTCCTGTATTAACAGCTTGCATATTTATGAGCAAAAGTTGATGCCTACCCCAACCAGGGAGGCACTGAGCCACGGAGAGAGTGACACCACCTCGCTTCTAAATCTAGCAAACTCCTGAAAGACACAGCATAAATCTCCCCAAATTAAGGGAGCTGGAAGCAGCGCTTCCTGCCCATCTCTCTCAGCTCCAGACCCTCTCCCTCAGCTCTGCTCGGCTGCTCCCAGCACGACAGCCACCAAGACAGCAGCCAGAGGGATGTACCTGAAAGCAGCAGCTCTGCCACCCTAGGAGAAGGGCCCAGGTTGGACCTTCGGGGTCCCTCAGACCACCCCAACCCCTCTGGCTGCAGCTATGACATTTCTTACACCCCTGGGTGGTGCCGTCGCCGTCTCAGCTCCCAGGCTCGGAGACATCGCTGTTTAACGTGGCTCTGTTTAACTGCCAGCTGCTGCACCACTCTTTAAGTATTAATGATTTAGACAACACATTGGCACACAGGCAGAGATGGGGAGGCTGTGATTTGCGCTCAGATGTATGCTACTCATTAATCAGCTCGTCTTGTGGCTGTTTTGCCAATATCCTCTTTTAAACCCAAACTACAACTTTCTGCAGCCCCCCAGCCCGTGCCCAGCCCCTCTCACCTTTCCCTGCTTGCAAACTCTTCAGGCAGCCTGACCACCCTGGCTGCTCCTCGGACAAGGTCCTCAGGAAACACTCGGAAACGGGGACCCCCCAAAGCAGAACTGCAGCCGAGCTGAGGGGAGATCCCCCGTGCTCTTAATCACCCCCCTGCAGGAGCCAAGCCCAAACTCAAAGACGTAATTTCCACAAAAAGCTCTCCATGGGCTAATGAAAACCACCATAACGCATTGCTGATTTGTTTAATTCTGTTTAATATTCCCTCTCTTTAATAAAAATGTTTTAATTAAGAACAGCGAGGATTTCGCTCGTCTCTGATTGAGGCACCTCTTTGCACAGCAGCTGTGCAGCCAGAGCAAAAGGTTCCCCTCCCTCGGTGGGGGAAAAGGAAGATTGGGCTTCTCCCGTGTGCAATTCTCATTCTCTTTAGGATAAATCATTCTCCATCCAAAACAGTGCATGGCCTTCCTATGTGCACTACACACACCTCATGGCACCCAGTGGAAAGAGGCAAAAGCTATGGGAAGAGATTTAGCAGCCGCCTTAGCAGCTGTGACCTCAGAGTGAACACACAATATTTAAGGTTGGAAGGGACCTCTGGAGGCCTTCATCTGCTTCACCTCCAGGAACCGGAGCTTCAGGATGAGAAGGGAGTTCAGACCCTCAGAAAATGATGCTTTTGAAAGCAGGTGGTAAAAAAATAAATAAAATTAAAAAAAAATGCATCTTCTCAGCTCCCTGCTCTCTTCTCCAACTTTGGCTCACGGGCTGAGGTTGCCTAAATCCCAATGCAGCACTGACAATGAGTCATTTCGTGACAAACCCCAGGCTTCATTATCTGCCTCACCAAACCCCAGCCGGAGCTGGAGCTGTGTGCTGGAAACCTGCAAGCCTCTTCTTAATAGCTCCTTGTTTTCCCCTGGCCATGCGACCGTGCCATCGTCTCGGCCTTCAGGCTTTAAGGAGCTCAGGACTGCAAGCAGCTGCCTTTGCAGTACCACTCCCCGTGGCCCTGGATTTAAGGATGCTAAATTGTTCTACACAGTTGCACTTGAGAGCTGAATTAGAGCAGAGGTGAGAAAAAGGCAGAAAAAAGAAAGCCAGTGGTAGAACAACACCTGAGGTGCTAATATAAAGCAAAAAATTGCTCCCTGTATGGTGTTAGAAAGTTTCAGAGCCTTTTAGAAAAGCTGTAGCGAAATCTCCCTTCTATGTCCTCATCCTGCCACTGAGGATCAGGTCTTTGAACAAGAGAGGATCTCTGCCCCTTGCTCTTTCTCCAGACACAGCAGAGCACGGGCACCATCCCACAGCCAGGGAGAGGCAGCAATGCAGTCTGCTGGCCTTGACACACAGGACCCAGCACCTCCAGCACCCCTAAAAGACCTGAACGGCAGGAGCAGCCTCTGAGATTTGTAATCCCAGGGCACATGAACCCCTCCGCACAGCAGCACGCTTCCTAGGGCGCTACGGAGCTGGGTTTGCTCTTCTCTTTATTTTCTGCTCTTGCCAGGCTGCTGGCAAAGCACCGGGGCATTCCCTGCTGTAGCCTCCTGGACATCTTGACCTGCACAAACCACCTGCTGCAAGCCACCTCGCTGCGCCACGCCAATTACCGAATTCCTACAAAATTCCGCTGCAGCCCCTCTCCAGCTGGGCACACTCCGTGCTGACACAGCAACCTCCATCACCTCCCCAGCCTGTCCCTGCCGACTGCAACCCCCAGCCCGGGCAGGAGGCAGCTTGCAGCCCCCCTGAACAGGGCAGTCCCTGCTGCAGGGAGCCTGGGAATTAAGAGTAATGAAGATCTTCACGGGTATCCTCCAGTCGGCCAACCTGGCTTAACCTTTTTCTTAGCAGGATCCTCTCTGCGTCTCGGAGGCTGTTGTAACCGGGCTCATGAGATTAGTGCAGTTCTTGTTTTTTTAAATGTGTGTCCGTGCTGCCTGTCATTTTTGGCTCTCTCCTGCCTAGCAAAGGGAGATCCACTGGAAAGCGCTGACCCCTTGTGCCAAGCTTTGCATAAGAGGTTTTTGCTTGGAAAAAGGCATTTTCTGCCTCTCAGATGCTGTTTGCACTGTCATGGCCAGGTGGCAGCTGCTTCGAGTGGCTGGCAGGAAAGCTCCTGAGTGCTAAGCCCTGTAGGAACACACCATGCAGGATGGCCATCGCCTGCTTCCAGCCACGTAGCATCAGCACCGGGGTCACACAGACCCCTTCCACCCCACAGAACAACCTGCTGCTCCACTCCAGCGGGCAGCAGAGCCAGCACACCACGGCAAACACCCACCTCTAAAGCCACATTGAGAAGAGGCTTAAAAATAACCCCCCCCAGGCTGGGGCAGCATTATAATCCAGAGGACAGGCAGAGCAGAAGTACCACTCATCTGATTTGCTTTGCAAAAAATAAAATTAAATTAAAGAGAACTGCAAATCCACAGAACTTGTGGAGGGAGGGAAGAGCCCAGCAACGATTTTATGCTGGCTATTTCCAGCAGGAAGCACGGGGAGGGGGACTGTGACTCCCTGTTGCACTGAAGGATAAACCTGCTCTCCCTAATCCAATTTACGCCTCAACACGCACAGCACAGAAACGACTCAGGAACAAAAGGAGTGGCAGTTCGCAGGGCAGCAGGAACGCTCTGGGGGGAGCGGTGCTAAACGATAACTTAAGGGGTTATTGAATAGGTTAGCAGGAATCGAGGAGAGAACACATTTGCATCTCTTTCAGCTGCTCCAGATCAGGCGTGATAGCAGCCTCTGCTCTCACAGTCACTTAATTGTTCCAAGGTTGTTGAGGGGGAAAAGTATCTTTTTTTTTTTTCTTTTTTGCACTGCAGAGTTCTGGGAAGAGCCATGCTTGGCTCTGAGAGCTACCTAACATTAGGAAGAAATTGTATTCAGTCTCATGAAGCTGCTGGGTTTCTGCTTTGTGCCATGAACAGCTCGGATCTGTGCTGCTGCCTCCGCAGGGCAGGTGAGCTCCAGGCCCTCCTAAGGGGACAGACCCAGGCTGCTGCGGCTCCCGCAGGCGGCTGTGGGCAGCTCCCACCCCAGACGATTACTCACGTTGCAGAATAGGTTCTGCACAAGGGAAGGAGTGAGCTGTAATGCTGTGACAGCATCTGCCACCAGTGAAACAGCAGGGAAAGGTGATGCTGGGCCACGGCATTGCCAGGTGCACTCCTGAGAGCCTTCTGCTTCGAGGGATGTCAGCCCCCAGTGTGGGGACATGCCCAGGAGAGGGACATCAGCTTACCAGGGACTCTGCTGCCGACGTCGCTGTTGTGCCCCTCTGGTGGGTGGTCGCTCTGGCAGCTCTCGGAGGCGCTGAGGGCAGCCCCCTGCTCGCTGCCCAGGCTGCTGCGGCTCCCCGAGAGGGCAGGGGGGTGGGTGCTCGCCTGCACCCTGCCCACGGGCCGGCTGGGCTCCCCGCTGGGTGCTGCAGGGACACAACACAGAGAGGCTATTGGGGGAGGGAAAAGTGGGTACAGATCCTGGACCAGGTCCCAAGAGAGCAGAAGCATTCCTGCTCCCACCCAGGTACCCTTGGGAGCAGGAGCAAAGCCCAATTCCTGTGCTCCGCTCCCAAAATGGCACCAGGGATGCTGGTCAGGCGTGAGGAGCCGGCTGCAGATGTGCTGCCAGACAACCAGGAGCAGCTCTTGACCTCAAGGACAGCCCCTGACAGGCTGCAGGGAACAGAGACCACCACCAGTTCGACCCATTGCTGCTATTTGGTGTTAACAGACCAGACCCCAGCTGGAGCCAGTGGGCTGCACCTGCTCAGGGCAGCCAAGTTGGGGGCAAAACCCCCAAAACCAAGAGCCACGCGTTCAAGCACTGCTCGCTTCCCACCCTTCAGCCACAAGGAACAGCAGCTCCTTACCCGGTCCTGCTTGCTGCTTTCTGGCTTGTGAGCCTTTTGACCCCACAGGCGAGGAGGGTTTCTCATCCAGGCTGGAGGAACTGAGCTCCGAGTCGCTCTCGCTGTCGCTAGAAACCACTGCAGGAAAGATTGGGGGGGAGGAGAGGAGAGAGACAGTTATTCACAATGTTCATAACACTTGCAAAGAGGGTGCCAGATGGATCCAAATAAAACATGCACAAATGCTGACTCGATGATCATGTTCTCCCTCTCCAAAAAGAGCCCTACCTGCAGTTCCTCCACAGCTGTTCCCGCTTCCTCTCAAACACGACGGGCTTTTACTTTTTCCAGGTGATTTGCAGTTGAGCCACACACACCCAGCAATGCCAGCACCTGGAGCAGGTGCACGTACCACCAGCACATCAATCTCAGGCCCTGCTGGGACCACGGGGAGCACGCTGCTCCTGCTCCGTGCTTTGCTGCCCGAAGCTCCCTGCCGGGGAGCGCAGTGCCCTGCAGCACAGCCAGCTGGAAGCCAGGGCTCTGCTCCTGCCAACCTGTGTGTGCACACCAGCGAGCCCCTTCCTCCTGCAGCTCACTGCCTCCTGCACAAAGCAATATGCTAAAGGCTGGGCAGGGTGCGAGGCAGGGTCCTGGCTCCAGAGTAATAGGATCCTAAAAGGATCCACGTTTTAATAATTCGGGAAGAGGGACTGGCTGCAGGTCCAGCCCTGGTCTCCTCTTCCAAGTGCAGCAGGACCCCTGTGGAGGCTCCAGGATCTCTGAGGAACACACCAGATAAATGCTACGTGCATCAAGCACAAAAGCCCTGCAGTGACTACGCACAGAGCCAACCTTATTAGCCCAACACCCATTCAGCAGATGCTCATCGCTATCAGCACGCTGCCTGGAGCTGTGTTACTCCTATGTCCCCAAGGCTTAATAGGCAATGGTCTCTCCGTTTCCTCAAGGAGACTGTTCTCCACTTCCAAGGCCTCTTTATTTATCGTTTTTTAATTATTTTCCCCTGAATCCTGGCACTCATCCTGCTGCTTTCCACTCTCACAGTTTCCACACAAGCTGAAAGAGCTTCGTTTTGCCAGACACAATCCGAGGACACTCCGCACACCAGCAGGCTGTTTCCACTTTTCCATGCGATTATGCAAGCACCTCTCCTGCTTCCACCATTCAAAAAGGTACCTGGGCTGCCAACTGCAGCTTCCCGGCCTCACGGCGCTGCCAGGAGCAGGAGGGACGTGAGCGTGGTGGTATAAATAAGGTGACAGCACTGGGTAGCAAAGTCAGCTGTCAGTTCACCTCTCTCCACCAGCGCTAACATTCACTACACGCAGTCAGCAGCGCTACAAAGCCTTTAACCCTGCCCAGGGCACGAGGGCTGGTAGTCTTCCCCCGGCACAGGCAAGCACAAGCTGTCCAACATTTCTGCCAAGGACCTCCGCAGACGCTCTTGTGTTCAGGCAGCAATCTGTACTACACAAAATATTTGATATAAAAAAAAATAAATTAATACTTAAAATAGCTCTTTTTCTGGAGTTAACATCTCTGAGGATATTAAACCGGCTGGCAGTGTTATTGCAAAGTGTTCCTGAAGATGCCCTGGCAGGCAGCTCCCCGCGAGGCGCTGTCTTAAAGGCAGCTTCAGTACTTCTACCCCAGAGCTTCCCGGGGTTATCGGTAAGCACCATTAATAACAACCCACATGTACCAGGCTCTTTGCTACAAAATCCAAATCTCGGCTGCCAGAACCTTTCTGGCTGTCCAGTTGCCCAATTCCCTTGGCAAACGCACTCCTGTCCCAGTTGGTTATCGTTTTTCTTTTTGTCCTCCCGGATTCACAAAATCCATCGCTTTATAACGGCTCCTTCTTCCACAAATCCTTTCAAAATGCTGGAATTCGGGATTTATTTGGAGGAGGCCCTGATGAATCAGTGGAGGTGACTTTAGCTGCCTTCCCTTATGCCACTCAGCAGTTCAGAGAGGTCCAGCACAAGAGGAGAAAGATATTAATGACACGGAGGCACTTGCACCACAGGAGCAGCCCTGTCTGCTCTCATTTCCTCTGCTGCCAATACGAGTGTGTTTTACCCACTGCACCAATGTTTCCCTTTAAGGTAATTTTTCTCCCAAAGCTCCCAGACCTTCTGCTGGCACTTTCCAGAGCCCAGAAGTCGTAAATCTGGTGTTCCAGCAGTTGCTGATATATCAATAAGAGTCGTTGGACGGCTGTACTTTCAGGGAACGTAACAGATTTATCCCTTTCCATCTCCAGCTGACTGAAAAAGCTCATAAAAAAAAAAAAAAAGAGCCAAGATAAAGCTTGCAGGAAAAGCAATATTCCCATGGGGCTGGGCCACTTGTCAGGGGCCTGAGTGCCTCCGAGCAGGAGGTGATGGGGCCCTGCAGCACAGGGAGGGCAGAGGGGAGCCGGGCTGTGTTCAGCCCCACAGCTCAGGGTGAGGGAAGGAATTGCCTCAGGAAAGGGAGCACTCGGCCGGGGCTGAGCTCTAATATTAAATGCATCCATCTGGCACGAGCGTGGCTGCGATGAGGACGGGTCCCTGGGCACCTCCCCACAAACCCAACCTGCAGGAGGCTGGCAGCTCCGGGTCACAGCAGGCAGGAGGGTCACACACGAAGGGTTTTGTTCCAACCAAAGCATCCTGCAGAGAGCAGGGACGTGTCCAAGCAGGAGGAGGGCACCAGGAGCCTGCTCTCCCCTTCAGCAGCACCATCATGTAGCTTCAGCGCTGCCCAGGCTTGTAGAGGAGCTGGATGACGCCGTGGGGACCTGCAAGGCTCATGACCTGCCCCGGCACGCTGTCTCTGCTCCAGTGCTCGGGGATTTGGCCTCCAGCACCAGACAAACCCACCGTGTCCCCTGGCAGCCACCGCTCCTGCATCTCCAACAGCACTGAGCCCAGCAGGCTGCATCTCCTGGCACAGTGACGGGAGAAACCGCCGGGGACTGCTCGGAGCAGCAGGCAGCCCTCGTGGCAAGCAGCACAAGTTTCGGGATCCTACTCTTTTCCTCCACCCAGTTTCTTCCCATTTTTCTGCAGAACTCGGAGTTTGGAGGAAGCAGAGCCCTGCTGCTTGCTGCTCCCCACCCCCTGGGGACCCCGTCCCGCCCGACCCGGTGCAGAAAGCCACCCACGTGCCACCACATGGAGCAGAGCTGTTCCCCGGCACAAGAAATATTACTGCTGCTCTCCCCACGACAATACATTTCTGCCTTAACTAATAACAGGGTTCCCATGGCAACTGCTTGTTTATTACAGAAAAACTAAAGGTAGCGGCAAATCCCGGCATTAGCGAGAGCCAGAGAAATTACGGGTGTGTAAAAATAAAACTTCTTCCCCGTGGGTTTGGCTTTCCTTCCACGAGGCACGCTCCTGCAGCCCCTTGGTCCCGCTGCAGCAGGCACAGCGGTGGCCCCACATGAATCTCATCCCAAAAAGGAACATTTTGGGGTTGTTCTGCCCCCGTTGAAAGGCAGGATGTGGAAGGGACGCCCGCTGCTTGTCTCTCCTGGGCTCTGCAGGGGACACCCCTACGCATGTGCTGGTCCCACCTGGCTCAAAGCCCTCAGCTGCTGTGAGCCGGCTGCTTGGCACCTCAGGAGCAGAGCAGGGGGGTGAGACGTGGCCAGCCAAAACCACGGAAACCCGACTGAGAGCAGACGACCAGAGCCCAGCACGTTAAATACCATCGCTCAGTCCTGAGAACACCCTGCCAAAGAAGCAGCAGGGAAGGGACACGCTCGGGCGAGGGCGTACGAGGTGTGAGCTGGCAAGTGCTACCCACCACGCAGAGCTGAGCCGTGGCCCTGTCAGCCAAGGCCTTGCCAAGCTCTGCCCAGGCCCAGCCACGATTGTACCAGCAAAATCCCTTCTACATCACATCCACGCTGGGAAGGGCTGCCACGCACGGCACAGGGGGTTCGGATGACAAACAGCAGAAGGCCCAGCATTGGCAGGTGTAAAAGAGTTAAATAGAGGGGTGAGATGTCCAAGCGCCCAGCTTCAGGGATGAATTACAGCCAGCAGTGCCCATTGAAAGCCGTCCAGAGGACAGGCTGCCTAGCAGAGAACGACGAGGGAAGAAAGCACCAGGAAATAAAACTATAAATTGATATTATCCCGCCCATAAAACAGCAGCCAGCCAAAAATCAGAGTACAGGGAGAAATGCAGCTCACCACCACGTCAAAGCCTACCAACAGCGGCTGCACTGTCCTCCAGCTGCTCCCACCAGGGCAGAAAGCACTCCCCCCAAAACAAGGCTCAACGAAAATGCAGCAAGAGTCCGGGCTCAACCTCTTTGACTCATAGTGCTTTCTGTATCGTGTGAATACCCCATCAATCAGTTCATTTGCTAAGACAGCACCTTCCAAGCATCTCCTGGAGGGGAGCACAACCATCTATTCTTGATCTAATTTGTCTTTAATTACAAAAGTTACAGTCAGGCTGGGAGTGCTTTCCTGGGGCCTGAGGAGAAGACTTGTAAACCCGACCCTCCTGAGTCCTCTTTATTAAAAGGTTATTCCCCCCTGCAACACGGGTAAGATTTAGCTTGAAGTGGAAGAGCGAATGCTGCTGGTACACCAGAGAGGTCTTCTCCAACTGAGGGGATCTAATAGCAAAAGACAGAACAGGAGAGAGGCCAGATCTGCTAATCCACACCAGCAAGAAGTGGAGAGGAATCAAAGCAGACTGGCAGCTGTTTTAATTCTGTAGCATCCATCCACTGCTGCGCTAATGACCCCGAATGCTCAGCTCCTCAAGGCCGTGCTGTTTCCCCCCAGCTCGCTCCAGGCACGGCACTGGAGTGGGCGTATGAGCAGCGACGGGGAGGACAGATGGAAGAGAGGGGAGAAAAAAAGCCCTACAAGGCAGCCCCGTGAATGGGATCTGATACGGCAGCGAGCCAAGAAGCCACATGTGATACATCGGTCTACTTCAATCAAGGTCTGCCTCAAAGAACAAGGATGTGAGCGCTGAAGCCGGTAAATCTTCAGGCTCTTCAGGGCTAAGTTAATGAACAGCTTCTCTGAGACGCATTTAAAGCACAACTCACCCGGGGTTATCCATGCTGCAAACCCCAACACCCTCTCTCCAAG